CCGCTCCTCTTTGCTTGGTCACTGGTGTCACAGCTCTGCTGCAGCCCACAAAAAGCCCATGTGGAGAAAGAGAGTGAGGCCAGGCAGAACTCAGACCCAGAGCAGGATGGGCATGCCCCCCGGGCTCTCAGGGTCAGACACAACTGTCGGGGCTCATCCAGCAAGTCAAGAAAAGGGCACCCACCAGCTTCCTGACACCTTTGACCCTTACCCAGGAAAGCCCTGTGCTCCTCAGAGCCAGTGCCCCTCCCTCCAAGCATTGAGCACCCCAGAAAGGAAAATGGAGCTGTCACCCCTGCCTACCCTCTGCCTTCTCCTGCCCCATGGCTGGGACTGCATGTCATGTGAACAGCCTGGAGGAGCCATGAGAAGGACAGATGACCACCCAGGGAATGGGATTGGCTGGACCAAGCTGGCACCAGCTCCCAGCTTCCCTGGAGGCAGTTCCACCTCTGCCTTAGCGTTAAAATGTGGTCCTCCTGCTGATGCATATGTCGTGGTCCCTGGGCTGGCCCATTAATTACCAGTGTCCCAGGCTTCCACACATGGCCTCAGTTGCCATCTAACCACTCAACACTAATTAAGCAAAGCATCAGGGACCAAGCCCCAGCTGGAAGAGAAGGGGAAGTCTTCACTCCCCAAGCTGGGGACCTGAAGCAGAGCTCCCAAGAGGGAAGGGGCTCCCAGGGGCATAAGCTCCCCAATGAAAGTGGTGAGGCTTGCCCTGCTGCACCGGTAAACCTGCTGCCATTGTGGACAGGGACCCGTGGGGCACACTCGCCGGAGGAAAACAGAAAGCTGTAGTACCCCAGAGCCGGCCACAACCCAGAGCCACCTCACCACCTACCCAGAGTGCCCGGTCCAGGTAAGGCCCAGGCCGGTGAACTTATCTGCCTGGAACAAACCACAGTGCATTCTCCTGCCCCACACGGAACTGCCTCCTGCAGGATCCCGGCGCCCCCTCCGGTGAGCGGTGATGCTCTGTGATGAGCACTCAGCCACACGGTGGGCAGTGCTTCTGGCAGGGTTGGGGGGCATGAGGCTGGTGCGTGTTTGAGACCTGGGTGAGGATGGGTGCTCTCAACTGGACAGGACAGCAGAGTGGAACAGGCAGCCTCTATTCCCAAATGATCATGCTTTGCCACTGGGCATGGAGGCCCTGAACCTCGTCCCCACTTTTTGTCCCCCTTGTAAGAACAAAGCTGGCCCAACCCAACTGTACAGAGAGGCCAAGAGCCAGTAGTTGAGCCCCGAATTGGCCAGAACAGCACGAGGAGATTGAGGAGGAAGAAGGCATGGTGGGGTGAGTGGATCCCTGCCCCATGGATGGTGGGTAGCAGGTTGCAGGCAGCTTGGCCCCCCTCATGGAGCCCCAGCTCCTCTTCCACGGCCCCTCACCACCAGAAAGGAAACCTTGGGGCTCAGGACCCCAACGATGGGTTCAAAATGGTCCCAGAATCGGTCAATGCTTCCGGAACTAACCATGGAGCCACCTGCATCAGGCAGCTCTCGGACCTTACTCTGAACTGGGGCTTGCAAAGTTGGAGACTCAGAGTGGGCTCCAAGGAACATTGTGACCCATATAAGAGACAGTGCACAGTCCCCCTATATGTGTGTCTGTAGAGGACAGTGGACAGTCCCCGTGTGTGTGTAGAGGACAGTCTTGTGTAGAGGGACAATTTTTCTCCTAGTGATGGTGATGTCCAAGGCATTGTGGTATCCCTGCAAGTAAACCTGACTCCACTTTGCTGACCTTGTGTCCCTGTCGTCCTTGTCTGCCCTGCATCCCTGTCGTCCTTGTCTGACCCTGCATCCCTGTCGTCCTTGTCTGACCCTGCATCCCTGTCGTCCTCAGCTGACTCTGTGTCCCCTGTTATCATTAGCTGACCTATGTCCCCTGTTGTCTGCTCTGGCAGATCAGGATCAGCTCCCAAATCCAGACTCTGCCAGCAGGAGAAGCTCATTGCCTGGGCCTCCTCCATGTCCAGGCATCCAGTGGGGAGCAGCTGAGGCCAGTGGGCCAGCATGAGATTTGGCAGGGATGTGGTCGGTGCTGCCTTCTCTTGCGCCCACTCACACAACTCCACACCGGTGCCAACAGATGCCTCCACATGGGAGGTGACAACCAGAGTACCTGGGGAGGCCCCCCTGGGGCCTTCGTCCTGCTGGGTGTGTCTGACAGGCCTCAGTTAGAGCTGGCCCTCTTCGTGGTCCTCCTGGTGTCCTACATCCTGGCCATGCTGGGGAATGTGGCCATCATCCTGGTGTCCCGCCTGGACCCCCAGCTGCAGAGCCCCATGTATGTTTTCCTCAGTCACCTGTCCTTTCTGGACCTGTGCTACACTACCACCACTGTCCCCCAGATGCTCACCAACATGGGCAGCTCCCAGAAGACCATCAGCTACAGTGGCTGCACTGTGCAGTATGCCATCTTCCACTGGCTGGGGTGCACTGAGTGCATTGTCCTGGCTGCCATGGCCCTGGACCGCTACGTGGCCATCTGCGAGCCGCTTCGCTATGCCTTGGTCATGCGCCGGCCACTCTGTCTGCTGCTGGTGGCTGTGGCCTGGCTCAGCGGCTTTGGCAACTCGCTGGTGCAGGTGGTCCTGACGGTGCAGCTGCCCTTCTGTGGGCGGCAGGTGCTGGACAACTTCTTCTGTGAGGTGCCGGCCATGATCAAACTGTCGTGTGCTGACACAGCTATCAATGACGCCACGCTGGCCGTGCTGGTGGCCTTCTTTGTGCTCGTGCCCCTGGCACTCATCCTGCTGTCCTACAGCTGCATTGCCCGTGCCGTGTTCAGGATCCGCTCAGCCCAGGGGCGGCGCAAGGCTGTGGGGACCTGCTCCTCCCACCTGCTGGTGGTGTCTCTTTTCTACCTGCCTGCCATCTACATGTACCTGCAGCCGCCTTCCAGTTACTCCCAGGAGCAGGGCAAGTTCCTCTCTCTCTTCTACTCCATCATCACACCCACCCTCAACCCCTTCATCTACACCCTGAGGAACAAGGACATGAAGGGGGCACTGAGGAGGCTCCTGGCCAGGGCCTGCAGGCTGTGCTGCAGACAAGGGTCTGGGATGGGGCAGCCAGCCTGGTGAGGACTCGGGCCAGCATCTGTGCCTGGAGTGATCCTTGGCTTGTGGCAACCTCCCAGGGCAGATGAGCACCTCAAAGTCCACTTGGCCTCTGTGTAGCCACACCTCAAGTCCTGAGGCTGCCTCGGAGTCATTTCCCAGGTGTCGTGGGCTACCAGCCTGGTGCCCCCCTTGCCCATGGCAGACACAGGCTTCTGTGGGTTTCAGACTCTGAGCTCTGGGTGACAGCTTCACCACGTTTCTCCTGTGACCTCCAGGTCCACTCTGTGGCTCTAGCTTCCTTCTCTAGGAACTCCACCACTCCGCCACCACCACCCTGGCCATAGGCACACCTGCCACAGCTCTACCTGAGCCTTACAGGTAAAATAAAAGGGCCACTGCTGAGCTGAGGACAGAGGCATAGACAAAATGTAGTTAAGGACAAAGAAACAGGCTGACCTTGTGGCACAGTGGGTTGAGCCTCTACCTGAGGTGCTGAAATCCCATATGGTACCAGTTCAAGCCCCACTTGCTCTGGTTTCATTCCAGCTCCCTGCTAATGTATGTGGGAAGCAGGGGAGGGTGGCTCAGTGCTTAGACTCGACAGCCATGCAGGGGACTTGTTTGCAGTCTCCAGGCTCCCACTTCAGCCTGGCACAGCCCTGGCCATTGTAGCCATTGGGAAGTGAAGCAGCGAGTGGAAGATGTCTGTGTGTGTGTGTGTGTGTGTGTGTGTGTGTGTGTGTGTGTGTGTGTCTGTCTGTCTGTTTCTGGATCTCTCAATCTCTCTCTTTCCCTCTCTTTCTGTAACTCTGCTTTGTGAGAAGAAATAGGAAGCTCGCGATTGCTCCCACCAGTTGAGGAGAGCTTGCAGGGCGCAGGTCCTGCCCTGGGAGCCAGGAACGCTCAAGTCCCTGATGCAATCACTTCCATCTGAGCCTTGGCCCCAAGTTGTAACCACTCCAAGACAGTTGCTATCTGGCTCCTGAAGGAACTGAAACCAGCCAGGGTTTGGGTGTGCAGCTTCCCACAGGAAGGCAGAGCTGTTGCATGGACCACGCCCCCCACTCCCGCCCGAGGCATTCAACAAAGGGAAGACGGAGTCACACACAGTGAGAAACTTTCCCCAAACGCCCACCACAGCAGGGCCTGGGCCAGGCCTGGAGCTGCATCCAGCTCTCCCACGTGTGTTCAGAGGCCCATGCACTCGGGCTGCCCTTGCAGGTGCATCAGCAGGAAGCTAGACGGGACAGGAAGCAGACTAGTTCCTGGGCACTGCAGTCCCAGGCAATGGCTCGGCCCATGCCCCCATGCCCACAAGAAGATGTATACATTCATAAAGCAATCTAATCCATCTTTATGAATTTAAGTATTTTACATTTCAAGATACTCTTTTTTGAACATTAAGGAAACAGTTTAACACAATAAGTACACACATAACATGTATGTGTATTGTGCTGTATCCAAAATGTCAGCCAGCTCCCATGGGCAGGAATCCTCATCAGAAAATGTATCTATTTCTTTTTAAAGATTTATTTATTTTTATTGGAAAGTCATTTATACAGAGAGGAGGAGAAACAGAGAGGAAGATCTTCCATCCGATGGTTCACTTCCCAAGCAGCTGCAATGGCTGGGAGCTGAGCCAGTCCAAAGCTGGGAGCCAGGAGCTTCTTCCAGGTCTCCCACGCGGATGCAGGGTCCCAAAGCTTTGGGCCGTCCTCGGCTGCTTTCCCAGGCCACAGGCAAGGAGCTGGGTGGGAAGCAGGGCTGCCGAGATTAGAACCGGCGCCCATATGGGATCCCGGCACGTTCAAGGCGAGGACTTTTAGCCGCTATGCTATTGCACCAGGCCCAGGAAATGTATCCATTACACAACATTAACAATAAATCAGTAGCAGCTACAGGGTGCAAGGCAGCCTGCAGCCCCCACCACTTTGTGCCCAGTGGATTCACAATCAACCGGAAGCCTGCAGTCAGAAGGCACACGCAGTCTCACCACAGGGGCTGGCAAGGAGCAGCCGGGCAGGGGTCTCCGCCATGGACGCAGGGGGGTGGGCTCGTTCCCCGCAAGAAGGCACCACCATAGGTCTTGCTCTCCAGCCGCACCACAAAAGCCGCAAAGCTCTCTGGCTTTGGGTGGTGCCTGGGCGCACCCCGCACGGGACCTCAGAGCGCTGGCTGCAGGGGTCCAAGTCTGCGCCTACCAGGCGGGCTCAAAGACTAGCGTCAGTGCCGGCTTTTCTTCTCTCAGCGCCTCCAGAGCGCGTGTCGTCTCGGGGTTGAAGTACATCTCGCACAGCCTGCAGAGCACGCGGACACTTTGGCATGGCACCTCATGGACGCCCGCAGGCCCTAGCAGCCACTGTTCACGACTGTTCTAAACACATGGTGTGTGCGTGGCCCCTGCCGCATCGGTCACACCCCGGTGACCTCTCTCTCTCTCATGCATACTGGGGCACCTCCCCCAAGAACATTCTGTAGCCCCTGGATTCCCTCGGAGCCTGAACTGCGGATTATCCAGCTCAATGGGCTCCCTTGGGGGTCGGCCTCATCTCTGCTCACACTCACCACAGCCGCTGCAGGGGGCAGCCTGGCTGGCGGAGGACCTCGCACAGCATCATCACCCCCAGGTCTCCCAGGTCGTTGCTGCCCAGGCTCAGCTTCTGCAGGCTGCGGTTGGAGGTCAGAAGCCGGCAGAGGTCCCAGCAGCAATGCGAGGAGAGGCTGCAGCTGTCCAGCCTGCCAGGCGTGGGGAGATTAGACCAGCAGCCCAGGCCCCTGGGCCCGGCCCTGCCAGTTCCAGACACGGACCCCTCCAGGGCCTTCCCAGCAATCACTCCACCTCCCCTCAGGCCGCCCAGGAACTCACTCCAACATCTGCAACCTGCAGCTGGGGTGAAGGAGGCCTTGGCACAGCAGCTTCAGCCCGTTGTCCCCCAGAGCGTTGCCCCGCAGATAAAGGTGCGTGAGGCTCTTGCTGCTGCCAAGAGCTGCAGAAATGGCTGCACAGCATACCGAGGTGAGGCCAGAGCTCACCAGCCTAAGGGAGGAAGAAGGGGTGCCCTCAGTGCCCAGTCCCTCAGGGGCAGTGTGCAGCTGCCCAGCGGGGAGTCTGGAGACCCAGAGCTGTAGAAAACACAGCTGAGGACTCAGTGGACCCTTGTCTGGAACCCGGCAACAGAAAGAGTAAAAGCGGCCAGTTCACACTCCCCTTCCACCCCCTCCTTCCCATGCAGATTATACACACACTCGTGTACACACTTATACACGTACACACATGTTTGTACACAGGCGCACGCGCACACACACATGCAGCAATGGACTCTCTCTGGTATCACTTCCCACAGAAAAGCTGCAAGCTGCTCTCCAAACACCTGTGCTCACCTGCTGTGCAGTGCCTAACCGTAACCCTAACCCTCACACGAGAGGGCGCCCTTGTGACATCTCAGGCTTTTCTCTTGTCCAAGAGCAGATGTGTGGGAGAGGAGACCCAGGCTCCTTGTCTTGTCCCTCTCCTCCACCCTGTAAGCCATACAATGCCAAAGGCTGCCTGAAAACCACCACAAGCTGGAAGGGAAGTGTGGATAGATTCTTCCCACAGTTCTCCAAAGAACCAACACTACAGCCCTTTCCTGTCAGACTTCAGTTGCCAGAACTGAGAGCCAATAAACTGTGTTACTGAGCCCCTCTGTGTTTGTTACTTTGTTATAGTGGCCAGGAAACTAACACACAGAGATTATCAGGATGAGTGAAGGAAAGGGTGCATGAGCAGAGCAGGGGTGGGTGGATGGATGGACAGATGGTGCATGTCTGATGGATGGATGGATGGATAGGTAGATGGATGGGTGGGTGGGTAAATGCATGGATGGCTGTATAGATAAATGAAAAGATGAGTAAATGGGTGGGTGGGTGGATAGATACATGGATGGAAGCATGGATGATGGATGGAGGTGCAGAGTGGTGTATGGATGGGGATATGAGTGTAAGGATGCACACTCATGATGGATGATGGGATGGTTATCAGGGTAGCTGAAAGAAACTTCCACTTCTTTACATGTGCATGCTACTGAGGCCTTGAGATTGGGCATATGTGACCACCCTCATGTCTATCTTGTTGGTGTCTACACTGGCTGTGTGACCACCCTCATGTCTGTGATGTTGGTGTCTGCACTGCTGTGTGTGACCCTTGTGTCTGTGTTGTTGGTGTCTACACTGCTGTGTGTGACCCTTGTGTCTGTGTTGTTGGTGTCTACACTGCTGTGTGTGAGCCTTGTGTCTTTGGTATTGGTGTCTATACTGGCTGTGTGATCCTCATGTCTGTGATGCTGGTGTCTACACTGGCTGTGTCACTCTTGTGTCTGTGTTGTTGGTGTGTCTGTGTTGTTGGTGTGTCTGTGATGTTGGTGTCTACACTGGCTGTGTGACCCTCATGTCTGTGATGTTGGTGTCTACACTGCTGTGTGTCACCCTTGTGTCTGTGGTGTTGATGGGTGGGGAAGGCATGAGATAGCCCAGGAAGTGTCAGTCATTTCCATGGAATCAGAAAAGCGGCAGTGAAACCCTGGACCACAAGTCAGTGCTGGCCCATAACAGGAAGCTGGACTCCACAGCAGGGCCTGACGTGACCTGAGCCAGAGCAGGGAGGCACTCATGGAGGAAGTGGGGGGCAGACAGCGGACCCTAGGAGCAGGAGCCGGGCTCAGCACCAAGGTCCTGGCTCCCTCAGGCCCACGGCAGTGCCCCCAGGGCCTGAGTCCCTGAGCTGATGGCCACAGAAGAGGCAGTGACCCACGACCACAGCAAGGACTCACCCTAGTTTGCGCAGGCTGCACTGTGGATGCTTGAGCTTGTCGCACAGGAGGCTGACCCCATCGTCTCCCAGAGCATTTTCCCCCAAGTACAGCCCAGTCAGGGAGTGGTTGGTGCCAAGGACCAAGGCAAGATCTGGACAGCAGGCGGACGTGAGGCAGCAGCTGACCAGCCTTCAAGGAAGACAGCAGAGAATCAAAGCCTTGTCCCCCAACCGCTGCCCCTGGGGCCTGCTATTCTACATTCCAGGCCATACCTGGGGGGCAAAGCCCCAGGCCTGTGTCCAACAGGAAGCTGTGATGACAGGCAGGTCTGCTGAGTTCATCTCAGCCCTCTGCTGTCCTCCTTACTACAGCGGAACACACACACACCACATAATGTGAGGCGGGCAAGGCTCCACCAGGCAGGGGATGGGCAGCAAGGCTGGAGTGAGTGCCCAGCGGTGCCAACTCACCAGAGTTTCTGCAGCTGGCAGGACAAGTGTCTGAGCCCCACGCACAGCAGCCTGACCCCAAAGTCGCCCAGGGTGTTGTCGCTCAGGTCCAGCTCTGCCAACTTCTGGCTGCCACTCAGCACCAGAGAGAGGTCGAAGCAGCACTGGTGGGAGAGGCCACAGCGGCCCAGCCTGGCCACCGGGCACAAGGCAGCGGCATCAGTCCTGGGTGTGTGGAGGGATGCCTTCTCCGGCAGCAAAGGCCCAGGTGGCCACATTCTCACAGGTGTCACCACACCGGTGCTCCCAGGCTGGGACCCCGTCCCTGGGAGCCTATCCCATTCCCTCCCTGAGCACAGCATACACACGGCTCACCAGAGTCTGCGAATGCCACAGCCGGGGTGCTGGAGCGCCTCACACAGCACCCTCATTCCTGGGTCCCCCAGGCTGTTGTCACTCAGGTCCAGCTCCACCAGGCTCGGGTTGGAGCCGAGAACCGAGAAGAGGCTCCGACAGAGGCCCGATGTGGGGTAGCAGCTCACTGACCTGGGGAACAGATCAGGGCGCGGAAAATCAGGCCACATGGAGAACTGGCCTGGTGGCCTGGGAGGCTCCTGGGGAGAAGGCAGGGGCCACACATCAGGGGCCTAGGCAGGCAGCACCTCCAGGGGCTGCTGCACTGGGCCAGGAGCCTGATGGCCTTTGGTATTGCCAAACAGCCTGACAGGGTCTCCCATCTCAGGGACCAGAGACAGGGGTCCATGTCCCACCAAGTTGTCCTGTTCTGTTGTCTCCCATGCTGACTCCTGTGCAGGACAGAGGATCATGCCCAGGGGCACACAGAGGATCAGCCATCACTCCTACGAAGCTTCCAGACACCACTTCAAAAAACAGAAAAAGGCACTGGTCTGGTGCTGTAGCTAGCTAATCCTCTGCCAGCAGCACCAGCATCCTAGACGGGCAGCCCCTTCCCACCCAGCCCCCTGCCTATGGCCTGGGAAAGCAATGGAGGACAGCCCAAGTGCTTGGGACCCTGCACCTGCATGGGAGACCTGGAAGAGGCTCCTGGCTTTTAGCCGGCTCAGCTTCAACCTATGCAGCCATTTGGGGGACAAATCAGCAGATAGAGGATATCTCTCTCTTTCTCTCAATGAAAATACACAAAGAATCTGTTAGACAGGTCTTTGCATCCCTCATCCCAGCGTCTGGGCTCGAGCCTCACCCATCCCTAACTCCAGCCTCCATCCATGCAGACCTGGGAGTAGCATCTGTAGGCTTGGTTACTTGAATCTCTGCCACCTGCCAGGAGGCCTCGGCTGTGTCCCAGCTCCCAGCCCCAGCGCCAGTACAACTTCAGGCACTGCAGGCATGCAGGGAGTGAGCCAGAGGGCAGGAGCTGTCTCTCTGCTTCTCAAAATAACTTTAGAGAAGCAAATGGAAAAGTGGAGGCAAGTGCCAAGAATGAGGAGCAGGGGCAGGTCCCTGATCTACCCAGGCCTGCAGCCCGGCTCCCTTACCTCGATGGGCAGGCTGCAGGAGGGCGCAGGCACATGTGCCGGCCCTCGGCAGCAAGCCAGCCCTCCTCCTCCTCCTCGTCCTCCTCTTCCTCCCCTTCCTCCTTGGATGAGCTCTGCAGAAGCCCGAGCGAGAGAGATTCTACACTGCGGCAGTTCGCGATACAGAAGGAGGCGACCACGTGGTCCATGCGGGTGGACAGGCTGAGCTCGATCCTGGGGAAGTGGTCCATGGCTGCCCTCACGAATGTATCCTCCTGCGTCTCGTACAGGCAATAGAACAGCTCCAGCTGGCTCGGCTGCACCTGCAGCTTCTTGGCCTCTGCCTTCGCCTCGATCCAGCGCAGCAGCTCCGGCCGCACCTGCCGAGACACGCTGCAGCCCAGCTTCTTCTCCAGGTATGCGGCCCTGTCCTGGTTCACCAGCCCAAAGAGGAACCGCACGACAAAAATCAGGTACCCCTTCTCAAACCTGCCATAGTTCTCCAGCAGGACCCTCACGTCCCGGGGTGGGAGCTCGGAGCCGCCCCTGCCCGGGGAGGCGGTCCCTGCCCCCTCCTCCTCCTCTAGCATGTAGTACATGGCAGCGAAGAACTCCTGGAAGGTCAGGTGCACGAAGCTGTAGAAGGCCTCGCAGTCCACCTCCTTCTGAAACAGGCTCATGCTCAAGAAAGCTGACACCTCCGCCTCTCGCAGGCCGTGCCGCCGCAGGTCCCACTCCTCGAACAGAATCTTCTGGTTCCAGATGCCGTCGGCCGCCAGGGAACAGAGACCCCGCAAGTGGCTGGGGAGGCCAGGCTCCGGGCCACCACCCCGGGCCTGCAGCAGGCTGGACAGGAAGCAGGTGTACACAGCAGTGGTGGTCTTGCAGGTCGTGGTCCTGGCCCCCATCTGCTGGCGCAGCCCTGTGCACACAATCCAGCATACCAGGGGGATGCAACACATGCTGAGCAGCACCTCGTTCTCCTGCAGCAGGCGGAAGGCCTCCCGCGCCTGCGCCTCCTCGGGAAAGAACTTGAAGAAGTACTCCCTGCGCTGCGCCTCTGAGAAGCCCAGCACAGCCACGTGCCGTGGCCGCTCCAGGAGATGCTGCAGCTTCTCCAGGGCCACGGGCCTGGTGGTGATGAGCAGCGAGGCCTCGGGCAGCAGCTGCTTCCGGATGAGGCTGCCCAGCAGGATGTCTCCACGCACAGATGCCCGCCAGTCACAGCAGGTCGCCCCAGGGCACTCATCAAAGGCGCCCTGCAGCTCATCAAAGCCATCCATGAGGAACAGCACGCGGGCCGGCCGCTGCAGCATCTGCTGCACAGGCGGGCTGGGGTCGGGGCAGCAGCCAGCAATCAGCTCGCCCAGGCTCCGGTGTGTGCCCAGGCTCAGCTCCCGGCAGTGGATGTAGAACAGGAAGTCAAAGCTTCTCTGGAAGAGCTGTCCTGAGGCCCAGTCCAGCATGATCTTGCGGGCCAGAATGGTCTTGCCAATCCCCGCTGTCCCCTGCAGCACCACTGTGCGCACGGGCCCCGGGCACTCCTCATCTGCCTCAAAGAGCATCTCCACGCGCACGGGGCTGGCTGGGCTGTCCCGCACTGGTGTCTTGCCAATGGCCACCAGCTGCTGCTCCCGCTCCTGCCGACTCGGGTGCTCCTTGGCCAGGCGGAGCCGGGTGTAGCGCCTGTTGAGGTTGACGCTCTCACCCAGCCGGGCGTTCCTGTCCTCAATGCACTGGAACCGGCTGAGCACGTGCCTGCGGTACTTCCTGCAGTAATCTAGGACACACACACACCCATGACTACGGACAAAGCCCGCACCAGGAGGACACCCCACCATGCTGCTTACCTTTCTTCCAATGGCAGAAAGAGAGCCTGGCGAGGTACCCCAGCACCCCCATCGACGACTCCTCAGTGAGCTCCCCTTGGCATATCACAATGGGGTTAGAAGCAGCTGCAGGATTTGAACCTGCTAACAAGGCAACAGGTCACAAACAGAGCTCCCAGAGGAAGACACTGGGCAGCTATCACCAGTCCCTGTCCAGATACCCCAAAGCAGCACATGACTCAGAGTGGAGGGCAGCAGGTACACGGCCAGGCAGTGCCATTGTGTCCCTCTGTCACCTCCAAGCGCAGAAATCAATCAGCAGACCTGAGGCAGGCCATGACTCTTTTCTACTTTTTTTTTTTTTCGCTATTTGGAAAGCAGTCTGTGTCCCAGAGACGGCCAAGATGGGGCTTCCACTCTGATCCCAGGGACTCCCACCCTGTCACCCATATTTCAGGCTTCCAAGTGAAGAGCTCTGGGTGCTTGAATTACTGTCCTGCCTCATGTAGGATCTGGCTGCTCTAGACTCACCTGGAAAGCTTTAAAGTGCCCACTCACCAAGGCAAGTGCATGGTTCAGCAGTAAACCACAGTTAGGGACCTCACACTCCATGTCAGAGCACCGGCTACAGTCCCGGTTCACTCCTGACCTGGCTCCCTGCCGATAGGGAGGCAGATCTGAGGACCTGCCCTGGTCAGCTTGTTCACCAGTCAATCTGACCCACCCACACTCCCAGCGTGCACCACTGGTAAGTCCAGGCCCAGGGGACAAGTGGGGAAGAGGCCATGCTGGCCAGCCCATCCCACAAAGACTAAGAGGCAAGGGGCAACCATCCTGTCACTGTGCCTCTGCTTTGAACTCTCAGCTCAGCAGGCTCCCCCCTCCCTTTCTCCCCCCTCTCTCCTTCCCTCCCACAAGCTTTGGTCTTGCAGGACCAAGGGGTTCCAGTGCCACCCAGGGTGTTCGTGTCACCCCAAATGTCCTCTCTTCCCCCCACCTGTACCCCTCGCATCTCTCCCTGCACAACAGCTGACATCTGTGTGTTAAAAGCCATCTGCCCACTCACCCCACGCCGGTTCATCCCTTTTGGCCTTCTCGTAAAGGTCTCTCCTGTTGATGGCCATGAAGATCCACAGGGCCATGGCCCAGGCCCTCTCCTCCCCATTGACCTTGATCATGAGGGTGGCGAGATCCATGGGGTCAGCCCTGGCCATCTGGCCCTTGGGGAGGGGGACACAGCCCTGGTTGGGGGGGTAGTCTTCCAGGTGCATCTTGAACTTCTTGAGGTCTAGCTCCTCCAGTTCCTCCAGGTACTGGGCCAACTTGCAGCGGACCCCGGCCATGTCCACAGCCCTGTCAGGGTCCCAGGCTTAGCACCACACAGAGACACAGGGGTCAGGAACGGCACACGGCTGAGATGGCTGTTGTCTGATCCAGAACCAGACTGTCACAAACTCGGGAAGCTCAGAGGCAAGAGAGTGGTCTGGCCAGGACGAGTGACCATCTTCAATCCTGGAAGACAAGAAGTGCTTCCAGTTCCTGGGCTGGGGCCCAGACAAGGCCTCCCAGTCCCCCCTAACCTCCGGTCTCTATACAGACAAGCAGAAGAGGAGCTTGGGTCCTGCTAAGTGAAGGGAAGTTGTACAAAGTCATCTGAATGATGGACAAGGGGCTGCCAACATCCTTCACACATCCCCTCTGCACATGACTGTTATCCCATGAGCACCTGTGCCCCATAGCAGCCAGGGATCACCTGCCAACTCAGGCTGTTCAGCATCCTGGGGTCTGCGTGGAAGACCTGAGGCGAGCCTTGGGCTGTTCTCCATCTTTCTACAATGGACACAGCACAGCCTGCAGCTGACACCACAAATCACGTTGCCAGGAAGGGCTCTCAGCTGCATGGTCCTACCTAGTTTGAACTCACACACCCACTCCTCGCCCCCACTCTGTCCCCGGCCTCAGGCCCTGCCCACATGCATCCCTGTGTGTACCTTCCCAGCTCCACACCCCTGCAGAGCCCTGGGTCCCTCAGCGCTGCCTGACACCAAACACTGGGCTCCCACATGCATCCCTGCCCTGAGCCACTGGCTGGGAGGCAGTGGGCTGTATTCACATCCTGTCCCTCCCCCCACATCCCTGTGCCCACCCGGCCCCAGGAGAAGGACTCACCTACGCCAGCCTGGGGCTCAATCTGTGGGGAAATGACTTCACAAAGTCACAGCCCTGGGCAGGGCAGGAAGGAAGTGGCCTCGGCTGCGGTGAGCAAGCTTGTGTCAACACGAAGACCAGAGGCCAGAGGTTCCTGTCAAGCCTGGGCAGAGGGGGCACTGAGTTGGGCCCTGTCCATCAGGCTACCTCTCCCTGGGGGCCAGAGCCTGCCCAGACTCCAGGACCTTGACATCCTGGAGCTGACCGGGACAGGGCTGAGGGTCTTGGAGGCAGGTACAGGCTTGTCCATCACATGTCAACTTTTTTTTCTTTTTAAGATTTATTTACTTATTGGAAAGTCAGATATACAGAGAGGAGGAGAGACAGGGAGGAAGATCTTCCGTCCGATGATTCACTCCCCAAGTGAGCGCAACGGCCGATGCTATGCCGATCCAAAGCCAGGATCCAGGAACTTCTTCCGGGTCTCCCACGTGGGTGCAGGGTCCCAAGGCTTTGGGCCGTCCTCGACTGCCTTCCCAGGCCACAAGCAGGGAGCTGGAAGGGAAGTGGAGCTGCTGGGATTAGAACCAGCACCGATATGGGATCCTGGCGCATTCAAGGCGAGGACTTAAGCCGCTAGGCCACGCCGCCAGGCCCACATGTCAGCTTTTATCTGAGTTTTAATTAATTAATAGTTATTTTTAAATTTTATTATTTTAATTGGAAAGATCTTTTTAAAAGATTTGTTTTTCTTGAAAGGGCAGATTTATAGAGAGAGAAGGAGAAACAGAGAGAAAGATTTTGCATCCGCTAACACACTCACCAAGTGGCCACCACGTGGCCAGAGCTGATCCAGGAGCTTCTCCAGGTCTCCCACACAGGTGCAGCATCCCAAGACCTTCGGACATTCTCAACTGCTTTCCCAGGCCACAAGCAGGGAGTCGGATGGGAAGGAGGAGCCAGGACATAAAGCAGTGCCCTTATGTTATCCTGGTGCATGTGTGATAAGAACTTTAGCCACTAGGCTGCCATGCCAGGCCCCTGGAAAGGCAGATTTACATAGAGGGGATACAAGGGAAAGATCTTCTGTCTGATAGTTCACTCTCCCAAGTGAACCAAAACCAGTCAATCCAAAACCAGGCACCAGGAACTTCTTCTGGGTCTCCCATGAGGGTGCAGGGTCCCAAGGACTTGGGCTATCCTCCACTGCTTTTCCAGACCACAACTAGGGAGCTGGATGGAAAGTGGAGCAGCTGGGACACAAACTGGCTCCCATATGGGATCCCGGTGTTTGCAAGGAGAGGATTTAGATTTAGCCGCTGAGCCATTGTGGTGGGCCCTTAGTTTTGTTTTGCTGTTTGTTTGACAGAGAGAGACACAGAGACCACCAAATGTGGATATTAACTTGTCCACAGTAGCAGGGGATTGGCCAGGTGGCAGGCAGGAGCCAGGAATGCATCCCAAGCCACCCCGGGAGCTGGGGCAGGTGCGATCTCCAGGGATTGGGATTCTGACTGAATCCAGAGCTGCCATGCCCGAGATGTCTACAACCAAAAGTTCCTAGGATTTCTGTTTCTCTGGATTTTTGAAACATCCAATCAACACCCTACCGACATGTCTGGGAAACAGCCTAGGATGACTCAGTGCTGGGTCCCCTGCCACTCATGGCTCCCGGCAGGTGCGGGCAAGCTAGAATGAGGCAGTGGACGCAAGATCTTTGTCCCTCCTGCCCTTTCCAATAAAATTAAAATAGCTGTAAGTGAAAATTCCAGAACAATTTTCAAATGAGAGTAGTAACTGGGTCAGACCCAGGACTGCACGTCCACCTCCCCCAGCAAGGTCCTGCCTGGGTCGCCCTGGGAAGGTTGAGGCAGAAGGGTCCTTTGGCCCCTTGCCAATGCCCAGGAGGCAGGCAGCTCAGGGCGGGTAATGGGTATGGTAACCAGGGAAATGCTAAAGTGGGAGAAAACCTCAGGCACGGGAATCCCAGCCAAGTTGAGGCAGAAGCAGTGTGCACGTGGTGGACTGAGCTCAGGGAGGGGCCACCGGGGTCCTGGCTGAGCCCACTCAGCAGGGAGGGCAGGCCCCTGGCTGGGGACCTAGCAGTCCTGCTCTGAAACCCTCCTCACCCTGGCGGTGTCCTTGAAGTCTGCAGTCAGGTAGACGCCATCTCCCACCAACACCACAGCAACATGTTAAACCTCCCTGCTGTAATGAAAGGTCCAGGACCCATGGTGCGTAGCAGCTATGAGCAGGAGGCCCAAAAGTTCCCACATGAGTGTTGGTGAGATCAGAGCTTTGAGGGCAGAGCTGTAATGTCGGAGCTTGAGAGCAGAGCTGTGAGTTAGAGCTGTGCTTCAGCCAGCTGCATCCTTCTATGTACAGCACCAGGTCGCTGAACCACAGCCTTGAACTTGGCACCCTGCAGACAGCTCACACTGGCCACTCTTCCATGTTTTCTCTGCTTTGAATGCTACAAGATTCTGTACACAAAAAATACAACCTGCACCTCCCTTTCAGGAAGTGCTGTCCCCTGCTCCTGCAGTCACTGCTCCCTGGGCTTTTCTCTGGACTAATGCATCTTTTACCCGCAGCAGCCCCAGCATCCCCTCCATCCTGGAGTGTCCCCACTGCTCCTCTGCTGCCCTCTGCTGGTGGTGGGCAAGAGTGACCGTCTAGCAGCCCTGCCCCGGAACGGGCCTTGCGGGAAGGGAGAGGGCAGCCTCACCTGCCCAGGTGTGCAGGAGAGCAGCATAGGGGACACCTGTCAGGGGAGACATGCCTGCATGTGGCCCAGCAGGAAGGGCCTCAGTAGGCCGGTGTGGACAAAAGACGCCTAGCCCTGTCCACACAGGTCCCAACCCCAGAAGTCAGTGTCAGAGATGGGGAAGACTTAGCAGATTTCATCACCCTCCCCACCATAGTCCTGCAGTTCTTTTGTTTTTCCTTTGAAGGTGGTGTGTTGGCTCCAAGCTGAAGGAGCATGAGGCTGTGAGGGAGGCCACCCTGGATCCTCGTCCCAGAGCTCCAGCCTCTCCTGGGAACCTCACCAAATCTCAGGCTTTGGTTAAGTAAAGTAGTGCTTAGTACGTCCCGAGGAGTACTCAATCTATTGTGAGGAGTACTTTTCTGTCCCAAGACCCCAGATACACCCTCGTGCCCCTTTGCAGTCATAAAATGACTGCCCTCCTGAAACTGAGCCCGTAAAACATAAAGCAGGACCCAGCCCCCTGTCTGTCCCCTGAACTCGAGGGTCCTTGCCTGTTCTGTATCAAGAGGAGTTCGTGGACCTAAGGGATCCAGCTGACCTTACATGGTTCTAATCACCAGACTCGAGGGGCCATTTGCTCCTCCAGTAGACCAGAACCTTGCGGCAGTGCTGTGCTGGGCTGATCTGTGCAGGGGAGTCCAGGTCTGCTGGGAGGTAACTGCCATATCCACATCACCCCCAGACCACTGGAGCCCACCTGGCCACCGCGAATTCCCTACAGAGCACAGCATCACTGACCAGTCACAGGGAGCTCACAAGCTCCACTGACCAGCCAGGAGCCTGGACACGAGCTGACCACACACCTCTGAACCCCGATTTCAATCCGTAAGAACCATCATCCTGACTCCTCAGGGAGCCCAGGAATTAAGCGATAGCTGCCTGGCTCCTTGCTCTGCACTTTGCAGTAAGCAGTGGCTTTCTTCTGCCACCGTGATGACGTCAGTAAGTTTCTGTGCGTTGGGTGAGCAGGCCCAGTTTAGGGGTTCCATGGCAGGTTGGGGTGTCGCTCTGAACCACACTGGCTAAATGCAGGAGCTGCCCAGCACTGAGGCCCAACTGGCCAGACCCAGCGTCTCCCCTGGGCTTTTAATAAAGCCCAATGTGCCTTTAATCAAAGGAATTCACTGACACGAGGGAGTGGTACATCTGGCCTGACCAGGTTCCAGGCCCGTCTCCATGGGGACACCCTGCTGGTCAGTGTTGTCCGGGGGGAGATTGTTCAGGGCAATTCCAGACAGGGTAATCCCAGCTCTGGTAGACTGTGGTGCCCCCAAACCAACAGGAGACACCTTCCACCATAATGAGCATGGCGTTGACCAACCTGGGGCCAGCTTCTCTGTGCTGCTTAACTTCCCTCAAGGATGGCCAGAGCTGGCACTACAGGGTAAGCTTAGGAGCCAAGCCTGGAGTCGTTGCAATGGGTGATGTAGTACCTAGGACCTGGGTCACAGGCTAGTCGGCAGTGTCCAGCAGGACACGTTAGAGTGTTTGCAGAGGAGAGTGCTGCCTGGAGTGTGATGGTCACCAGCTCGTCTCCTGCCCCAGGCAGTGAGGGTTCTGGAGATGACCGTTCCAACCTGCCAGGTGGCTGAGCTCTGACCTCCCAGCCGGCCTGGCTCTGGTGCAGCACCCGGGGGCCACAGAGGAAGAAGGGGAGAAGCATGGGGCAAAGGCCACGGCCCTCCCCCTATGGAGGACGAGGGACTCCAGGGAGGACACGGTCGGGACGTCACTCCAGGCTCACCCAGTCCGGCCTCAAGGAGGTGGCACCTGGGGGAGGACAGCATTTTTGGCTGTCCTCTCCCCCACCCCCTGAAAGGAAGGGTCTCAAATCCTACTCATGAGTGCGTCAGTTGCCCAAGTCCCCACCTCTGACACTGACTTCTGGGGTTGGGACCTGTGTGGACAGGGCTAGGCGTCTTTTGTCCACACCGGCCTACTGTGGCCCTTCCTGCTGGGCCACATGCAGGCATGTCTCCCCTGACAGGTGTACCCTATACTGCTCTCCTGCACACCTGGGCAGGTGAGGCTGCCCTCTCCCTTCCCGCAAGGCCCGTTCCGGGGCAGGGCTGCTAGACGGTCACTCTTGCCCACCACCAGCAGAGGGCAGCAGAGGAGCAGTGGGGACCTCCTTCCCTGGCAGGACCAATATCCCATTTGGGTCCCAGATTCAGTCCCAGGCCGGGATCTGGATCAGAAAGCAGTGGAAGATGGCCCAAGTGCTTGGGCCCCTGCATCCATGTGAGAGGCCCAGTGGAAGCTCCGGCTTCAAATTAGCTCAGCTCTGGTCATCGCAGCCATTTGAAGAGTGAACCAGTGGATAGATCTGTCTCCTGCTCTCTCTCTATAAATCTCCCTTTCAAATAATAACTAATTTTAAAAAACAGCAAACACGGACTGTTATTTCCTTCCTGTATGCAACATAAGCAAAACTTGCCAGACCCACTAAGTGAAGCACAGTGGGGCCCACCTGTCCTAAGTCCCCCAGCTCCAGCCCCCTCCCAGAGACTGCTGGTGAGCGGCTCTTGCTGCAGGTCCTCTGGTCTCCTGGCTCCCTAACTCCAGGGACACACACTGGTCCCCAGGTGAACACAGGACCTCGCAGCGCCGGGAGCTCCTCTAGAACGCACTGCTGCAGCCCCCTCTCCAACATCCTGGGATCAGAGAATCCCACCCCAAACCGGCCGCTCAAAGTAAGGCGGGCACTGTGGACCCATCCGGGGCCCACACTGGAGCCGATCGCCCAGTCATTGCTTAGCGCCACCCTTGGTCCCTGCGTCCCGCCAGCCCCAGGGCATCTCCCCTCCTCCTCCTCTCGCGGTGAACCCCCTAGACCGGGCTGTGAACCTCTTCCATCCAGCGCCGGGAGAGAGGCTTATGCTGACCCAGGTCAGTCCTCCCGAGTTAAAAGGGGAGGAGCGCAGGGATTGCGGCTGGGGCGCCGCCCGCCTGCTGAGGCGGTTCAAAGATCCCGCAAGGCGGGAGGAAGCGAGCACCTCTCACGGGATCAACGCACCGCCTCAACGTTGGCAGGCAAAACGGCTCGCATCTTCTCAGTCCCGAGCCCTGCTCTTTCAACGGAGCCCAAGGCCACGGAGGCAGGAGAGGGTGGCGAGCACCAGATCCGCTAGCGAAGTGGTTTCAGAATCCACCCCCTTCTCCCCACCTCGCACGCCTAGCCTCCGTGATGTGCGATGGAGAGCCCAGTGGTTATCCAGGCTGCGATCTTCCCGCGTGCCAGAACGCACCAGGCAGACGCAGAACAAGGGCCAGGCACCAGGAGGGCCCCCAAGTGAGGGCTCCTCACAAGGGCACCCCCCTGGTCTCCTCACACAGTTACTACTCACCCTCACTTGAGGTCTCTGGTCTAAGTCCCTGCCTTACACTGGTGAGACTTGGAAGCCAGCCGTGAATCGCCTCAGCATCCCAGGAGCAGTGGTGCCTTGGGGAGCAAGTTTCCCTTCCTCAGCCCACACTGTGCCACTGCAGCCCCAGACCTCTGACCAATGTCCCTTCCCTGGGATCCCAGGAAACTGGGAGCCACCTCACTCAAGGGGCCTGGTCTCCTGGCAGCCACAGCACCCCTACTCCTGAGCCCCCTGAATTTACTTACTTGAGAGGGAGAGAGAGATCTATCTCCCGTCCACCCAAGGCCCAGGGTGGAGGCCAGAAACTTCCTCCAGGTCTCCCTCTCGGGTAGCCAGGACTCCACTAACCACCTGGGCCCCACCAGAGACAAGACTGAAGCTGTGCTAGAGAAGGGGTCCAATCCTGGCATTAGGGCATCATGAACAACAGGTGCTACATCTGCCTTTTGCATTTTTAAAACTCCCATCTTCCTGGTGTCTTCACAGCCACACGAATGGGTCTCAGCGCCTGCCCTAGCAGACCTGATATACCAAGGTGACAAGGCACACCTCTGCCTCAAGATCCCTTCTTGCCCTCCCTGCCCAAGACCCAGTGACCGCACCATCCTGACCCTGTCGTTGAGTCCCCACGGTTCCCAGCTGCGTGGCTACTGAGCTGCTCCCCATGGACTCTTGTTTTGCCTCCCGTGTGTACAGAGCTGTTTAGCCGGATCCCTAAAGACCCACGGGGAGTCTCATAGCACACCCTCGTCTTCCTCAGGCGTGTCCCAGCCCTTCTGCTGCACTCAAACAGGTCTGGTGGTCTCAGCACACTAGACCTTGTCCCTAATGGGCTGGCTGCACCAGCATGACCACTCAGGGCAGACCCAAAGGGTGCTGGGTGCCTTGTCCATGCCTTGCCCCCAGGTCTGTGACAGTCCGGGACCCGGCACCCCCAGCCCTGCAGTTCACTGCCTTTGTAGAACCTGTGATAGGGCCAGGCCCCACGCTGACCCATTACCATGGAGCTTCCAGCATGCAGGGCTCTGCAGTGCCCTCACGTCTGCTGGGCTGGGAGAGCTGGAATTGCAGCCTGCGGGGGCTGTCCTGCACAAGGAAGGAACAAGAGGGTGTGTCACCAGTGCCACCCTGCACCCCTCCCCCAGCAGCCCCATTTCCGTTTCAAGACCCTAAAGACCCTTGATGGTCCTGGGGTCAGGTTTCCGGTCTCAGTCACATTCCAGAGAGAGGCATGCATCTGCAGCCACCCTGGACCAGCGGCTGCTGGGTGCCCTTTCCTGTACTTAAATGCTACCATCTCCACCCTGACTGCCACGCACCCACCTGCTAAGGCCCCGCATGTGAGGATGGCTCCCGATACCCTCCTTGGCAGGCCTCAGCAAGCTGAGCCTTCCCCTGTGGGAGGGGGTCCCAGACGAGGCGACCCCTCCCCAGGGGCGAGGCTGCCCTTCTGGAAAGCACTGGTTCTCACATGGACCACAGTTCGCGTGGCTCCCGTGAGCTGCCCGTTCACTTTCCCTTCCTTCTTCCTGCTCTTACATTCCATTCCCTGCTCCACTACTCAGGGACGGGGAAGAAAGGACGTGACTTCAGGAGCTGGCTCCTGTGGCCAGCAGCCAGGGCGAGCTGGGTGCTGTTCGAGCCAGACTGCAGGACCCTTCCTAGGAGGCCTCTCCCTCGGCTTCCAAGGCCTTCCACTGCTGGGACACCAGCACGACAGTGCCCATCCACAGACTTAGGTATCAGTCACGTGTAGACCCTTGCAGGTGGGAGCTGACTAGGTAGACATCACACCCCAACTCTCTACCCAAGGGCAGAGGGAACCAGCCTGCTACCTGCCGCCTCGGATCCCTGCATCTGATCGGCCTGGGAATCACAGGAGCACAGCTGCCCACACTAGCTCCCATCGGCCTGGGCCTGCTCCAGACCAGAGGCGCTGAGTGGGCACGCCAGCCGACCCAGCCCTAAGCCCAGGTTGCCAGCTGGGCCATCACAGGGCCCAGCGGGAATCCAGTGAATGCCCTGCGGGCTGGAGTGGAGGGCCCCATCCTGTCACAGGACCTGACAACAGCTGATGCTCAGAACGAGGGGGGAGGGGGCCAGGCCACTGGCCGACGGGGAAAACAGGGCAGCCAGGGCTCCCTGCAGCCTGCCCTTGCAGCTACACCAGACTTGCTCCTCCTTCTCCCCTTCTCCCCAGAGCCTCGGGCCTGACTGACCACAACCGGAGAACCATCTGAAATACGGGCGACATTCCGCCCGGGGGAGCGGCTCGCAGAGACCCAAATGCCCCCTCCAGCTCCTGGGGTCGAAGTACCAGCTCCTCCCTGTCCCTCCTCTCCAATGCGCTTCGCCCTCCCCGGGATCCGCACCTGAGAGCCCGCCTGCGCCAGGAGAGGGCCAGGAGCCCCGGGAGTGTCCCTGGCCCGGCGCGACCCCCGCACGCTCTCGGCGCTCGGCGGCCCGGCGGGGAGGGGGCCGGGGGCGGGGCGGCCGGTCGGTGTCGGGTGTCGCCCCGCGCACACCTCGGCGGGGGCGGGAGGGAACCAGTGAGACGCGAAGACCTCCGCCGTCCTAGAGCGGAGCAGGAAGTGTCCCGGGGGAGGGCGCGCGGGGTCCGGCCTTTCCGCGCCTCGGAGTCCGCGAGCTCGGCGGCGCCCGGCGGCCGGGGGCGCGCGGCGGGCAGCGGCGGGGCGGGCGCGAGGCGCGGCCGCTCGGGCGCCTCCTTTCGCGCCGGGCCGCGGCTCTCTGGATGGGCGCGGGCGGCGCTGGCCCGCAGCGGATCGGGCCCTGCGGGGAGGCCGTGCCGGAGAGGATCAGCGGGGGCCGGGACCGAGGACAGGATCCCGTGCCGCAAGAGGGGCCCAGGCGGGGGCCAAGCTCAGGCCGCGAGGTGCGCGGGAGTGGGTGGGGGTGTGGGGGCCGAGCGCCCTCCGTGCGGGTCCGGCCATCCCGGCCTCCGGGCGGGAAGAGGCACAAAGAGGCGCGAGGCCTGAGCGCTTGGGCTCCAGGTGTGGGAGGCAGGGGCAGGTGCGCAGCACGGGCAGGTGGCGCTGACGGGTCCTGTGCCCCCCGGCTGCTGGATGCCGGTCTGCGGTTTTGCAGCTGCCCCAGTCTCGGCGGTCTTCCTGCAAAACAGGGGCCAGGCCGGCGTCGCCTCCGCACCTGGGGCTAAAGACGCGGAGGGCTAGGTGCAGGGAGGGGAGGTGGGTGTGAGAGCCACACCTGCCCGCTCACTGTCCCGGTACCCAGAGTGTATGCATGGGGCAACCACGGTGAGCTGGGATGGTCGCTGGTCCCCCGACCGTGCCCCAGGCTGTGCCCTGCGTGTAGCAGCCAGAGATGCAGGCGCCCGAGCCCTGCACCTCGGGGCTGTAGACACTGCTGCAGGAGGAAATGGGCTGGGGTGTCCCCAGAGAGGAGTGGACTTGGCTCATCAGAAACCCCGATGTCGATGCGCTTTTGCTGATGCCACTTCTCCTGACCTCAGGGTCTGAGCCTGTTTCCCCACCGCGCTTCACCCCTGGGGTGGCCCCAAGGCGGGCTTGTACTTCCACCTTGGACTTATGGTAGAGGGCTGGGTACCCAAGGGGTCCTCCTACACTGACCTGGCCCCAGGAAGCTACGGGGCCCCTCGCCTGGCCCACGAGGCCCCTCCTGGAGTCCAGGGCAGATGCCTTGCTCACTCACGAGCCGGCCTGAACGGATACCCAGCAGCGTCGCCACCTCGTGTCCTTGTGTAAGGACTGCTCCTGGACCTCTGACGCTGAAGTGGTCATTTCTGTTCCTATCCAGGGTCGCCTTCCGCCACCGGTCATGCCCACAGCGCTGTGCCCCCGAGTCTTGGCTCCGCAGGAAAGCGAAGAGCCCCGAAAGATGCGGAGCCCCCCGGGGGAGGACCATGGTCCGCAAGCAGAACCACCAAGCCCCGAGTCTTCCCGCCGGCTCTTCCGCCGCTTTCGCTACCAGGAGGCGGCAGGGCCACGCGAGGCTCTGCGCCGCCTGTGCGAGCTGTGCCGGGGCTGGCTGCGGCTGGAGCGGCGCAGCAAGGAGCAGATCCTGGAACTGCTGGTGCTCGAGCAGTTCCTGGCCATCCTGCCGCGCGAGGTGCAGAGCTGGGTGCGCGCACAGGAGCCAGAGAGCGGCGAGCAGGCGGTGGCGGCGGTGGAGGCACTGGAGCGCGAGGCGGGCCGGCCCTGGCAGTGGGTGAGGCAGCGGGTGGGGATAACAGGGAGGGCGGGATTGGCTTGCCCGCGCCCAGACCCTGAAGCCCTCTCTGGGGTCGCAGCTCAAGCACTGTGAGGATCCAGTGGTAATCGAGGACGGGGAGCAGGAGCCAGAGCAGCCACAGACGGAGCCGGCAGGGAGCCCTGACACCCAGCTCTTGGCCCTGGCACCGGGCCCCGGGCTCCCCAGTAGACCTGCAGGCCAACTCATAGGGGACCCAGGTATGCAGCCACACTTGGTCTTCCCGCGGGTCCCCCCACAGAGGTGACATCTGAGGTGCATCTCTGGGCCCTGCCACTGCACATGTCTGGGAATGCACCAGGACCCAGGTGGATTCCTAGGGTGGGAGAGACTGAATGCCCCCAGGGAGGAGGAATCCTGGCCATAGATTCCTGCCCCTTCTGTAAGTCCTGCCACATCTGCGGCCAGAGTAATGAGAGGGAGGGCAGCTACCTGGGCGAGCCCCGGTCCCCTCTTCCTGTCCCGGCACCAGCCATGGGAGCTAGGCTCACTGAGGCCACAGCCTGTGTCCTTGTGGGGTCAGCACCTCAGCGTGGACGTGCCTCAGCAGCAGATGTCGGATGGTCACTCACCCAAGCACACAACATCTGGGCTATTGCTGCTGGAGTGGACAGGTGCCCCGGGTGTGTGGTGCCCAGACGGGCTCACCGGATACCCCTTGTGTGGTCTCTTGCAGTTCTGCAGGATGCCCCTCTTCAGGAGGAGAGCATGCGGGGTGCCCCGCAGATGGCCACCCTCCAATTGCCTCTGGTGAGTCTCAACCCATGAAGCTGCCAGACAGGCAGGGCTGAGGCCTCCACGACCCCAGACACCGCCCTGCCCAGGCCGCGAGGCATCTGGCTGTCTTCCTGGCCAGCAGGAATCGAATGAGCAGTGGTCACGCTGTCAGTTAAGGATACCTTGTCTGAAATCTTGGGTCCATCAGAGTTTCAGATTTTGTGATATTTGTGCATACAAAGGTACCTGAAGCTCTTGGGAAATGGGATTGTTAGTTTAGGGTTGGGCAGGTAAGCCCCTGCTTGGGCTGCCTGCCTCCTGTCCTGTCTCTGCTCTCAGTCCAGTTTCCTGGGAGACAGCAGTGATGGCTGCTTAGTTGCGAGTCCACATACCCACTGTGGGGGAGGCCCAGACTGAGCCTTGACCCCTGGAGCCCCAAGCCACCGAGTGAGAATGGGATTCTGGCAGAATCCTCCAGACAGCTCCTTTGCACCTGCAAAAAGCCTGTCTCAACCCGGAATGCAGACATAGGACTTGTTAGAGTTGATGTCTAACTTTTGGAATGTGTTTCGAACCTAGGGAAGATGGCAGGAATAAGTGCCAAGACATATGGGTCCCCTGTGGCTCCCCAGCCCTCCCCTTCTTCACTGCCCGCCCTGAGGAGACCGGGTGTGCCCCGGCAGCTCTGTCATCCCCACGCGGGTTTTCTAAGTGATGGGGATCGCTCACAGAAGAGGAAGCCATGCGGCCTCCTTGCCCGGTGTGTCTTCTGCCTGGGTTTTCCATGACTGGGTGGAAGTGGTCTGGAGCTCCGTGAAGGTCAGTCCCATGCCCTGGCAAGGTGGCTGTCCTGGTCCCTGAGCCAACATGGGCGCTGCAGTAGATTCTGTGCTTGTTCTGTCCAAAAAGCAGATAGATCTTCCACCCCCAGGCTCACTCCCCAATGCCTATAGCAGCCAAGGGTTGGGCAGGCCAAAGCCAGGAGCCTGAGGCTCCATCAGGTCTCCTGGAGGGGCAGGGGCCCACCAAGCCAGTGCCTCCCAGCAAGCTGGTGTCGAGCAGAGCAAGGACGCTGATCTGGACTGTCGCATGAGGGCTGTGGACACCCAAGCAGTGTCTTACCTTCACCTCCAGATAGATGTCAGCTCTCGTACCAGCATCCCTTTGAGCTGGTGCAGAGCACTGCTCACTGTGGAGAGGCCAGTGTTACTGTCCCGGCTTTGGGCACCGTGTCTGCCAGTAGATGGCGCTCTCTTCCAAGGACTGTCTGCCTGGGCTGGGTGGGTGAGGCCTGGCAGGTGTCTGAGGGTGGTGGTACACCTGCGCATGTGTAGTTCTATGTCTGCCCCGAGTTGTGACCAGGCAGCCCGCCACTGTCCGTACCAACTGTACATCCTCCAGTTGTTGGCCAGCAGTGTGTAGAAACAGTAAGTTTCCCATGACCTTAGATTCTGGAAGGTTCCTAATAAGTCGAGGGACAGGTATTTTGGCCTCCAGGCCTAACAGGTGTTAGAGGTGCTTGTAATCGGATGCTTCTCTGGTAAGGACCAGGTGACTGTGAGTTTACATTTCGCCACAGTGGCCAAGAGTCATTTTATGTGCATTCTCAGCTAACTTGACCTTTATGAAAGCTTATTTATTTGAAAGGCAGAGTCACAGAGGGAGGGAGACCTTCCTTCACTGGCTCTTTCCCCAGATGGCCACCACAGCCAGGGTCAAGCTAGGCTGAAGGCAGGAGTTTCTTCAGGATTTCTCACATGGATATAGCGGCCCAAGGACGTGGGTCACCCTTCACTGCCTTCCCAGGATACAAGCAGGAGCTGGATGGGAAGAGGAGCAGCCAGGGCATGAACTGGTATGTTGAATGCCAGCTTCTTAGGCAGCAGCTTCATTGGCTGTGCCACTGCACGGCCGAAGTCCCTTCTGCTGACACAGGTGTGGCTGGCTGGCGCTATCCACCAGCCTCATGGTGTCGGTGATAAAGGTGCCCCAATCTGGTGGGGTGATGGACTCCACCATAGAGCAGGGAGAGGAGGGGAGCTGGGATTGCGCTTATGTCAGAGATTCTTCCTTCTGTGAAGGGTGGAGGGGGAGCAAGCTCCCACCTGCTGTTTCACTGCTGAAATGTCTGGACTTTTGCTCCCCTTTGTGTTACAATACTGAAGCAGAGGCAGGGGTTGGGGCAGGGGTGCCCGCCATCTTCTGGGCATATGTGCGGGATGCTGGTGCAGACCTCACCCTGCACCTCTGCCACGTAAACTGGGCTGAGCACCCTGGTGACCTAATTACCAAGAGTCCCAGGAGGAGGCCCGTCCCCCCCTTACCTGTGTTCAGCTGGGGTCCATACCACCACAGCACACCCCCACCCCCGCCACGGGGGTCTGAGTGTGCATACTGCCCAGAATTGGGGTGGAACATCCTGGTCCCAAGCAGGTGGTAAAAGGGTTGAACAGGGAATCCTTAAGTGCAGGGACACCATCCGACAGAGCTGGGGCAGAGTTTGAGGCAAGGGCCTTGAGCTGCACACCTGTTCTCTGTCTGGGTGAGGCCAGCCCAGCCTGGTGGTGCAGGTAGCAGGTGACGGATGCCCCCAGGGAAGAGTGGCTAGACAGTATGTATATCCTTGGAAAGGCTCTGTTGCCCCTGCCATGCCTCTCCTGAGAACAGATGCTAATGTGGATGCCAGGGAGGCCTCTGATCCTAAAGAGGTGAGCACTGGGTGAACATGCTCCCGGCATGCTCTGGGGAGAGGGTGGTACAAGGGATGGAATTGTCACTCAGAAGGGAGGCAGCCCGTGCAGGTGGCGGCTGGGGCTGGGCTACCCAAAGCCAGGCAAGGCCATGGAGCATGAGGGGTTCAGACTGGCCTAGTCCCTGCCACTTGTCTTCTCCAGTCACCCGAGTGGGATGGGGGTATCTGCTCTGGGCCAGATCTCAGTAAGAAGCCACAGTAGTGCCCACAGTCCCAGCTGGGGCCACCCTCTGCACACATGGTGCCTGAGATCGAGCCTTCCTGCGGGAGCAATATGAGTGGGAAGCCGGGGCATGCATGGCTGTCCCCAGGAGGAGGACCCTGAATTGAGTGCAGGCCTGCCCCATGTGCCCAGCTTGCCCTGCTCCTGGGCACCTTGCATCAGCACTATGAGGTGTCACAGGCACCCTGACCGAGGCCCCGTCCTGTGGTTTCAGAGCTCGGCATCTCCCTTCAAGGACATGATTCTGTGCTTCTCTGAGGAGGACTGGTCCCTGCTGGACCCTGGCCAGACCGGCTTCTACGGGGAGTTCATCATTGGGGAGGACTGCGGAGTCTCTGTGACACCCTGTAAGACACAGCTCCCAGAGCGGGAAGGGCTCCAAAGCAAGATACTGGGAATGGGGGGATGGGGTGCTTGAACCCAGTACCCTACAGCTCAGTGATCCACGTGTCCTTTGACCTTCTGGAACAGACGACCCAGCTGCCCAGCCAGACCTCTCCCTGGGGGAAGAGCTGCCAGAGTTGCATGCAAAGGAAGCTCCCCAGGATTCCTCAATGGGTGAGTGAAGAAGGTACCAGAACTGGCAGTGCCTTGTCTGGATATGGCAGATGTCCTGCCTGGGGCATAAGCATCTTCCCACCACTGGGCCCTGAGTCCATCCCCACCAGGTGTCTGTCTGGCCTGCTCTTCCACCCACCGCATCCAGGGCGAGACTCAGTGGAGGTTCCTAGTTGCCCATCAACCTGTTGTCACTGGAATTCAGACCCTGGCTGGAACTTTGGGGGCAGCAGGTGAGGGTCCTAGCATTAGCCCCTTTTCCTTGGGACCCGGGGGTTCCCCAAGTAGGATCTAGTCCTCCTGTCCAGCTGGGCTGCATCCTCTGACATGATGGGCTCAACTCAGGACCGTTCAGGTTCTGCTCTCCATCTGGACTTTCAGAAGAGTCATGTGTTATTTTGAAAGAAATTTAGAGTTGGCTCTTCTGTCTGGTTCCCTCCTCCAGAGGGCTGCGCTGACCAGGGCTAGGCCAGTCAGAAGCCAGGAGCCTGGCCCACCACCCAGGTTTCCCCCATACTCTGATGGGGTCCAAGCTCTTGGGCCATCCTCCACTGCCTCGCAAGCGCATTAGGGAGCTGGATCAAAGTGGAACAGCTGAGACTCGAACTGGTACCTGTGGGGGTTCAGCCTTGTGGGCTGTTGTCATCCCCCAGTGCCCGCCTTTCAGTCTGCCTCTCGAATCCATCCTCATGGCCCCTTTTGCTTTCATTCAGTGGGCACTCAGTGGTGCCCAGGTCCATTGTGAGACAAACCAACTTTCTTGCTTTTCTCCCTGGAAAGATGTTGTGGCCTTGCAGCCCTCTGAAGTGGACGAAAGGAACCGTGAGGACCTGCAAGTGCCAGAATCCCAGGCCTTCCAGCAGGCGGCACTTCCTCCAGACTCCGACCCAGGTAAAGCAGGACTGGCAACAGAGCAGGTGCCGCACTGAGCACACAACACATACGCATGAGACGCGTGTGTGTACCTGAGTGTGCTGGGCTCGTGGCTGAGGTGTCACATGGCAGGGGTAGAGGGGAGAGGCAGGGGCGCAGGGTCCTCCCAGTGAGGACCCAGGTTGGACCACAGATGTCTGCCCTTCCCCGGGGGTCCCTGGGGCTGGGCACACCTCTCACCTCCACTTGCACCTCCGTAGCTGCAGGTGGCCCACAGACCCTAGAGAACGGCCAGGAGGAGCAGGAGGAGGTGACCATCGAGATTGTGCTGTCCAGCTCTGGGGATGAGGACTCCCAGCACGGCCCCTACTGCGGGGAGGAGCCTCCCAGCCCCACCGAGCCACCGCTGCGCCGGAGGGCCGAGGCACCCACCTCCCAGAAGAGCTATGTGTGCCCTTCCTGCGGCAAGGCCTTCCGCTGGAGAGTCAACTTCCTGCGGCACCTGCGCAGCCGCAGGGACCAGGACTCGCCGCACGTGTGCCCGGAGTGTGGCGAGGTGCTAGGTGAGGGCCAGGACCTGGATGGGCATCTAGAGGCCCACGGGGCCCAGAGGCCATTCCGCTGCAGTGCCTGCGGGAAGAGCTTCCGCCTCCACTCGCATCTGCTCTCCCACCGGCGGATCCACCTGCTGGAGCCTGAGAAGCCACAAGAGGCAGGGCGGGACTACGCATGCCGGGACTGCAAGCGCACGTTCCTGCGCCAGGACCACTTGGCTCGGCACCGCAGCCACACGCACCGGCGGGACGCGCTGCACCCTTTCCAGTGCCGCTACTGCGTCAAGAGCTTCACACAGAACTCAGACCTCCTCCGCCATGAGCGCATGCACATGAGGCAGCGCTCCAAGCAGGCCCTGAACTCCTACTGAGGGATCCCAGATACCACCCCTCCCTGAAGCTGGCCCTGCAGGAGCCAACCGAATGCCATGGTCCCTGGACCGGCAGAGGGCTTGGCTGGGCCACTCCCAGCCTGCTCTGCACACGGGCCCCTGGGTCCAGGGTGGCTACTGTCCCGTGTGTAGCATGTCCTCAGGAGGCACTCTTAGCTGGGAGCCCCAGGCCCTAGTCCCCTGTGATGTATGTGGGGGGTGGGCTCCCAAGGAAGATATTGGTCCTCACCTGTGCTGGGCACCTATCTCAGAACACTGCCTGCCCCGAGAGTTTTGGGGTGGAGCTGAGCCCCCCTGGGCTTTGCCTGAAGTTGCTGTGAGTGGCAGGAATGTCTGGCACTGCCCAGGGTCAGGCCCTCAGCAGGGCTGAACATTCCTAGGGGCCGGAGGGAGGATCCCTGATTGGGCCAGCCAAGAGCAGTGACATGGTTAAAAGTTGGCATTGCCACTTCCTGGAGACGGATGGGAGGGGGAGGAGCTGGGCCCTAGCAGCAGGTTGAAGTGCCCTGTGACATCTAGAAGATTCTATAGGTGCAGCAGCTGCTGGGGGGTGTTGATAGGGGGTCCTCACACCCAGAACCACATGGTCAGAATAAATGGCCAAGGCTCATGGTTTTTTAACATCTGTCTCTGTAGTTGGGGAGGGCCAGACCTGGGGTCACTTGGCCTCCAAGGGTGGGAGAGGCGTGAAGTCTGGTCAAGAAGGGACATGTCGGGACTGGAGGGGGCTCCAGGAGGTGTCTGTGATTTGGAAGTGAGCACCCCTGTGGTTCCCAACTGAGATGGATAAAGTATTTGGGAGACAGCTGAAGTAGCCTTTAAAATTGCTTTTGGGGGACAGAGTGGTTGGGCCACAGCCTGCAATGCCAGTGTCATGTGTGGGTGCACCTGTGTGTAGACCTGAGTGAAGCTGGAGTCAGCACTGAGAGTCCCCACAGGGAGACTGTCCTGTGTCTGACCAGGAATGGTCACAATTAAGTGCTGGCAAGGGTGGTAAACAACAATCCGGCTAAGGCCTTTGGGATGTGAGGTGCCATGGGGGGTGAGGGGTCTCCTAGCTGGGACAGAGGATGCAAAGAACCAAGACATGGAGCTGTGAGCTGGAGCCCCTGGCTCAGCCTAGACCACCTTGGGGGGGTGGGCACAGGAGGGGCCAGAGGACAGCATTACTACAGGACGCTGCTCGGGAACCCAGCTTGCTGCAGGTCATAGGGCCGCTCCTGGAGTGGCACTTTGACTGCTTCCAGCACACCAGACCCAAGGACCCTGAAATCCAACTGCTGTGTGGGAAAGGACCCCGGAGAGTGGGGGGTTTCAACCTTGAGCAAGTCCCCTCCCACCTGGACATGGCCCATCCCTATTGGACGGGCCCCTCCCATGGAGCCCACTCCAGGCACAGCAAACGACGCTGGACCCAGGCTGCAGTGCTCCCTCCATCCTGAGAGGCCCAAGGTGGCACTGTGCCTGGCACCAGCTCGCAGCTCCAAGCTGGCTCGTGTGGGACCTGGAGCCACACTGAGGATCTGTGAAAGAGGGTGGGGCTTCTGGCCACCAAGGTTTGCTCTGAAGTGCTAAGACGCTGCTAGAACTTTCCAGGCCAGGCTGGCAGGGGTCCAGGCACAGCCAGCCAGCTTGGAGGCCATTCCCATCACGTCTTTCTGGCCTAATTGTCTATTGTTGTTTCTCCAGACATAACCACACTGTCTCTCCCTCACATTGGACACCCAGCCTGAGGGATCCATGGGTCTAGGGCCTGACATGTGGCCCAGGGCACAAGACTGGTAATGGGGTTCCAGAGGAGGGGGCCAACGTCTGGGGACCCAGTCCTGCCTGAGGAAACAGAGAAGTCACTGGGAGCTGGGATGGGCCTGAGGACAGATGTCTGGCTTGGGCACCCCCAAAGGCTACAATTTGCATAGGTGGGGGCTACTGTCACTCTTCCGTCTCAGCAGCTCCAAAGTGTCCAGCCGTGCTAACCACAGTGCATTTCTGAAAATCCCCTCCCTGCCTGTTGCCTGTGGAAACGATGTTTGTTGAAAAAAGCCCGCCTTTTTAGATGGCCAGCTCCGGGAGCCCCTCCCACCTCGGAGGAACTGGGTGGACTGTGCTGCTCCCAGACACCATCTGCCATGCCCCCATTGGCAGGGAGGGACCATGTGCAGGTCCTGGGCCTGGCCTGTGTTCTGCCGCCAGTCAGAGCAGGCCAGGAAACATCCAGCTGTTAGACTGTTAAGTGTTGGAGGCCCAAGGGGACTGCAGAAAGGATCACTTGATCCATACCCCACAGAGCTGACCCCACCCATGAGGACAGCTGTGCCCCAGGAACCTGGGCCCGCACTGGCAGCAGAAAACAGTGCCTGAGCTGCTTGTTCTCATTTAAGGTCTGTTTATGCAGAAGGCAGAGTCACAGGGAACGAGCTGCAGCCCTGCTCTGCCTGGATGCTGGAGGGATGCCGCCCTGCGCGTGGCTGTTGCAGCTGTCACGGATCAGCTGTTGCCTCCGGCTCCTGCATCTCTGTGAGCGCCCCAGCCTGTGCCGCGGATTCTGTACCCACCAATGGGCTGACACAGCTGTACAGCCCTGGGGTCTTCTTATTGGCTGCCTCGTGGAGTGATTTGTCCAATCAGCCACGACCTGGAAAGTCGCCTCGTTTGCATACATCCGCTCTGGCTCCAGCCCCTGTGTGCTTGCCTCTGGGACCCCCAGACCCTGGGCGTTGGCACTGGAGTCACCGCAGCTGCCTGGGTCTCCCCGCAGTTAAAACATGTCAGCGGAGCCGGAGCCTGAGCCAGAACAGGACACGATCGGCCAGGGCGAGGAGGGGCTGGGGGCCTCCCTCCTTGAATGCTGCCTGGGGTCCCCAGGGGTCATGCAGAACCTCCGCCGGAGTCCCGGAGGGGTGATCAGGCCACAGCTCGCATCGGAACCGCAGGGCGAGACCAACAGCAAGCTCTTATGAGCCGGCGTCACCCTGAGATGCCAGGTCAGGTCATTCTGGCCCCTCCTTGAGGGGGGCAGCCTGTTGCCCACCCCCACAGCTTGTGCCCACCTCATCCTGCCCAGCGGAGCCAGCTGTCCCCTGAGGAGAGCTGAGAGAGCCCTGTGGATGCACCCACAGATTCAAACGAACAAGCCAAGACACACCCACTTTATTCAGCAGAGGGAGCCCACGCAGGGATAGGTCAGACGGCTGGACACCCTGCAGGGGACTCCCAGGGAACCCCAAGACACACACTGTGGGTGGAGAAGCTAAACATTTATGCCCCACCTCCACCTTCTGGGGACACCAGTGGGCATGGGTCACTCGCAGACACAGGCTTGAGAAATGACAGGGATTCAGCTGAGGTAGGGAGGGGGCCTTGGCATCGAGATGGGGGGACAGGTGGTGAAGAAATGGCAGGGGAGCCAGGGGAGGTGAGAACCTGCCTTTCATCCCTGTCCTGAAGCTGAGTCCCCACTTTCCCATGGTCACTAGGGCGCCTCAGGCCAGGACAAGACTCCAGGTACCCCTCAGGAGGGCTGGAATTGGGGACCCTTGAGGCAAAACCAAGGACCTAGGCTGTCCAGCAGGTGGGGGGAACTCTGGGGTGCACTTGGGGGGGGTACACACCCCAAGACCAGACTGCTGAGACAGGAAACGACATGAGGAAATGGGGGCGCCTGTGGAGCACAGTCCCCAGCCATCACCAGTGGGGTCCACGGAGACAGAGATGCAGGAGAGGGCCAGCTGTGAGGAGCGGCCTTTTTGCCCCGACTCAGCAACGTCACTGTACAGGGAGAGAGAGCCCACCACAGCCAGAGTTACTGCCCCACCTCACTGGAGGCTCTTTACCCCAGAAAGCTGCAACAAGCAGTGGAAACCTCTGCTCTGGCCAACCAGACTGTCAACGGGCCCCCAGGGGAGCTCTGGAGCCAGCAGAGCCCTCACGATCCCATCTCTGGCCTGCAGCAGCTCGTTCCTCCCGGTTCACTGCCTTCAGCCTTCACCCGTGGCCTTCAGCCCCTGCAGCGGCAGGCCCCGCCCCCACCAGCTGGGGCCCCGCCCCCTCGGCATGCCCCGCCCACCTACGGCAGCCAGCTCCTGCCACGCCCCCACCTGCCGAGGCCCCGCCCCTCCGTGGGCCCCACCCTCACCTGCAGCAGCATGCTGAGGCCCAGGTTGCGGTGCTTCTTTTCCAGCTCCGACACAGCTTGCAGCAGGGACCGGAACCGCTCCGCAGGGTCAGCTTGCTCGTCCTCAGGGGAGCCCTCCTCCTTTGCAGCCTCCTCCAGGAAGTGCGCCTCCTCCTCCGCGAAGAAGGCCCGCAGCTTCCTGTAGTCAGTCAGCGCCTTCTTCCTGCGATCCATCACATGTCCCTGCGGGATGGGAGGCGTCCTCAGCCCACCCTCCCATTCCACAGGCTGCTGGGAACTGAATGACAGCAGGTGCATGGATTCTGCGGCAGAGCCTGCTCAGAGCACAGTCTGCTCTGGCCCCAGGGTGCCGAGGCTGGAGCTGAGGCCTGGGACACTGGCCGGGGAGACCTGGTGGGCCTCCCAGGCGCAGCAGAGGGGCCACAGCGTCCGGCTCCAGTCTCCAAAACTGCCAACTTCAGAAACTTGTGGGGCAGCCAGTAAAGGCCTCGCCTACAGCGCCAGTATCCCATGTGGGCTCCAGTCCCCACTGCTCCACTTCCCATCCAGGTCCCTGCTAAAGGCCTGGGAAAACATCAGAGGAGGGCCGGAGAACTTACTCTCCTGCACCCACGTGGGAGACAGGGAGGAAGCTCCTGGCTTCTACCAGGCCCAACCTGGCCGTTGCAGCCATTTGGGGAGTTCAAACAGTGGACGGAAGGAATTCTGCCTTTCAAACAGGAAACAAATCTTTAAAAGAAAGACCCCTTCTCCTCACCCAGCACTGGGCTCCAGGGTCCAGCCTAGGCCGGTGCCACTGCCCACTTGTACCCCTCCAGCCTCCCCGGGCAGCTGAGCTGCTTTCCCACACCTGTGCCTCCTGAGGTCAGCACTGGACTGCACTTCCTGTGAGGACCCCAAGTTATAGCAACGTGAGAGCTGTGGTGGGGAACAGTCCTGTGTCCCATCGTCAACAGGTGACCACTGGGCGTGCACAGAGCATTGGTTCTGCGATTCCCAGGGGACCACTGCGCATGCACAGCGGATTGGTTCTGGGGCCCCCCAGGACGGTCAGATCCCCTTTGTGCACCAGCCACACCTCCAGACTCTTGGCCATCTCCTTGACATGACAGACAATTCAGTACCATCACTGCCTGTGGGGGACACAGTCCACACGTGCTCAGTAGAGACGGGGTGACAATGAGGCCCTGGCACCGTCCACCAAGGCTGCTGCCCCAGCTGGAGAGCATAGGCTCCTGTTCACCCACAGTCCAGCAGCATAGCTGCTGGACCATGGACTGCCTGGGATTCGACTGTCAGACGTTCCCACAACTTTCACCAGGAACCAGGCACGCAGGGCCAGGCCACACCACCTGCTGCCCAGGGAGCTGCCCTCAGATGCCCAGCTAAGGCTTGTGTGGCATGTCCTCACAGTGGACACACACAGACACACCCAGCCAGGTCCTTCACGCAGAGCACAGACCTGTGTATGCAGGAAGAAGCAGGTGCTAGGAACCACAGCACCCCACTTCCCCTGCCCCCCAGGGGTCCCCCAGGCCCCAGGGCCCCACTTGCCTTCCACACAGCGGCCGCTGACTCGGCCTGGCCATGCAGGTCCCGGGCGTCATTCAGATCCTTTCTCATGATCTCCACCGACCCTTTGTTCTCCTGGAGAGAGTAGGGGGGTGTGAGGGAAGTACTGGGAAGCCACACGAGGCCCTAGACCCTGAGCTCAGCCTTGGCCGGGCACAGACTGCTGACTTGCCCACGCCAGGCCCCCAAGTGCTGGTGGCCTCAGGCAGAGGCGGGTCCTGGACCCTGGTGGCCCACACAGGGGGTGTGGAAGGGGGCCACCTGGATGGTGCAGGTGCTGGGGATCTAGGCTCTTGACCCCACCTCCCCAGTGGAGCTTGAGCCTTCTCTGGACACTGGCCCCACACCAGGACAGCAGGACCTGGGGCAGCCTAGAGGGATGAGGTGACCCCTGTGGGCGCACATACTAGCCCAGAGAACACAGACAGCAGTGCCTGGCTAGGGTGCTCGGGCTTGTTGCCATAGGGACCATAATGTCCAGTCACAGTGCGCGCACCAAACCCCTGCCCCTGGGTTTGGCCCTGGGACTCCTCAAGCCGGAACTGCAGCCAGACTCCGTATGCAGACAGGTACCATGGCCAGCCTAGAGCACTGCCACAGCAAAGAAGGTTCCAGAAAGGGAGGCGGGGAAGTGGACAAGCCCCAGCCAGGAGGCCCAGCGCGCTGGGCGCACACCCAGTGCCGCGCCCCGCCCCCGCGCCAGACACGGCCAGGGCACAGGCCCGGGTGCTCACCTTGCCGCGCAGCGCCTTCCTCCAGCGCGGCTCCCACTCGGGCGGCTCGGGGCCTGCAGCCATGCGGCAGGCGGCACACAGCGGGGCCCCGTCGGCGCGGCACAGCAGCTGCAGCGCAGCCTCACTGGCCGGGCCGTCGCGCGTCCCCGCCGGCGCCGCGGCCGCCTCCTCGAGTGCCAGCAGGCGGCGGCTGAGCGGCGGGCGACCCGGCTCCACGGCGCGCTGCCAGCAGTCGTCAGCGCACTCCGGGCACGGGAAGGGCCCGTCCTCCTCAGCCCAGAAACGCACGACGCACGCCCGGCAGAAGCGGTGGCCGCAGTCGGCACGCACCGGCTCCCGGGGCGCGCGCTGGCACAGGGCGCAGGCGGCCTCGGCGGGGCCGGCGGGGAGCGCCAGGGCTGCGGGCGCCGGCGCCGGCGAGGCGCGGTGGAGAGGGAGCGGAGGCCGGGGCGGCGGGGACGGAGCGGGCGGCGGCGCCGGCGCGGCGCAGGGAAGAGGGAGCGGAGGCCGGGGCGGCGGGGCCGAGCGCACGGCGGACAGCGGGCGGCGGGGACGGAACGGCGGCGGGGACGCGCGGGGCGGGTCCTGCGGCGCCGCGCGCCCAGGTCCTGGTCGCGGTGTGTGCAGTCACGGAGGGTCCTGGCAGCGGTGTACGTCGGGAGCTGGGGGGCGGAGGGGGTCCTCGCGGCAGGGTACACAGCGAGGGAGGCTCCTGGCGACAGTGTGAGAACTAGCGGGCGTAACGACAGCGGTGTTATCTCGCGAGGGTTCTGACTGCGGTGTAAAGAACACGCGAGGGTCCTGACAGCTGTGCAAGTGGGAGTGCCCACAGTGGCGTGAGCAGGAGAGTCCCGGGCGGCGTAAGAACAAGCGGGGGTCCTGACAGCTGTGCAAGTTCGAGTGGGAGGTCGTGACTGCGGTGTGTGGCCGAGAGGGTCTTGACAGCCGTGTAAGTGCAAGCGAGGGTCCTGGCCGCGGTGTATACAGCGAGGGAGGGGCCTGGCGGCAGTGTGAGCGCGAGCAAGGGTCCTGATACTTTTGTAGAAGACTGGCCTGTAGGATATTTGTGTTTCACTTTGTGGGCCAAGTTGGAGGGCTCCGAGTGTGCAGCCTGCGCGCTGGGCCTCCAGACGGGCTTATCCACTCTGGCCTCCCTGCTTCACTGCGGCTGTGCTCCAGGCTGGCTGTAGTCCCTGACCTGGGACCTGTTTTTCCCTTAACGGGCGAATGTGGGACAACAATGCCTGCTTGCTTTTCTGGCCTGGATTGGGGTCTTCATTACTGAACCCTGCTTAGCGAAACCACACATCAGGAAACAAGGTGGGCTGTGGACAGATGGGAGTGGGGCAGGTGTGGTCATGGCCCTGTAAGGTCCTCTGAGGTCAGCTAGGGTGGAGGTTCCTGCCCCACCTCTCCCGGTGACAACATTGCAGAGTTCATCCATCCGCTGCCTCACTGCCCAAATGCTACAGCGGTCGTGGCTGGGCCGGGTTGAAGGCGGGAGTTTCTTTTACGTCTCCTACATAGGTACAAGGTGCAAGGACTTGTGCCATTCTCCACTGCTTTCCAGGGTATGTCAACAGGGAGCTGGGTGAGAAGGGGAACAACCCGGACTGAACCCAGCGCCCATGTGGGATGCCAGTGTCAGGGACTGCTGGCTCAAATTCCAGCATTCAGGGAGGGGCATGTGCTGGGTGGTGCTCCGTGCCCACCCCAGGAGGGGCTGGAGGTGGACAGGAGGTATAAGTTTGGAGCCCCTCCCAGTGCTGCTGACAAGAACAGCAGAACCCACTCCACGCTGTCCAGGCTGAGGCCATAGTTCTCAGGGCTTCACCCCAGAGGCAGACCCTGCTCAGCAATGGTCTCTGCTCCCACAGTGCAGCCCTGACCCAGGCCACTCTAGTCCCATTAGCGTCCCTCCGTCAGGAGCCACCATGCAGGTGTTGTCTCCATCCCAGGCTCTCGCGTTTCAGCTGGGGCCCTAAGGCTCCCTACTGTGTCAAGGTGGTGGGAGAGACATGCTCCAGGCCTTGCCATACAGCTGGAAGCTCCCCTGGACCTGCCAACAGGGGAGCTGTTCTCTTCACAACTTCATGTCATCCACACCCACTGCTGGGTCACACAGAGTGGAGGATGGGGCGCAGGGTCACACAGCACAGGCATTGGGGGACAGCTGCTGTTTGGTGGCAAGGAGTCAGAAGTATCAAAACCACTTGCACAGAATCCTCAAAACACAAAAGAATCCTCAGAACATGCTCCACGTCGGGTACTGAGGCGGTTGGGGGCTGGGTGTGGTCTCTCCCTTGTATCTTCCCTTCCCCCAGATACAGGAAAAGCAAAGAGAGAGAGAGAGAGAGAGAGAGCTGCAGGGGGGCAGCACGACAGGCTGGGCCAGGGGTCCTGCTGACAGCCCTAGCAGAAGTGGCATGAAAGAGGGGCCCCAGGACAAGGACAGGGCCCTCCCCACCTCACCAGCTGTGAGACTGGTGAGTGCACATCCTACCCATGGCGGGGACCCCTCTGGTATTACTGTCCCCCCATGCGAGTGACACGGGCTGCCCGGACAGGGCCCATGACCTCACAAGGCCTAGAAACTTGGGGCCAGGCACACGATGGCTGCTTGCTGGCACAGCCGCCAGTCACCGGGCAGCTATAATGCACAGGCCCGCATTGGGGCGGGGACTGCCACGTCACGCTGTTGCTGCCCACCATCAGGGTGCCAGTAGCCTTGAGGAGCCCTGCGTGCCCTCTGCATCTCTGGGCCCCCCTGCTGTCCCCCACTTCCAATCCCTGGGAGGCTCGCCCAAGCGCCAGATCGTGTTGGGGTCGCCTATTTCCCTGGCTAGTGCTATTCACTGAGATGCCAGCTGGCCCAACACGGAGAACCCAGGGCCGGCTGGGGGCCAGGGGCACCGCCATTCTGGGACTTCAGGAAGGGGAGTGGGAACAGCGCACTGGTCAGTGTGCCCCAGGTCGCTGGCAGGCAGCTGCAGCCCTGTCCCCTCACCTCTGCCCCCAGAAGCTCACTCCTTCCTTTGTCCTGAGGGAAACCTCAGGCTGCCCCCCAGAAGGGGGAAGCAAGTGACAGGTGCCGCTCACTCGATGGGTGAGGGTCCCACGAGTTTAGTGTTGATGTATCCCTGCCCTCCACACACTGTCTGAGGCCTTTGCAGCCTTTAATTTGGGTGCCTTGGGCTTGTACCCCAGATCCCAGCATGGGTGCAGCGTGCTCTGGTGATGTGGGGGCGGGGAGGTAGTGTGTCTCCAGCATTTGTCAAGTCCTGTAGAATGCCTTCAGCACACTCCTTTGCAGCTTTTCAGTGTGGGGGTCCGTGTCGTGGCACGCAAGTTAAACCACTACCTTTAACCACTTGCGCCACCGCGCCGGGCCCTAAACCACTACCAAATTCCACTTGGCTTCAGCTGCAGCTTCCTGTGCAGCAGCTGGCTGCCCTGCTGCTTGAGCCCAGCAGCTGTATGGGAGACCAGGCTCCCGGCCCAGGCCTGGCTGCTGTAGGCACTGAGTAGTGAATGTGTGTGTCTCTGCCTTTCATATGAATATTCAACAATTTTTAAAATATTTGTTTATTTGAAAGGAAGAGAGACAGTGATCTTCCATTTGCTGGTTCACTCCCCAAATGGCTGCCTGGCCAGAGCAGTCGAGGCCAGGAGCCAGGAGCTCCCTCCCGGTCTCCCTTGTGGGTGCAGGGTCCCAAGGGTCATCTTCCACTACTTTCCCAGGCCATTAGCAGGAGTTAGATGAGTGCCAGAGGACTCAAATCAGTGCCCTCATGGGATGCATTGCCACAGGCAGAGGCCTGCTTTGCTACACTAAACTGCGCTAGCTCCCTAAAAAAAAAAAAAAAAATATATATATATATATATATGTACCGCCCCCCCCCCATCTCTCCGCAGCCTCTTGTGTACCAGGACTTGTAATTTTCTTTCTGTGACTTAGTGCCTGCCCACCCGCTTTTCTCCCACACACTGGAAATCATCTCCACGTCACAGCACCGCAGAGGATGCAAGGTGAGGCAGCCAGGTGGCACGCAAGGAAGAGCGACACACTGCGGCAGAAGCCTGAGGCGTTCCGCGAAGAGGCAGCACTTTTCTGGAATGATTTAGGCTGGTGTTGGTTGAGTCCAGCACCTACTGGCACGGAGACCAGAATCCACACTCAGTAAGGGGGCAGGGCACTCGTGATGAGATGCCAAGTCTGTTCAAACACTCAACCGAGGGTGACTGGCTTAGGGGTACCTGCGCAGCGGAGTTCGGCTCCAGCCCTGGAACTGCCTGCCCCTGGAGCGCTCGCCACGTGGCCACCCCAGCTCTCCAAGGGACTCAGAGGCGAGAAGCCGGGTCAGGCCATGGTTAGCTGGGCCAGCAGTGCCTCTGGAAGCCGGCATGGCGGACCGTGGACATCACGCAGGAGTCCCCTAGGCTCTGGTCCGGCCACTGGCTCGGGATGCTGGTGTTTCTGCACACTTTAGGGTTGTTTTCGGGGTTCATCCGAGAATTCTGATAGGAATGAAGCTGTGGACCTCGGGGTAGGGGTTTAGGGAGACCCTGAAAGAAATCGGAGCCCTCGCCACCCGCCCGGGCCCGCTCCGGGGAGTCCGCGAACTCGCGACGCAGCGGAGGACCCCCGCCCTGTCCAGACAAAGGACTCGGACAAGGCCAGACCTCCGCCGGCTGCGGGGCGGCCGCGCTTCCTAACTGGCTCCACGACGGCCCAATGGGAAAGGAGAACCAGCAGCCTCTGTTTGCATAAGTGCCTGCTCCGGAGACAACCCATCCAATCAGACGCTGGGGATTTGGACCCTTCATTTGAATATAGAGCCGACAAGTAGCGGGGGGGCCCCCGCCGCATTGCAGCGCCCGTGCAAGCGCTTGAGGTCTCGTCATGCCCGACCCCTCTCGCTCGGCCCCGGCGCCCAAGAAGGGCTCCAAGAAGGCGGTGACCAAGGCCCCCAAGAAGGACGGCAAGAAGCGCAAGCGCGGTCGCAAGGAGAGCTACTCCATCTACGTGTACAAGGTGCTCAAGCAGGTGCACCCCGACACCGGCATCTCGTCCAAGGCCATGGGCATCATGAACTCGTTCGTCAACGACATCTTCGAGCGCATCGCCAGCGAGGCGTCGCGCCTGGCGCACTACAACAAGCGCTCCACCATCACGTCGCGCGAGGTGCAGACGGCCGTGCGCCTGCTGCTGCCCGGCGAGCTGGCCAAGCACGCCGTGTCCGAGGGCACCAAGGCCGTCACCAAGTACACCAGCTCCAAGTGACGCGCGCCCCGGGCGCTTCGCACCCAAAGGCTCTTTTCAGAGCCACCCACGCGCTCGGGAAAGGGTCTTGAACACGGCGAGAACGGGCCCGAGGTTGCGTAGCGATCTCGGGGCAAGATCCAGGTGGCGGTGGCGGGGAGGACAATTCTGCAGAGAGAGGGGCGCTGTAGGGTTCCCACGTCCTCACTTATTAAAGGGGCGTATTCTGGCGGGGGACGGGGGAGGGAACTGTGCGCGCCGCCAGCGCTCTGCCAGCCTGCAGCCTTTGTCATGGGGTCGGGAGCTTTGGAAAAAATCGGGGGTGTTCGTTGTCCCCAGTCAGGAACGACAGTCGACCATCATTTAAAGCACAGCTGCCTTCCACAAGGATGCTGGCACAGAAAGGCCGAACCCGGAGAGGACCCTCGCGGCTGTCTGCAAATAGGCGTGTTTTAAAGTCAGACGCCAAGTAGCCGCTTCTCCAGCAGCCTGCCTAAGGGCCCCTGGGAGGCAGGTGGCGGAACCCGGCCCCTGGGTCGGAGAGGGTGAGCCAGCTCCTGCTGTCCCTCGCAGCCCTGTCTGCGGAGGGCATTGGCAAACGCACGGATGGATGGAGGAGTTCTCGCCTCTCCAACCTTCAAAAAAAAAAAAAAAAAGGTTAATTAAAACTCCTCAGTCATTTTAAAGGTAGTGCCTGAAATTTTGTTTGATCCTACAGCCAATTCCTAAAGTTCAAACAGATGCAGCAGGAAGATTCTGTTGGTGCCATGTTCATGTAGTGCTGCCTCTGCGCTCACACATGCGGTTTACCAGAGCGCTATTCCCGTTCAGCTGGTCTCACACCCTCCCTGCAAAGCCACGGAAGCCCCCACGCTGGCTGCTCTGAAAGCAGAGCCTGTCCCACGGCCAGCGGGTCCTGTCTGGAGCTGAGACGAGACGCGGGTGGTTCTCTGTCCCTGCACATCCACAGGCACACGCGTGGTGTATGTTGGCACTCCCACAACACATGTGGGTTGTTGTATGTCCACGTATATGTAGGTGTGGTGCCTTCATGGTCACATGTGGGGTGTGTGTTTGCGCTCCACAGTGCATGTGTGATGTTTGTTCACACACCCACAGCACACATATTGCATGTCCGGGACACTCAGTGGTACCTGTGTGTTGTGTGTTCACGACCCCTCCTGGACCCTACATCCCTTCCATGATTTGAAAGGAGGCAGAATGTGCTTGCAGGAAGAAAAACATCCATCATTTTATTCAGTTAGTGGCCCCCTTAGTTCGCATCGAAACATCATCAGAAGTATCACCACAGAAAACAGGATTTGTGCCCAAAATGCCACCTTGTGTGCTGGGATGGGAGCGTATGCAGGCCGGATTATGGTGGCTGCAACAGCTGACAGGCACCTGTCAGTCCATTGTGAGGCAGGGGCCCAGGCTCAGCTCAGCTCGGCTCTCAGTGTGTGGAGTGGAGCTCCAGCAGGCAGGCCACCCCGTGTCCATCTGAGTGCTGCACCAAGGCGTCTGGACTGCAGCAGCCTCCTTGGGCGAGCGCAGGGCAGCTCGCAAGCTCAGGCCTGGAAGGGGTGAGTTGGTGCTGAGACTGTGCTGGGCGGTCTCCCACTGCACAGGTTTCTGGCTGGACTGTATTGAATGAAGATTCTGGAAGGATTTGGAGGCTCCTCGCAGGGCAGTCAGGAGACAGTCCGTTCTCTCGTTGGATGTTCCTGATCCAGAGCAAATGGGCAACTCGGGGCGAGGTGGATGGGGTGACTGCGGGGACACGCAAGGTGGAAAGGGGCAGCATCAGGCGCTGGGCAGCCAATGCCCACCAGTGGATACACAGGCAGATGGGACGACACACCCAGGCACACAACCGTAATTTTACACCCTGGCTAGGATGACTGGCACCACACACCCCAGCGAGTCTCAGGGGGTGTGCCTTTGGCCCCCAGTATCACTCTGGGACTGTCCTAATCCACACGTGACTTACTAGATTTAAGATAAAACATCTGTCTTATTTTTATTTAATTGTCTTACCAGTCACCAGGCATCCACGACACGAGTGCACACACAAAGCCCAGGTGTACATAGCCTTGTACATATGCACGCTCAGACACACACCCCATGGGGAAACTAAGAGTGTAGAGACCCGAGCCTGGAGAGCCTGAAGACTGCGCAGGGGCCCCCGCCCCCTTCGAGGTCCACAGCCGTGGGCAAGTGGGGGGCACCTGGCGTGCTCTCTCCCAATGAACCAGCATGCCCTAAGCGGGGATGGGGGTCCGCCAGCAGGGAGCAGAGGCTCACACAGGCCCAGGACTCACTGCACGACCAAGAAGGTGGCACGCTCCTTTCCCGAGCGCGTGGGTGGCTCTGAAAAGAGCCTTTGGGTGCGAAGCGCCCGGGGCGCGCGTCACTTGGAGCTGGTGTACTTGGTGACGGCCTTGGTGCCCTCGGACACGGCGTGCTTGGCCAGCTCGCCGGGCAGCAGCAGGCGCACGGCCGTCTGCACCTCGCGCGACGTGATGGTGGAGCGCTTGTTGTAGTGCGCCAGGCGCGACGCCTCGCTGGCGATGCGCTCGAAGATGTCGTTGACGAACGAGTTCATGATGCCCATGGCCTTGGACGAGATGCCGGTGTCGGGGTGCACCTGCTTGAGCACCTTGTACACGTAGATGGAGTAGCTCTCCTTGCGACCGCGCTTGCGCTTCTTGCCGTCCTTCTTGGGGGCCTTGGTCACCGCCTTCTTGGAGCCCTTCTTGGGCGCCGGGGCGGACTTTGACGGGTCGGGCATGATGCCGAAGGTTCCCGCCCGAGAAGGAAAAAAACTGCGTCTCCCGAGCAAGTGTATTTGCCCTCCCTATATTGAAATGAAGGATCAGCTTGTGGCAGCCTCCGATTGGACAGTGTGTTGCTTTACGTCACCGCGGGGGCAGACGTACGCAAATAAGGGGATTCTGGTTTCCGGTTCTGATTGGCCGCCGGTGCGAACCAATCACACGCGGCCGTCTAGCCTACCGCGGGACCATATATAAGGGCTGGCGGGGGACGCGCGGCGTGTTCCGCGCTCTCGGCTCCCGTTTCGGCCTTAGTCGTCACCGGTCCGTGCGGGATGTCTGGCCGCGGCAAGCAGGGCGGCAAGGCGCGCGCCAAAGCCAAGTCGCGCTCGTCGCGGGCCGGGCTGCAGTTCCCCGTGGGCCGCGTGCACCGGCTGCTGCGCAAGGGCAACTACTCGGAGCGCGTGGGCGCGGGCGCGCCCGTCTACCTGGCGGCCGTGCTCGAGTACCTGACGGCCGAGATCCTGGAGCTGGCGGGCAACGCGGCGCGCGACAACAAGAAGACGCGCATCATCCCGCGCCACCTGCAGCTGGCCATCCGCAACGACGAGGAGCTCAACAAGCTGCTGGGCCGCGTGACCATCGCGCAGGGCGGCGTGCTGCCCAACATCCAGGCCGTGCTGCTGCCCAAGAAGACCGAGAGCCACCACAAGGCCAAGGGCAAGTGAGGCCGCCGCCCGCGGCCCGACCGACCCCAACGGCTCTTTTCAGAGCCACCCACGGTCTCGGCAAAGAGCGGCACTGGGCGCCGCGCGTGGCGTGGCCGGCCGCGCGTGGACACCCGTGCGAGGGACAGGGCGCGGGCCCGCCGTAAACGTTAACACAGCACTGACTGGTCTGAGTGTGTTTGAGGGCCGCCGCGGTCAGCTGGGCGGGTGGACGGGCAGTCGGGGCCGCTCGGGGAGCCGGCCGTGCGTGCGGCCTGGAGGGGAGGGTGGCCAGGCGAGGCCCGCGGTCCTCGAGTCCGAGAAATGCGACCTGGACCTAAGGGAACGCGGGGCCGAGCCTGGTGGGCAGCCCGTGTCCAGGGTCCCCGGGAGCAGGACACCAGATCTGCGCGCGATGGTGGACACGCCACATGTCCCTGGGCATCTCGGTCTTTACAAAGCACAGGAGCCCCAGATGGTCCACGCACGAGCGAGAAAACGAGAAAAGCCTTGGGTGGACAGAGCCCGGGGAGGGTCTGTAGAGTGGACAGGGCCTGATGACGGCCTGCGTGGGGTGGACACAGCCCGGGCAGGGCCTGCGTGAGGCGGGCCACGAGGGCCAGTTGGCTCCTGCTGTGCTGCGGGCGGCGCCCAGAGCCAGGGCGTGGCGGCCGTCACCGCCTCAGGTGAGCAGAGGCCTAGAGTCACTGGGCGGCCCTGCCCTCACCCCACGCATCCCGGGCGCTTGCCTGCTGACCCTTCTCACTGACAGGGCCCCCCGATCCTCACTGACAGGACCCCCATCCTTCTCACTGACAGGACCCCCATCCTTCTCACTGACAGGACCCCCGACCCTTCTCACTGACAGGACCCCCATCCTCTCACTGACAGGACCCCCATCCTCACTGACAGGACCCCCATCCTTCTCACTGACAGGACCCCCATCCTTCTCACTGACAGGACCCCCATCCTTCTCACTGACAGGACCCCCAATCCTTCTCACTGACAGGACCCCCGACCCTTCTCACTGACAGGACCCCCATCCTTCTCACTGACAGGACCCCCCGATCCTCACTGACAGGACCCCCATCCTTCTCACTGACAGGACCCCCATCCTTCTCACTGACAGGACCCCCGACCCTTCTCACTGACAGGACCCCCATCCTTCTCACTGACAGGACCCCCCATCCTCACTGACAGGACCCCCATCCTTCTCACTGACAGGACCCCCATCCTTCTCACTGACAGGACCCCCCATTCTTCTCACTGACAGGACCCCCATCCTTCTCACTGACAGGACCCCCATCCTTCTCACTGACAGGACCCCCCATCCTTCTCACTGACAGGACCCCCATCCTTCTCACTGACAGGACCCCCATCCTTCTCACTGACAGGACCCCCATCCTTCTCACTGACAGGACCCCCGACCCTTCTCACTGACAGGACCCCCATCCTTCTCACTGACAGGACCCCCGACCCTTCTCACTGACAGGACCCCCATCCTTCTCACTGACAGGACCCCCATCCTTCTCACTGACAGGACCCCCGACCCTTCTCACTGACAGGACCCCCATCCTTCTCACTGACAGGACCCCCGACCCTTCTGACAGGACCCCCATCCTTCTCACTGACAGGACCCCCCGATCCTCACTGACAGGACCCCCATCCTTCTCACTGACAGGACCCCCATCCTTCTCACTGACAGGACCCCCCATCCTTCTCACTGACAGGGCCCCCATCCTTCTCACTGACAGGACCCCCATCCTTCTCACTGACAGGACCCCCGATCCTCACTGACAGGACCCCCGACCCTTCTCACTGACAGGACCCCTGATCCTTCTCACTGACAGGGCCCCCGACCCTTCTCGCTGACGGGACCCCCATCCTTCTCACTGACAGGACCCCCATCCTTCTCACTGACAGGACCCCCGACCCTTCTGACTGGTGTGCCTTGGTCCTCTGACTCACTGAATAGCCCACCCAACACCTTCTCAGCACCCACCATCCCACTTCATCTCCCCAGTCCTGACTAACCCTCTCACTGACCTCACCCTGCCCCTCACTGACCTCCCCCTGCCCCTCACTGACCTCCCCCTGACCCTCACTGACCTCCCCCTGACCCTGCCCCTCACCGACCTCCCCCTGCCCCTCTCACTGACCTCCCCCTGACCCTGCCCCTCACCGACCTCCCCCTGCCCCTCTCACTGACCTCCCCCTGCCCCTCACTGACCTCCCCCTGACCCTGCCCCTCACCGACCTCCCCCTGCCCCTCTCACTGACCTCCCCCTGCCCCTCACTGACCTCCCCCTGCCCCTCTCACTGACCTCCCCCTGACCCTGCCCCTCACTGACCTCCCCCTGACCCTGCCCCTCACCGACGCACCTCACCCTCGCACTGACCCCCACGGTCTGCATATGTTCAGATTTGTTTATTGAGGGGAACAGAACTGCCGCCGCTGCTTCACTCCCACATGGTGGTGAGCTGGGGAAGCGGGAGCAGAAGTGGAGCAGCCGGGACGCAGGCTGGCATCCCTGTGGTTGCGGTGACAACTTCAACCTGTGACCCAGAGATTTTCACTCTGCACTCCGGCGTCCTTTACTCAGAGCTCTGAAACTGTCACTCTGCAGACGGCATTTGCCTCTGGAAAGTTCTTCCTGTCCTCCCCTGACAGGCAGAAGGGGCCACCGGTGGGAGCAGACCCCGCGACCCCCGCCCAGCCGTGGGGCGGACACCTTGAACTCCGCTCCAGCTTCCCCGACTCACTGGCGCGGACTAGCGCCACTTGTGGCAGACTCAGACAGGAGCGAATTTAAAGGAGCAGGCCCCAGAGGGCGCGTCCCACGGACCAATCAGAATGCGACCCCGCCCGTCCTCTGGCCAATGAAAACACAGCAGCCTCTATAAAAGCAGGCACAGCGGTGGGGTTCTTCCAGTTGGAGAGACTCCAGCGGAGGATTCACTCGGACCAGATCTCTGGGAGCTGATCGAGGAGCTGACTGGGAGCCATGGCTCGCACCAAGCAGACGGCCCGGAAGTCCACCGGAGGCAAAGCGCCGCGGAAGCAGCTGGCGACCAAGGTGGCCCGCAAGAGCGCGCCCGCCACGGGCGGCGTCAAGAAGCCACACCGCTACCGGCCGGGCACCGTGGCCCTGCGCGAGATCCGCCGCTACCAGAAGTCCACGGAGCTGCTGATCCGCAAGCTGCCTTTCCAGCGCCTGGTGCGCGAGATCGCGCAGGACTTCAAGACTGACCTGCGCTTCCAGAGCTCCGCCGTCATGGCGCTGCAGGAGGCGTGCGAGGCCTACCTCGTGGGGCTCTTCGAGGACACCAACCTGTGCGCCATCCACGCCAAGCGCGTCACCATCATGCCCAAAGACATCCAGCTGGCGCGTCGCATCCGCGGGGAGCGGGCTTAAATCCCACAGGCGCCTGGCGCCGCACTAACCCAAAGGCTCTTTTAAGAGCCACATCCCTGGTCAGAGAAGGGCTGCGGCTGGGCTCTTCCCTCTGGGCAGCCTCGCTCACCGCCCAGGCCCGGGCCTGGCTTTCCAATAAAGGTTCCGAGAAGTGGCGATGTGCTGACTTACTCCCTGGGTGACTGGGAACCCTAGGATCCTGGACTGGGGTGAGGGGCGCTGCCCAGACCCCCGGCCCCACACGGGGCTCTGCGTGGGCTCCTGGCCGTGGGTTGGTGGGCCTGCTGAAGGCACCTGTCCTGCTGCCGTAGTGTGTGTCCCGGGCAGCCCTGTCCTGGTAGGACCAACCGGGACCCCCAGCCCACAGTGACCGCACAGTTCAGGCCCTGAGGCCGCCTGCCAGAACTGGGCAGCCCCGACCTTCACGTCGGGCTCTCATGGGAGCTGGTGGGCAGCATGTGGACATCAGCTGGGGAGGGCCTGGCCCGTCCACTGCCGGGAGCAGCAGCAGGACGTGAGCCCACACCCCCAAAGGACACCAGTGTCAGATTGGCTCTGTCTTCTAGATCCCTGAAATCCTGTCAGAATGGAAGGACTGGGTGTAACCTTCACAGTGCACAGTCCTGTCCTGCCAAGGTGTGTGGACAGGTTCAAGGGGAACTAGGGCAGGAGGTGATCCCGCAGAGCCACCGCGGGGCTGGCGACCATCATCCTTTGATGGGGTGCTTTCCCCAAGACTAGAAGGGCCCTCGTGGATGGGTAAGGGGCGATGGAGGCAATAAATGAGGCCACCTAGAGCGCCCTGTGTCCAAGAGCTGAGGGTCTGCAGCCAACATGCTGGAGGAAAGAGGCTGGCTCCCACTGGAAGGCGGCCATGGCCCAGGAAGTTTCATGACTTATGGGGGCTTGAGGAGCTGTGTGTTCGGGAGGGCCACAGCCCTGAGCAGGGCAGGTGCACGGAGCAAGATGGCACTGCGTGTGTGCACATACACACACCGGCGTGGGTCCAGGAGGCCGGGCACAGGGGTCTGCAGGCAGCACTCAGGGCTCGGGGCCATGTGGGCCAAGAGCTGGGCGGGGGTGCAGTACTCCATGGAACACCTGGAGGGCACCGCAGTGTCCCTCCAAGTGCTGGGCCACCACAGCCCAGACTCGGGAAAGCCGCAGGAGAAGGCACTGGTGCTCACCCTGTGGTACAATCAGGAGTGCACGGTAAACATTTCCCAAATGCAAATCTGGCACTGTGTGTGTGCGCGCGCGCACAGTGCCTGTGAGGGGAGCAGGCGCAGGCCGTGTGTGTGTGTGTGTGCTGTCCTCATAATGGAGCATTTTCAGCACAGGGAGCCTTAGCTGGCTATGGGGACAGCCTCATGCGCAGTATCTATGTGGGTAATGATGTTGCTGGAAATTAAGAACTGATGCCCGCACAGAAATGATAGGAGAGAGCACTAGGAAATAAGGGTGGCCTGTGTGCCATCCAACGTAGCCTCCATCTAATTTAAAAAGAAAAATTATTTGAAAGGCAAAGTTAGGAGGAGGGTGGGAGGTGGGTCAGAAAAATCTTCAATCCACTGGCTCACTCCTCAAATGGCCACAGCGACCAGAGCCAAGCCAATCCAAAGCTAGGAGCCTGGAGCCTCCTCCAGGTCTCCCACACGTGGGCGCATTGTCTCAAGGCTTTGGGTGGTCCTCGACTGCTTTCCCAGGCCACACAGGCAGGAAACTGGATGGAAAGTGGAGCATCCAGGACATGGACTAGCACGTATAAGGGATTCCAGCGCTTGCAGAAGGAAGGATTAGCCAATTCAGTTATGATGCCAGTCTGAGATTCTTTTTTTTTAAGATTTTTTTTTTATTGGAACGTCAGGTATACAGAGAGGAGGAGAAACAGAGGAAAATCCTCCATCCAATGATTCACTCCCCAAGAGGCTGCAACAGCTGGAGCTGAGCCAATCTGAAGCCAGGAGCCTGGAGCCTTCTCCAGGTCTCCCACACAGGTGCAGGGTCCCAAGGCTTTGAGCCGTCCTCGACTACTTTCCCAGGCCACAAGCAAGGAGCTGGATGGAAATCAGGGCCACTGGGACAAGAACCGGCACCGACATGGTATCCTGGCATGTGCAAGGCAAGGACGTTAGCCGCTAGGCTACTGCGCTGCGCCCGATTTTTCTCTCTTGTTTGCTTTTTTTTTTTAATTATTGGAAAGGCATTTTACAGAGAGACAGAGATCTTCCCTCCGTTGGTTCGCTCCCCATATGGCCACCCAAACTGCTGTTTCTGACCTGAAGAAGTCCCTGCCGGAATCCCAGCGCAGGCTAGACGGCGAGGGTCTCCACGTGGGCGCCGCCTTCCCTGCCCCATCCGCCAGCGTTCGGCTAGCACCTGCCCAAACGGCCCGGCCTCTGGGCAACATTCCCAGGTCCTCGGGGCCCCGGCCTGCCCCCATTTCACCTTCTCCCTCGGACCCTCAGCCTTGACCACCTCCCCTCTCCAGCAATGCCCACTGGGGTCCCCGGGCTTCCTCGCGCCCAGCAACGCGGGCAGAACTCTCACCCCACCCCGGAGGCACCGCCCGCCGCGGCCTCTGCTGACGCCACAAAGCCCCTCGTCCAGGCTCCAAGGCGCAGGAGCGGAAACCGGCGCACTGGGCAGGTGCGTCTGGCGCGGGACCCTCCCTGTGAGTCCCTCCCCCGCCCTCGCCCTCCCTGTGAGTCCCTCCCCCGCCCTCGCCCTCCCTGGTGGGTCCCGACCCGACGCCCAAGGGCCCCGCCCATCCCCCTGTGGGGCTCGCCCTCCCACCCGCCTGGCTGCGGGTCCCTGGGGGGGTCCTGCGCTGGACCCCTGGCCCACAGACCGCACGTCCCCGGGGAAGGCCAGAACAGGAGCCCAGCCTTACCCAAGCTGCTGATCCCAGGGAGTGAGGGTCCCCACCATGAGCCGTGTCGGTTCAGGTCTCCCAGAGGGTGCTCAGTCGGATGTAGGGGAGCTGCCGGCTCTGCACGTGTGTCCACACATCCCCATACACATGGGTGTGCACACTTGTGCCTTGGCTGCGTCCTTGTGAGTGTGGAGGACTGGAGGACTGAGAGGAGGGCTTCCGGCTGTACTGACATGACAGGTCAAGCTGGGGTGACTGTCAGGAGTCTGACATTTCCAGCTGTGCTGACACGACAGGGTCAGGTTCTGTGAATGGGAGACGGCGGGGTTGGGCTAGCACGTGTGCTCTGCTGTCAGTGAGGCTGGAACACAGCTCTGGACCCCCTAAATGGAGGTGGTCCAGACCTTATGGTGCCTGCCAGGAGCTTGCCCCAAGCAGGGTCCAGGATGTGGGCAGCCAATGTCGGAACCCCATGTTGGGTCCCACCAGGAACCATGGATGCTGTGGAACTTGCCAGAAAGCTGCAGGAGGAGGCCACCTGCTCCATCTGCCTGGACTATTTCACAGACCCGGTGATGACCGCCTGCGGCCATAACTTCTGCCGCGAGTGCATCCGTTTGAGTTGGGAGAAGGCAAAGGGCAAGAAGGGGAGGCGGCGCAAGGGCTCCTCCTTCCCCTGCCCCGAGTGCAGGGAGATGTCCCCACAGAGGAACCTGCGGCCCAATCGCCTGCTGACCAAAGTGGCTGAGATGGCACGGCAGCATCCCTGCCTGCAGAGGCACGACCTGTGCCAGGCGCACCAGGAGCCCCTGAAGCTCTTCTGCGAGGAGGACCAGAGCCCTATCTGTGTGGTGTGCCGGGAGGCGCGGGAGCACCGGCTGCACCGGGCGCTGCCCATAGACGAGGCTGTGCAGGAGTACAAGGTACATCCAGGAGGGACACACGGGATGGGAACTGACTGGGGATGCACCTGAAGGGGAGTGGAGGGCGGCAGCCAGGGGCGCACGGTGTGCAGTGGTCAGGGTGTGTCAGCAGGCAGGGTCTCACAGCCGATGCCTCCAAGGGACGTGTGAAGAAGAGATGGGATGCCTGTGTAGGTCTTCCACAGGGCTAACTGCATGACACGTGTGAGGGCAGGGTTGTCTGAGGGAGGTGCGTGGTGTGTGTATGTGTGAAGGCAGGGTTGTCCAAGGGTGTGGCACATATGAGGGCAGGGTTGTCTGAGGGACTGGATGCCTGTGACGATCACCCTCAGAGCTGACTGTCCCCCTCTGGCCAGGAGAGATTTACAGTCGCCCTGGGTCCTCAGGCTCCACTTGTGTCCACCTGCTATTGTCATTTGCCTCCAGCTGAAAATTCTCTTGATTCCCAGGGAGGCATTTAGGACTGGCCTATCCCGACACCAGTGCCCCCTGGGAGGTCTGAACAGGGTGCCGCTTCGGAATCACGTGGGAAGAAGAGGGGCTGCTGACCCCCAGTTTGTGTGCCCCACAGCTGAAGCTGGAGGAGGACATGGAGTGCCTGAGGGAAGAGATGGCGAGGACAGAGACACTTCAAGCCCAGGGACAGCAGGCCTTGGCTGAATGGCAGGTGGGTGCCCGTGCCGTGTCCTGAGGTTGGGGCCCTGGCATCCCAACTCAGGCAGAGAGGCTGCCCGAGCCCCACCTCCAACAAGGGTGGCTGTAGGAGAAAGAGGTAGCATTCCACCCTTCCAGACCCTGTGCCGCCCCGACGGCAGAAAGGGTACAAACAGCCACAGCCCAGGCTACCAAGGACCTCTGGTAATGGCACCCACACCTTGTCAGGGTCATAGAGGAACAGGTGGGTATAGGGAGACGAGAGAGCAGGGACAGGAAGAAGCATTTGTCATTGCCCTTGTGGCAGGCATGGGGCCACTGCTCCTGGCCACAGGCTGCAAGCAGTCAGAGCTCTGGGTGACGGGAGGCCCCTGTGGTGCTCCAAAATGACCAGCACCAAAGGTGGCTTCCCAGTGTGGCTCCCAGGTGGCGGAGGGGAAGGCCCAGCCACCTTGGAGCAGCCTTGGCATTCGGCAGTTGCGGGAGGGTAACAAGAGCTCCTGGCTGGCCAGCTGGGGTGGGGCCACAGCCACTTCCTCTGGGCCACTGGCGAGTGTGGGCTGCAGAACGGGGCTGAGCGGCAAAAAGAACCTCCTGTAGCATCCACCATGCCCACAGAGCATGCATTCTGGGCACATGGACATGTGGCTGTCACAACTGGGGACCCCCAGATGTGCCAGCAATGACACAAGGGGACCAATGCTGAAGCGCCTGGTACCCTGGCATGGCCAGAGCCAATGGTTTCCTGTGGGCCATGGGGACTTGCCGGGGGGGTGGGCGACACGAACAGAGGGCCTGCCTCCTGCTGGGGATGGGGACCATCCCACAGGCCAAGGTAAAGGAGAGGAGAGAGCGCATCCTGGTGGAGTTTGAGAAGATGACCTTGCTGCTGGTGGAGGAAGAGCGGCGGCTCCTGCAGGCCCTGAAGGAGGAGGAGGAGGAGACAATGGCCAGGCTGAGCGAGCGCCAGGCCTCTCTGGACCAGCAGAGCCACGGCCTGGAGATGCTGCTGCTGCGGCTGGAGGACCGGAGCCAGCGGGAGCCCCTGCAAATGCTGCAGGTGAGGCCCAGGTGGGAGGAGGATTAGCTGAGCTTGGGACACACACTGCTGATGCAGGAGGAGTGGGATGGGGGCTGACATGGGCGCAGGTGTCTGACAGAGTGCACCAACACACACCGTGTGCACCAACACACAAGGTGTATACCATCACACACACAGCGTGTACCAACACACGTGTGTATCACCACACACAAACACACACCTGTTTATTACGTTTCAGGAGAGAGCACACCTGGCCTGCTCCCCTCTTCCCACACTTCAGGAGTGAGAGGGGAGCTCCAGGCCTTTTCCCAGACTCCCTGTATTCCCTGGTTGCTGTTGGGCTGCAGCACTGTGCTGGCAGCCCTTTTGTTCCTTATGGGGCCTTCCAGAGCGTGGGCTGTGCCTCAGGGAGCTGGGGAATATCTGGCAGCAACCCACGGTGCTTGGTACTTCTCCCTGCCTTGGGGTCAGGGATGGTGGCTGGCTGCCCTGGGTTGGTTGTGGATGTATGGCCAGGCCTCCCCCAGAGTCAGCACAAGGAGCCCCCATGTCCATTGCTTCATGGCCTAGGAGGAGCCAAGTCACCTGGTGGGCATCCCAGGCCTCTCATTTGCCTCCTGTGGGCACTGACCACAGCTTGGAGAAGGGCTGCCAGTCCAACCTAGCATCCAGGGGTTCAGGAGTAGGGCTTTGAGGGAAGCAAGTGCCCGGACCCACTCCTCCTTTCTTTGCAGGACATGAAGGACACCCTGGCCAGGTACGTGTCCCCTAGGCAGGCGCAGGGGCAGCTGAGGGTGGGCTGTATGCAAGCCCAAGGGGACCATGACACTGTCCTCCTTGGAGCAAGGACAGCCTGCATGTGCTGTGCCCGGAGGCCACACCACCCACGGCACTCAGGACAGTCTGCAGGGTTCCCGGGGAGGTCGAGGTGCTCCGAGGTTTCCAAGGTGAGTGTGGGCCGAGGGTCCCAACCCCTACATGGGACCCTACAGGGTGAGGGTCTGCAATGGACACTGCCCTGTGCCTCCAGGTGCTACTGCTGTGCCCACACTGTCCTGGGGACATAGGGAGCTGGGGACAGAGAGGCCCAGGGGCCGCCCCTGACCCCAGGCGCTCCTCCACCTGCCCATCTGTAGAGGTCGTGGTGCCAGACCCCACGTCGGCCTATCCCTACCTGCTGCTCTATGAAAGCCGGCAGAGACGCTATCTAAGCTGCCCGCCCGAGGCCAGCGGCCTGTGTGGCAAGGACAGGTTCGTGGCCTACCCGTGCGCCGTGGGCCAGCAGAGCTTCTCCTCCGGGCGGCACTACTGGGAGGTGGGTGTGAACCTCACTGGGGATGCTCTGTGGGCCCTGGGCGTGTGCAGAGACAATGTCAGCCGCAAGGACAGGGTCCCCAAGAGCCCTGAGAATGGGTTCTGGGTGGTACAGCTGTCCAAGGGCAGGCGGCCCCTGGCGCCAGTGCCTGCCCCGGGCCCTGTCACGCTGCCCGAGCCCCCCAGCCACATGGGCATCTTCCTGGATTTCGAGGCCGGGGAGGTCTCCTTCTACAGCGTGAGCGACGGGTCCCACCTGCACACCTACTCCCAGGCCGCCTTTCCCGGGCCCCTGCAGCCATTCTTCTGCCTGGGTGCTCCCAAGTCAGGCCAGATGGTCATCTCCACGGTGACTGTGTGGGTGAAGGGCTAGACACACAGAAAGACGGGGGCTGGTCCGGCCACTCTCAGGAGGGCCAAGCCCTTCCATGGTGCGGCCACCTGCCCAGCTGCTCTGAGTAACAGCAGCACGCTGAACTTCTGAAATATAAGGATGATTGAAACACCTGCATGGGCACTGTGTGGGCACATGTCAGATCTGGGGCTTTCGGGTACCAGCTCACTTGCCAGGACCATGCCTGGGGACAGGGCCACCTGACAGAGCACCCACAGCTACACGCCACGCCATGCAGAACAACCATGGGTACATGCCACATCACATGCAGCACGCACGGCTACATGCCACACCACACGGAACACTCATGGTTACACACCACACCGCAGAGCTACACACCAGGCAACATACAATATGTACAGTTACACAACACCGCAGAGTACCCACGGCTACACGCCAGGTAACATTATATGTAGTTACACAACACCAGAGTACCCACGGCTACACGCAACCCACACCAGGAACAGCAGAACCTGGCCTACTTTAGTCCCTTTTTAAAAAAAAAAAATAATAATTTCTTGGAAAGGCAGTCACAAATGGGTACCGACATTTGTAAGGGCCACATGCGCCAAGGCGGGCTGCTCAGGAGCCGGGGGCTCGGTGCGGGTCTCCCACCCGGGCCGGCCTCTGCTGCCTTCTCGATCAGGGAGCAGGACCCCAAGTGGAGGAGCTGGGATTTGATGTGGCGCCGCCCGCTAAGCCACGGCGTCCCGACGTGGCAAAGCATTGGGAGCGGTTTCCCACACTCCGCATCCGTCCTCCCGCCTCGTTCGCGGGAAGCCCCAGAGCTGCTGCCCGCAGGGGTCCCCGAAGTTCCCCGGAGTCGCCGTATTATTGGGGGAGGGGGAGGCCTCCCTCGTCGCTGTCCCGTTCCCTCGCACTTGAGCCTGGACCAGGAGCACCAGCTTCCCGACTGCACCGACTGCACCGCCCAGGCCGCAGCCGAACCACCCGCCGCCCCGCCTGCGCGCCCCGTGACGCGCCGCAGCCAATCGGAGGCAGAAGCGGGTGGTTACAAAAGGAAAATAAATAAATAATCGGGACCAGCGGCCCCAGCCGCTTCCTGCTTCCGCCGCCGCCGCCGCCCGGCCTCCCGCGCCCCGCACCTGCCCGGCCTCCCGCGCCCCGCACCTGCCCGGCCGCCCCGCGCCTCGCGCCCGGAGGGGAGCGCGCCATGGCCGCCCCGGACCTATCCGCCAACCTGCAGGAGGAGGCCACCTGCGCCATCTGCCTGGACTACTTCACGGACCCGGTGATGACCGACTGCGGCCACAACTTCTGCCGCGAGTGCATCCGGCGCTGCTGGGGCCAGCCCGAGGGCCCGTACGCCTGCCCCGAGTGCCGCGAGCTGTCGGCGCAGCGCAACCTGCGGCCCAACCGCCCGCTCGCCAAGATGGCCGAGCTGGCGCGGCGCCTGCACCCGCCGTCGCCCGTGCCGCCGGGCGTGTGCGCCGCGCACCGGGAGCCGCTGGCCGCCTTCTGCGGCGACGAGCTGCGCCTGCTGTGCGCCGGCTGCGAGCGCTCGGGCGAGCACTGGGCGCACCGCGTGCGGCCGCTGCAGGACGCGGCCGACGACCTCAAGGTGCGTGCGTGCGGGCGTGGGCCGGGGGGCTCGCCGGGCGTTGGACTCGGGCTTTGCCGCCCTCCGGAGCGTCCCCCAGGGGTACTCCGCCCCCGCCCCGTGTGGGCCCAGGCATGATGGGCAGATGGACGGGAGTGGACACTTCCTACTGCCGTTTTCACACGGGGTCGTGAGCTCTGTGGAGCAGGGCGCGAGGTGTAGGGACACAGCTCGACTGCTCCAAGGACTCCCGGGGGGAGAGGGAGCAGAGGATGCTTCCTGCCCTGGGTGTGGTGATCAGAGGTCTTGGGGCCCTTACAGGAGCCATTTATGGCACTCAGAGGACTCTTGGGGGAAGGTTATGGTCAGTATTTTTCCTGGGGTGCTGATGGTCAGACCCCACCTGAAAATATCTGTTGGAAAAAGATGGAAGTCAGAGGACAATTTCTGTAGGATTGAATGAACAGAGGTCGACAGAATCAGAGAACTGGGGGACTGTGGGCGCAGGACAACCCAACTCAATGTGTGCACTCCCACAGCGTTCCCTCCCTACCTCTTCATGTCCCCGGCGGGAGCTCTTGTTAACCCCTTGCTGGGAAGGAAGGTGCAGGTGTGGCTTCAAGACTGGAAGAGGCTGGAGGGGCACCTTCCATGTGTGGTTTGGGTGTGGGCAGCAGGGCAGCAGCCCAGGGCTGAGGCGCCCCCTTTATCTGTCCCCAGGGCAAACTGGAGGTATCCCTGGAGCAGCTGCGGAAACAGATGGAGGAGGCCTTGCTGTTCCAGGCCCAGGCGGAGGAGACCTGCGCCCTGTGGCAGGCAGGGGCCGGACTGGGCTGGGGTGGGGACTCCCAGGGCTGCCCGGTGCTGGGGGTGGACCCGGACCCTGGCTGTGGGGGGCGTGCGCAGCCTGGTCTCAGCAGCCCCTGCCCCTGCCCCTGCAGAAGATGGTGGACAGCCAGCGGCAGAACGTGCTAGGTGAATTTGAGCGACTGCGCCTCCTGCTGGCAGAGGAGGAGCAGCGGCTACTGCAGGAGCTGGAGGAGGAGGAGCTGGCTGTGCTGCCCCGGTTGCGGGAGGGCGCCGCGCGGCTAGGCCAGCAGAGTGCCCAGCTGGCACAGCTCATCGCCGAGCTGGAGGGGCGCTGCCAGCTGCCGGCACTGGGGCTACTGCAGGTGAGATGGGGGCAAGGCGGCAGCCCAGGCCGCTGCCTTCCCCGGGGCCCTTCCTGCCACCTGAACCAGGCCTGGGGATGGTGCTCCCCACCAGTGTCCAACATGTGGCTCACATGGGCCTCCCCCAGGACCCAAACTCGCCACGTTGTGAGGGTCTCTCCCATTTACTGGGGACCCTGCCTGTGTGGATGGCCTGATTGTTGGGGTGACCGCAGAGCAGGTGGTACAGACAGCCACCCAGGCAGGGGGGGAATGAAGTTTGGCCCTGGTGACAACAGGGCTTAGGACCACGTGCCATGAGGTTAGGATTCCTTCCTTTGCCCAGCACAGTCCACAGTCCAGGCTGTCCCTGAGGGTGTGTCCTCCCCGTATCCTTGCTGGCCTCTGTCCTGCCTTCCTGGCAGTCTCAGCCTTGGGACCAGGGATGATGTCATTGAAGGCTGTGTCCCCAACCAATCTGGGGCTCCCAAGGTATTTAGGGCCATGGAGGCAGAAGGCCAAGCTCAGTGGGATTCGAAGCTCTAGGTCCAGGTGTCCAGGCCTCATGGAGGCCCCCAAGCCTGGACCGTAGAGCAGGGCCAGGTGGGTGTGGGTGTGGCCACTGACCAGGTGCTTCTCCTTCCCACAGGATGTGCAGGAGGTGCTGCGCAGGTACCGCCTAGACCTCTGCGGGTGGTGGGTGGGGCCTGGGCAGATGTGACCCTGCAGTGGCCAGCCCGCGTGACATGGCTGTGCCCACGCCCACCCGCAGGGTCCAGGATGTGAAGCTGCAGCCCCCGGAGGTGGTACCCATGGAGCTGCGCACAGTGTGTCGGGTCCCGGGGCTGCTGGACATACTACGCCGCTTTCGAGGTGGGTGTGCCGGGTGGGTGGCTATGCCACATGGCATGTCCCGGGCTATCCTCCTGGTCTCAGGGTGAGCGTCGTCAGAAGTCTGTCACCGTCTGTGGTGTGGGAGCGGGCCACTGCACCGTGACCCTGGCCTTTCTCTGCAGGGGATGTGACTCTGGACCCTGACACCGCCAACCCTGAGCTGGTGCTGTCTGAGGACCGGCGGAGCGTGCAGCGTGGGGCCCTGCGGCAGCCGCTGCCTGACAGTCCAGAGCGCTTTGACCCTGGGCCCTGTGTGCTGGGCCAGGAGCGCTTCAGCTCGGGCAGGCACTACTGGGAGGTGGAGGTGGGCGACCGTGCCAGCTGGGCACTGGGTGTGTGCAGGGACAACGTGGACCGCAAGGAGCAAGGCGAGCTGAGCGCGGGCAATGGCTTCTGGATCCTCGTGTTCTTGGGCAGCTACTACGCCTGCACGGAGCGCGCGTTCGCACCACTGCGGGAGCCCCCACGCCGTGTGGGTGTCTTCTTAGACTACGAGGCGGGACTGCTGGCCTTCTACAGTGCCTCGGATGGCTCACTGCTCTTTGTCTTCCCACACACCCCCTTCTCGGGGACACTGCGGCCTCTCTTCTCACCACTGTCCAGCAGCCCCACCCCGATGACCATCTGCTGGCCCAAGGCCCCGGGGGAACCCCCAGGCCCTCAGTGATGGAGTATGCTTAGGAACCCTAGGGGTGTGAACTGCACCACACACGGGGTGGACAGACCAGGGCCTACCCGGGCTGTGCCCACCAGCTCAGGAGGGGCCGGTGGAGGCCGAGCCTATGCCGGAGTGGGGTGGGGAGGTGGGGAGCGCCCAGCATGGGTGGACTTGGGGAAGCCAGGGGCTCAGGGGCCCATGCGCTCCAAGTCCCGGAGTTGTGTCAGGTCTGGGTTTTAGTCTTTTTATTTATTACAAGAACGTTTCTATATTAAACAGATGTCAGCTATGCATGGGCTTGTTTAAAGCCCCGTGGAGACACAAGCCAAGCATCTTGTTCCGGCTTCCTTGGAGGGACGCATGGGGCTGCCAGGACAAGATGGGGCTGTGGTGTTGGGCGGCCGGCCAGGGAGCTGGACCCATGACTCCCTGTGATGTGAACAAATGTGTGTGCAGGTGCTTGGCATGTCAGCATGCAGTTTTAGAGTTAGGAATTTATTTAAAAATCAGGAGAGATCCACCTGGCTTCTTGACAGGCATGCCTTGGGCCAGCCTTGCTGCCCCCACCACCGCCCCCCCCCCAGGCCATAGGCAGGGGCTGGCCTGGAACTCACACCCATGCAGTATGCCAGGGCTGTGCTGTTGACAAAAAACAGTCGAGGCTGGTCTGGGCTTGCACCCAGCAATTGAGGAACACGACATGACATGCCACCTGCAGGCGGTGGACTGGAGCTACAGTGTTGCTGAGTCGCTCCTCTGCAGGAAGCCAGGGACATCAGTCTTGGGGAGGCAGGGCAGCCCAGAGGGGACAGCCTCGCCCATCACAGGCCGTGTGTGCACATGCTTGTGTGTGTATGCAGTGTGTGTGCCGACAGGGAGCTGTGGGTGGGCTCACCCACCAGCGCCCTTGGTGCTTCAGTGCCCCCACAGGGTTTCCTGGGTGGTGGGGAGGGGTCCCTGCAGGGGAGCATGTGCTTGCCTTGGGATCCACTGTGGCGGTGGAGTGCGTGGATGAGCATGATTGGGTAACAATAGCTTTTGGAGGGGGGATACACCTGGTTGTCTACCCGCCCTGAGGGCCAGCAGCCTTCCTCATAGCCCTTGGACTGGCTGAGGTGCAGGAAGCAGTCCGAGATGACCAGCTGGGGCTCCAAGGGGAGGTGACCGCACCTGGACACAGCCACCTAAGCCAGGGGTGTGGTTTGTGTCTTGCAGCCCCCTGCCAGTGTTCCTAGGCCCCACCCAATGCCCCAGGAGGGATCTGAGTGGTCCAGGCTGATCTGTCAGCCTGGGCTGGCACCCCCAGAGCCCTCAGCCGCTGCCCCAAAGAAAGCTGGAAGGCCTGGACTCCAGATTGTGTTTATTGGCCAGGGGGCTGGAGCATCCCACCTGCACTCAGCGCCCCTGTGGAGAGCGACGCCTGCGGCACAGCAATGCTCGCCGCTTCTCACGCTCTCGCAGGAAGGCGCGCAGCTGTGTGGTGGGAAAGGTCACCGGTGCGGGCTGGGCAGCCGCTGGGCCCTCCTCAGTCAGCCACGGGCACTGCAGGCAGCTAGCTGCGCATGGCCGGGCCCTATGGGGAGGGTATGTGAGCTTGGAGAAAGAACAGTGAGGGGTTCAGGACTGGGGGCACGGGATGGGAAGGTCCTCACCAGGGCTGTGCGTTAAGGGCTCCACGTAGGAAGGCCACAGCACCGCCAGACAGCCCTGCATAGCAGCGGCCCAAGCGGAGTGGCCCCTTACGTAGGCTCCGCTGCAGGTCACGCACACCCTCGCCGTTCACCGGGTAGTCAGCGCTCAGCCTGTGTGGGCAGGTAGACGGTTCCCAGGTTACCCGTAGGGGGGCCCTGGCACCCGCCCACCAGCACCCCCAGGCAGACCATTCTCGGGTGGCTCATGGGGGGGCCACCAGCACTCAGTGCCCACGGACTCACATGATAAATGCGGTCACGCCAATGGCCCAGATGTCCGTCTGCGGGACAGCACTCTGGCCCTCCAGGAGCTCCGGAGCTGCACAGGGCAGGCAATGAGCAGGGGCGGGCTGGGGGCTGGACACATCGCTTTGGGGCAGGAAAGGAGGTACGCACCCATGGTCTCCAGGTAGTCTTTGAAGGTCTCTGAGGGAAACACCTGGCCCTGGTCCAGGCTCTGGGCACTGCCCAGGTCCACGACCTTGAGCAGGTTGTACTCGGTGACCATCATGTTCTCAGACCGCAGGTCCAGATGTAGGATGCGGTGGGCATGCAGGTACTGGGTGGCACTCAGCATCTGCCACAGGAAGTCCTTCACCTCTGACTCTGAGTAGGATGTCCTGGGGGAAGAAGGGACTCAGCCCGGCCCCTTCCAGTTCCCGTGTCCATCCTCTCCCCAGGGCCCACATCCATCTGCCAGTTGGTCCCCCAGCACTCACCTCTCCGCCAGACAGGGCAGCAGCTCAGGCCCAGAGCACAGCTCGGAGATGAGCACCAGGTGCCGTGGGCTGAGGTAGGCAGCCTGCAGCTGGGCCAGGTGTGGGTGGTGCAGGCCCTTGAGAGCCTCATACTCACGCAGCACAGCTGTCCTGGCCCCAGGCTCGTAGGGGATGATCTTGGCAGCCAGCACCCGCCCACTGGCCTTCTCTCGGCACTGCCGGACCACACTGAAACGGCCCCTAAGCGAGGAAGGCACGAGGGGGCTGGTGGGTGGGCAGAGCCCATGGCCCACCCAGCGACTGTAGTCACTACCACCCCTTGTGCAGCTCCCACCTGCGGATCTGCATCTGGAAGGCGAAGGTCTTCGTGCTGGGGAGGGGCTGGACTGGCTGGCCCTGGGCACTGTCCTCCTCAGAGGCTGTGGGGAGCAGAGGATGATGCAAGCAGCAGGCAGCCCCAGCTCTCCCCCTGCTCCATGGGTGTGGGCTGAGGCAGGCCATGGTGCACAGGTCCTCCCTCAGGGAGATGGGCCGTGGGGCACTCACCCAAGCGCCTGGGCCCCCCAAGGAGGACTTGTTCTGAGGGGCTGCTGTAGGGGCCCATGCCCGCCTTGCTGACACAGGCTGTGCGGAAGGCGTAGCTGCCACCCCGGGCCAGCCGGCTGGTGACGTAGCAGCAGTCGGTGATGTCGGAGGCCAGGGTGGTCCAGCTGCCACCTGGGCCGCAGGGTAGCAGTGAGGGGTCAGGAAGCCTCCCTCCCCAGGCCAGGCGTGCCAGGAGGGGGTCAGTACCTTCCAGGCTGCACTGCACGGTGTAGGTGACTGGGCCACAGGACTCCACAGGCTTCCATACCAGCAGCACCCCGTCCTCGGACACCTCCCCCACATCCGGGCGTGGGGACGACGAGGGACGCTCTGTAGGGACCCCGCCCATCAGCAGCCCACCCTGTCGATTCAGGGCCAGCAGAAGGAAGCTCTGCCTGCCTGGCCTCCCCAGCAGCGCAGCTCAGCTCAGCGGCCTATAGCATGGGGGTGCGGGCAGCTGGCAGTGAGCTTCAGGCTGGAATTGCCAGTGAGGCAGGAAGTACTGCCACCTTTCACCAGGCACACAGGCCGTTTCCCTGGGCAGCTGTGGGCCCTGTGTCCAACCATCCTGCCCTTCCCCAGTCTGTGCCAGCCTAGGCCAGTCAGAAGGGATCCAGAGCAAGCACGTGTAGACAGCACAGGGCAGAGTCCCCTGACCAGGCCACCCACCTGCCTTCCTGAGAGTGGCTGTGGTGGCTGCTGTCCCCAGTGAGTTGCTCACACAGCACGTGTACACGCCCAGGTCCTCGACGGTCACCACCAGGATGGTCAGCAGGTGGAAGTCCTTGAGGGTGGAAGAGATGAGGAGACGGCCGCTGCTTTCCAGGGGATCCCCGTCTGTGGGAGGACCAAGTGGGCCCTGGTGAGCCCACAGCTGTGGCTACCATGGCTCCACCCTGCCCCCGGTCAGCCAGTTCCTCACCCTTAGTCCACGTGGCCTGGGCGGGTGGCTGGGCTGACACCTGGCAGGCCAGGGTCACTGACTGACCCAGGACCACTGTCTCATCCGACAACTGCCGTAGGAAGGATGGTGCTGAAGGAAAAGGTGAGCCTTCAGCCAGGCTGCCGGCCCTGCCCACCCCTTCCCAGCTGCTCTGCTGCCTGCTTACCTCGGTCCCGACCCTTCAGACCTGATAGGCGGAAGGAGGTAAAGCCAGGCTTCTTCCTAGGGGGGCCCTCCTTCTCCACACCTGCTGGGGAGAGGGGACAGCAGGTCAGACGGGAAGGGCTGGTTGCCCCATCAAGGGTCTGGGCCAGTTCAGGCGCACTCCTGCACACCAAGGACAAGCAGAGCAGAGCCGCTGAGCCTGCTAGACAGGTGGGCAGGGCAGGCTCACCGAGGGTCCGGCCCTGCAGGACCCTGGAAATGTGGGCCATGGAGGCCTTCACCCGCTGACGCAGCCCCAGCTCCAGCGGCTCCTCCAGCGGCAGGCAGGGCCACTTGCGCTTCCTGCCCGCGGTGGCCGCCCCCAGCAGCACATCCAGGTCCATAGGCTCCTCTGTGATCGCCAGATCAGGCTCGGGGCTCGGGGCCTGGGGCCAGGGCCATGCAGCCCCTGGGACCCCTTCGGACACATCCTCTTCCTCGGGCTCTGGGGACGGTGGCCCCGGCTGCCTCTCGGGCCGGGGGACCCTGCTGAAGATCATGAACTCGAAGGGCAGGTACTTGATGTCATACAGGTCTGAGAGGTTCAGGTAGGCAGGATCCACCTCAGATATGTCGAGGGAGAGGGTGTCGGCTGCCTCTGCGTCCCCTGACAGGTCCCGGATCTGTACCAGAGACACCTGCCCAGGCTGCTCCCAGCAGCCCAACTCTGGGGCTGCTGACAGGGATTCCCCACCGGCTGCAGCTTCGTCCTGCTCCTCTGAGGACTGGGATGCAGCCCATGCCAGCCTGGCCCACAGGGGTCCCTGCCCTAGCATACCCCCCGCATCACCCCCAAAGGCAAAGGTGCCATAGCCTGACACCCCCGCATAGCCCCCCCGGGATCCCAGGGAGAACTTGCGAGCAGTCGCCTGTTCCTGTGGCCGCTGCATGTGGGGGCTGTTGTCGGGGGAGCCCTCGGCCTCCTGGGAGAGACCTGACCTCCAGCCTGTCTGCCCCATCCCCTGAGGCAGGTTCATGCCCTCCGACCCTGTCTTAGAGCCTGGCACAAGGCTGGCTGTCGCTATAGAAGGGGGCACTGGGGGCTCTGCTGCGGGTGAAGAGCAGGGGCTGGAAGGGGCTGAGGGGGGCCTGTGGCCCTGCTCAGGGAGGCCAAGGGGAACTGGCTGTCTTTGACCACTGTGCTGGGCCACCCCCTCCGACTGAGCCCAGGACCGCTTGCCACTGGAGGACAAGAGTCGCCTGGGGGGAGCTGGGGGTGGGCACCGTCCCCCAAAGCAGGTGTCCTGGGATGGGCTGGTGGCACCTGCCAGGTCTTCATGGGATTTAGGGCCAGATGACTGCAGGGCAGGTTCCAAGGAGGGGATTTTTGCAGGGGGTGTAAGCAGCTCCTCACTGGCCTCTTCCAGGGCCCGCTGCTCCATCAGCGGCTCCCGCAGGCCAGGCAGAGCCCTCGCGATGTATCCACCCTTTAGCAGGTGCCGGCGCCGGGCTGGGTGTCGCCGGCCCCCTGGGACAGGGTCCTCACCCGCCTGCTGGTGGAACAAACTGTGAACTATGCTGTGCCGGGGCACTGGCCCTGTGCGAGGGGGCAATGCTGGTGAGGCTGTAGTCACTGGAGGGCCACAGGCCTCAGCCTCTTCAGGCAGGCTGGCTGAGGGCCGCAGGAAGCCTCTGGGGTGCAGCAGTGGGGAGTGTGTCACCGGGGATGGTGGCAGCGACTTAGCCCGGGCAAAGGGGGTGAGCTCAGTGTCCGAAGAGGAGGAAGAAGAGCTGGAAGAGGCGCCAGCCTGGACCCGCAGGTGCCGGGCCACACCCAGCGAGGGGCTGTCAGGTGGACCATGGAGCAGCTCAGGGATGGAACGCATCACCAGGACAGACTTGTAGCTCATCAGGGAACGCTAAAGGCAGAGGAGTGGCAGGTGAGCAGCCATCAGAGGGCTGACGACCCCAGGAAGCACAGCCAGGCCCCAGGTGGACAGCACCTACCTGCCAGCGGCTGCGGGCCAGGAGGAACTTGAGTTGCTTGGTGCTGACAAACTGGGCCTCCTCAGCTGGCACGGATGTCTGGGGGAGGCAGAGGTGCTCGGTTGGGCAAGGGTGGCCAGACCACCCCCAGCCCTGGATATCATAGGTCAGGGACCTCCCGGGGACAGGGGACTCCACAGCTCGCAGTCCAGGGTCAAAGAAGGGAAGTGGGTTAGAGGTCAAGGGTCAGATGAGGTGGGCACTTGCACTCTGGGTTCTTTGGGCTGAGGGGGGTCCATGTCCAAGCTCACTCACCAGGAACCAGGGGTGCCCAAGGCACTGGGAGGCACTGGGCCGTGCCCTGCCAGGAGAGGAAGTGGGGTCAGGCCAGGTGTTGGCAATCAAGGCTGCCCAGCCAGCCCTCAGCAGGCTACAAAGGGGCACTTACTCTGGGGCTCTCTGGAGTGTAGCCTGGAGGAAGTCCTTAGCATCCACACTGAGGTGGGCAGCCACAGGGCTACTCCAGGACACCCGTCCTTCTAGAACATTCCGCAGGGTGGCCCGGTCACTCTCACCAGCAAAGGGGGACGAGCAGGTCAGGCTGAAAGCAAAGACCCTGCTGGGTGGGTTCTGATCACTGCTGTCTGGTGTGAGGGTCCCAGCAAGTGGTGGCAGAGGTTGGGCAAGGCCTGGGGAGCGGTCCAGCCAGAGCTTCATGTGGCATGTGGCTGAGCCCTGAGGCAACAGGTCAGGCCTCAGCTGGCACAGAGACATGGGTTCTGCCTACTCGTCACAACAGCAACTGCCCATCCCAGGGCAGATGCTGATGGAAGGTGCTTGGAAGAGCTTTGGATGGGGCAGCCCCAAACCCTGTCCCCAGGATGGTGTCTACCTCAGGCTGCCCACCTCCAGCTGGGGCAGCTGGCAGTGCACTGCAAGGTGGCCATCACTCACCTGAGGTAGGAGACGACCCCCATGGCCCTGCAGGGATAAACCATGACAGCAGTCATGCCCAGCTGGCCACCAGCCAGAGGTGTCCACCCAAGGGACAGCCCGCCACGCACCAGATGTCCGAGGCCTCGCTCACGGGGTTCTGCTCGATGACCTCGGGAGCCACAAACTCAGGGGCGCCATACTGGCTATACTGGGGCTCTGTGGGGTTCACTCTCTGGGCAAGGCCGAAGTCGCAAATCTTGATATCCTCCCGAGCAGGGTGCACCATCAAGATGTTGGGGGGCTGTAGGACGTGGTCAGGGAAGGTGACCCCACAACTCGACCTCCAGGGATCCCCCCATCCATTCTGGGAGCCCAGTACCTTTATGTCTAGGTGGAGGACACCGTGGCTGTGCAGGTAGTGCAGGCCTTCTACCAGCTGCTGGATGTACACCTTGACCTGCGGTCCAGGTGCTGCTCAGGAGACGGCCCAGCGCAGATCCCTTGTCCCACCCCCCCCACATGGATGCCCAGTCTCCCTCGGCCCTCATGGCACAGCAAGAGCCTGAGCCAGCTGAGCCAGGGCCAGGCCAGCCAAGACCATGAGTGCCCGAAGGAAGGGCCAGACACCCATAAAGACCCTGTCAAGGATAGGGGAGGTCCCTGGGGCAGCTGGTGGACAGGTGGTCACCTCAGCCTCAGTCACCACGCCCTTCCGGAACAGGCGGTCCAGCAGTTCCTCCGACGAGCACCTGGGCTAAGTCAAGGAGAGGCTCCAGACCTGTGACCACCCACCCCCTGGGGGGCCACACTTTGGTCAGGGCAGGGTCCCAGAGGAGAGGACACCAGGACCCTCAGCCAGGCTTACGAGTGAGGCGGGAGACCAGCCTGCGCCACGGCCCTCTCCCCACCCTGCCACACAGGGCCACAAGCAGGATACAGCTCCAGCACCAGGATGAGGGTCTTGCGCGTCTCAAACTCATCCAGCAGCTGGGTGAGCAGGGGGTGGCTGAGCGAGGCCAGGATGTCCCGTTCACGGTACGCCTGGGCCCGGCTGTGGCTTCGCAGAGGGATGAACTTGGCTGCACAGGAGAGCTGGTTGCCTTTGTGCTGTACCCTCTTCACAAAGCCAGACACGCCCCTAGATGCACAGGGGAGGGGCACTGTGCTGGAGGGGTAGGACACACCCTAGGGTGGGGGCAGTGCCTGGGAGAGGGCAACGCGCTGGGTGCCCTGGGGGAAAGGACTATGGTGAGACCTTCCAATCTCCTCCTTGACCTCGTAGAAGGAGTGCAGCTTCCTCCGACAGCTCTGTTTCTCCAGGTCCAGTGCACCTGCCCCTGTGGTCGGTAGGAACCAAAGTGGCCATCCAGTACCCACTGTCCCTCGGAGTCTGCCCAGGAGCCAGGAGGGTGGCTGACTCACCACTCTCCACCAGCAGCTCAGCCTTACAAAGCACCCGGCCACCGGCATTGCAGGCCAGGCAGGTATAGACGCCGGCATCCTGCAGGCCCACATCCCGCAGCACAAGGGCGTAAGTAGTTCCTTCCTGGCACTGGCTGAGCCGGGCACTGTCTGCCAGCTGGACATCGTCCTGCAGGAAGACAGAAAGGGCCTCAGCACCTTGCCTACTGCTGGATAAGAATGAAGTCCGGCCCTGGGCCAGCTGCTACCTTGTACCAGGTCACTGTGGGCTGCGGACTCCCCTCGATGACCGCCTCAAACCGCGCTGTGCCCCCGGCCAGCACCTGCTCATCCTCAATGGTCACCTGCATGCTAGGTGGCCCTGCAGAGGGGAGCAGCATGTGGATGAGAGCTATGCAAGCTGCTCAGCCCACTGAGCCCCCAGGATTGCTGACTGCCCAGGGTTGACCTCTGGGAAGACCTTCCTTGCGTCCAACCTCTGTCCAGGGGTTCCCCCGCTAGGGACAGCGGGGCAGGTCTGGGGGCCCTGACCACGTACTTGTGGCCTCCATGCCCATGGTCTGGCCCACAGGGGTTTTCTCTGTGGCCTCTGTGCCCGTGGCCTGGTAGATGTAGGTTGTGTGTGTGGTCTCGGTGACTGTGTGACTGTGGACATTCCAGAGCAGCTCTCCAGGGCTTGCTCCCGGCCAGGCATGGCCTTCAATCCTAGAATAATGGAGAGGGGAGAGGTAGCAAAAGTCCTGAGATGAGCAGTGGGAGGGGAAGCCCACCTCTCACCCCAAGCTGCCCATATCCAGCCCAGGGGACAATCCCCACAGGCCCACCACAGCGGGCAGGCAGTTACCGAATAGGCACCGTGCGTCCCTGGGCTTTGGCCGCCTCTTGCTCCGGACCTCCATGGGGGGGAGGCTGTGACTCCTGAAGGGGCTGGGCTAATGGAAGATGAGGTGCCTGGTTGAGATATGTGCCCCACAAGGAGCTGGCTGATGCCCTTGTCCCCTCATAAGGAGGAGCTCCATCTTGCAGGGTGTCCACCTAGGAGCAGGGCCCAGAGCTGGGGCAGTGCCTGGGGTGGCCCCAGCAGTGCTCTGCCCAGCAGGGATGGATGCCGCACTGGAGTCACAGTGACAGGCAAGGTGAACAGGGGTTATAGGAGGAGGATAGGGGCTGACAGGGAGGTCCCCCATCTGGGTCTGTGTCCCCACCTTGTACCTGGTGGAGTCCTAGGCATTCCCTGGGCTGAGCCCAGTCCCAACTGCACAGGGTGGGGCAGGACCAGTGGCCTGGCGGGAGGAGGCCAGCCACTCTTGTAGCAGACTCATGGAGAAGAAGCTTCCAGTTCTTGCTCTGTGCCTACTTCAGGTCTTGCCCAGCGCACCCCCACCCCCATGGGACCGCTGTGGGCAACCTCTGGCCCACGAGGCAGCCTGGGCAGGCGGCCTCACCAGCTGTGTCTGAGGTCTCCCCTCCGGTGCACAGGGGTGTAGCCGCCTGTAGTGCTGAAGGCCCCTTGGTGCCGGCAAAATCCCCTGCAGTGGCGTCCAGCAGTGTCCCAGGGCTAGGGGGGACTGCTTGTTCCAGTGGATCCAGTGCAGGGTGGGCAGGGCTTTCCAGGACAGCACCTGTGGTGGAGGTAGGTTTCCGTCGGTGAGTTCAGGGTCCGCCCCCTCTAGGCTCAGCCCCAGGATCCGATCCCCCATCCTCAGGGCAGTGAGCCCACCCGCCCCTCTCTTCCACTCCTCACTCAAGACAGACAGAGAATCTGAAGACCCCAGTCGGGGGCAGCTACTTCCTCTAGCTGGAGTCCAGTCCCACCCCAGGCCTAGCAGCTTCCTCTGCTTCAGGCCACAGCACGTGTGCCTGCCCCTCTGAGGCTCTCATGGCCTCAGATGCCACCACTTGCAGTGGAAACGTACCCACCATCCAGCTATCCGCTGTGGGGCAGGGCCCTTGCCCAGCCGGCACCCTCCCCAGCAGGTTCCAGAACAGGCTCAGCCCCCAAAACCGAGGGCCTAGGCCCGAACAAAAGTCACTGCACCTTCCTGCTTGGTCGCGCCAAGCCCACTTGGCCCCTACATTTGGGCACAGCAGGAGGTGCCAAGCCAGCCTGGGACGTGGCTTGAAGTGGAAGACTGAGTAAGAGACCACTGCGGAGCCGAGGACCCAGGGCTGAGAGCAAGGAAGAGCAGAGGCAGTGCCAGGCGCAGGTTTATTTTCATTATTGAGGCCAACACGAGGGTCTTCCCACACCCAGACCCAGACCCACACCCACCCTGTGGAGCTAGGGCTTGGAGAAGCGCCCCTCAGGATCTCAGTCCAAGGCTTGGCCAGGCCTGGCAGCTTGGACAGCACCCACAGGGAACAGGCCCAGGCCAGGAGGAAGCAGCCCTGGCTTCTCTACTTTGTGGACATGGCCCAGTCTTATGGCGGAAGAGCAAGTCCAATGAGGTAGGAGGGCCCGGCAGAGAGCAGGGAGCCCCAGGTGTGGAAAAGTAAGTCCCGAGGTCTGAGCACACATGCCAGGTAAGACAGGGGCTTCTGGGACCTCACAGGCCAGGGCGTGAGGGGCAGGGGTCGCTATCCCTGCCGGGCGCTATGTGAACAGTGACCGTCTCACCCACGGCCCCGAAGCCGACCACCTGGGTAGAGACCTCCGTCTTGAAGCTGGCTTGGCCACTATGGAAACAACGTGGCGCCTGGGGCCCAACAGGGGAGATGCCCTGGGCCCAGTGGTCCCGTGGCCCAGGCCTAAAGGCAGAACCCAGTGGGTGGCCCAGGTTCAGCAGCACAGGCTGCCCCACGGTGGGCTCCGTGATCTCATGCTGAACCACGGCCACCTCGCAGGGTGGGTCGTCACAGGCACAGGGCTCCGCGCCATGGCGGCCAAAGGTCTCCCCAGCCTGGGGCACATAGTCCTCCAGGTCTGCCAGGGTCAGCACGCAGCCGTCACGCTTAAGGATCTTGGAGTCCCAGCTCCAGGGCCTGCTGGTATCCCAGTTCTCCCCTTCCCCTTCCCTGTCACTTTCTTCCTCTAGCGGAGTATCCATCTCGGGTGCAGGGACACCTGTGCCTGGAGTGGCCCCCTGCACACTGCCCTCAGCATCCACACACAGAACGAGGGGCTGACTGGAGCCGTACACCACGGCTGGGCCCGGGGCCAGCAGCTTGTTGTTGGAGTTGTTGGAGTTGGGGTCCCCTTCCTGGGGACCTGTCTTCTTCACGCACACCTCGATGGTTTCCTCCACCTCCACCCACTGGGATTGGGGCCGGACACCCCCAGGCAGGGTTGCAGGCTGGGCCTCGGCCTCTGTCACGAACAGCGCTGGCACTGTGGGCTTCCAGCCCGGCCCTGCCCCGGGCCCCGGCAAGGGTGGCGATTCAGCGGCCAGCAGGCCTGGCCTAGATGGGCTGGCAGAGCGGCGGGAAGGAGAGCGGGAGGGGGACTTGCTGGGAGACCGTCGCCGGCCACGCGGGCTCTTCACCACGGTGGTGATGGTCTCCTCTCTGGGGGGGAGGAGAGGGCCCAAGAGGGGGTGGGCATGGGGACCCATGGCCCAGCCAGCACCCGCCCCACCAGCACATGCCACAGGCAGTTCAGGGACAAGCCAACAAGGAGCGAGTCAAGCAGCTGCTACATGTGCCCAGGGAGCAGTGCTGAGGCCTGCAGACAGGAGGCTGGCACGGGGCGAGGTGCCCCCAAGGCAGGACTGGAGGAAGGAGGCAGAACTTGGTATGCCTGACCCCTCAGCAATGTGCACAAAGACAGTGAGACATAGCTTCTGGCTGGGCAGCTCTGGGACCACAGGCAGGACAATGGCACCTGCCCAAGTTAAGACACACAGCTTGTCAGGGTCACCCCTACACTCCACAGCCTGTCCAGACACCAGAGGATGTCGCCTGACTGGTCACACACACACACAGGGCACAATCGGCTCACTCCACCCCCGCTGAGGCACCACAGCCACTGGCAGGCATCAGAGCCCCCCTGCAACGCCCTGCCTGCAAGGCCCCTCCCAGCATGGGGGCAGCATTCCATCTGCAATGTGAAGCTGACTCCTCTCCAAGGCCCAGAGGAGGCTGGATGGGGGATGCCCCATCCACCCCCAGGGAATGGGGCCCTTTGGGGGTAACAGTGCCCCTACCAAGAAACTTTAGAAGGAGACCTAGTAGGAACCCCGAGGAGACCCACCCTGGAACACCCCAGTCTTCCAGCCTTAAGGAACTATGGTCTTTGCTGCTCTTAGTCCTGCACCTGCCACACCTCCTACAACTTCCAGAGTTTGTCCTCCCAGATTGTCCTGCAGTCTGAGCATGCCCACCTCAGGTGTGACTTCCTCCTCAACACATGTGGGGTGGCCTGGGAGGCAGGGAAGGGGGCAGAGAGGGTAGGCTCCCGGGTAGCCTATACTGCGAGCTGCTCCCTGGTCCTCCAAGGGGGAGGGCCTCGTGCCTGATCTGTGCATCACAGACATGCGGTGCTGGGAAAGACCAGGAACATCTGGAGCTGCTCTGTTGTTAGCACTAGTCATAGCCCACGTGTTCAGCAGGCACGCGAGGCGGCAGCTGCTGCAGTGGGCCATACAGATGCAAGCCTGCCACCCCGGCAGACACACTGCCCTAACTCTCAGGGCACTAGGGCAACAAACCTTGGCTCAGGTCTTCCCAACTGTGAGAGTGCCAGGGACAGACAGACACACAGGCAGCTAGGAGGTGCGGGCAAGCAGGTAGCCATATGGTAAGGTCCAGTTAGTGGCATGCTGGGGCACCGCAGTCAGAACACGCCTGCACTTACATGATGACGGTTTTCTTGGGGACTTTAGTCTCCTGCTCAGTGACTACAAAGAAAACAGTCAGAATAGCGAGGGTTACACAGCCGCTGGCACGTAGGGGATGGACCTTCTGATGGGCATGGCCATGCACCACCTGAAGCTTCAGGACCTGACCATTATTACTCATCTCTGAAATGGGGGAGATGGGGTCTGCCAGAAGGCCTGAGGTCTGTGAAGGAAGACCCCACCCCACTGCCAAGAGTGGCAGGGCTGGGAAGTGGGTGGATGGCAAGAGCCTTGGCCAGGCCTGGTGCTGCACGGATCTCTTGAGGCCTGGGGGAGAAGGAGGGCTGGAGAGGCACTGACATTCGGTGGGGAGGGGGCTCAGCCCTGCCAGTCATAACTGAGTTCCAGAGGGAACCCACATGGGCCATGGTCCATAATGAATTGTGGGGAGGGGGCACCTGAGGGGCAGGGCAGGGTTCCTCTGGAGCCAGGCTGCTTCCCCTGCAACTCTGGGCAGGACCAGGCTGGGCACACCACAGGCTACTGCACTGCTCTGTCTTGGCCACCCTGAAGGGGCAGAAGGCCCTGAGGGCCCTAGCGGCTTTGTCCAGGGCACAGCCTGTAGCCTGCCTGGTCTGGTGCCCTCCTGCCTTGCTATACTTAGGCTGGTCCTGGCTGTATAAGTATGTGTACTGTGGCTGTATGTGCTGTGTACAGGGGTGTTGGGATGCTGTTTGCCCTGGAGACAGGAGCCTCAGGACAAACTTGGCTGGGCTCAAAAAGCTGGACATGGCATGGTACGGTCCCTGACCAGGCCCTCAAGGTAGCTGCTTGGATACACTGGGTATGCACTGCCGGCACCTTGCTCTTGGACCGCAGGCACCCCTGCTGGCTCCAGGCCCCAGTGAGTGACAGTAGCCGTGCAAAAGCAGAGCTGCAGGCAGGCGCACACTCACAAGCAATGGGCAATGCTCTTACGAGGGCCCCTACAGCCAGCCTGGCTCGAGCCACAGTTAGGGAGGAAGTGGCAGGACAGATGTTAGGAAGCAGGAGGCACGGGCCCCAATATCAGGGTTTCCACTAAGACCAAACTTCACCCATCTCTACACACATCCCTAGACCCTGATAATGATCGGCAAGTGATGGTATAAGACACATTCAACTCCAGCAAGAGGAAGCCCTGTGTTCTACCAAGAGTTTCCGGGCTCTCCCAGACCAACCATGAGACACATGGGGCAGGTCCAGGGAGTCAGGGGGCCTCTGTGGGTATAAGGGGCAGGAACTCCTGCCCACTGAAGGACATCCCTCACTGAACTCCTGTGGCCCTGGTGGCTGTAGCACCACAGGACCCAGAGGATACCACGTCCTCTAGCCCAACCATGCAATCCCAGCTGCTGCCTGCATGCCACCAGTACCTTCCAGAAGGGCAGCTCCAACCTTGCCCCCACTCTGCTCCAGCCAGAGGATGGAGCTACCAAGCTGTGTGCAGTCAGGCTCTTCCCAGGACCCTCAAAAAAGGCAGAGGCCAGGACTCTCCTTATCCAGCCCCAGCCTGCAACAGGGGCTGGCCCCTGACATTGTGCCACCCACCAGTCTTCCATGCTGTGGCCAGTCTGTGCTTCTTACCCATCTCAACTCCTTGGACGACCCCACCCCTAGGCTCCAGGTTCCAGCCCACCCTCTATAGCCCACACAGGTGTGGTCTCCAGCTGAGGGCCAGTACAAACACGTGGACCACGGTGCCTTCGTTGACCAGCCACAGACCTCCCTGACTCAGGATGCCACCTGGGGAGCACGGCTTCTGTTCCCGCCCTGGCTGAGATGTGGGACCCACCTTCCACAGCTGCCATCATTGGCTCCCAACGGCGCTGGTCCCAGGCTCGCAGCGCTGGGCTCTGCAGGCATAGATCACCACTGCTGCGTGCCACACCCAGCCGGTTTACCAGCTGAAAAAGGATGGCAGAAGCCTGGTTAGAGACGAGGCTGGCTAGGGGGCTTAGGAGCCCAGTCCTCAGTTGGGCATAACTCTGACATTTAGATCCCAAGCACAGGCAGTGCTCATTGCTTCCCAGCCTTCACCCCAGCAGGCAGCTCCACATGGCCACAGCAAAGGCCAGTAGGAGTAGGAGAACCAGATGGGCTGGCACTTTCTGAACACCCACCGCCTGTGCATGCCTGCTTTAACCACTTCCAGGCCCCATGCAGGGTATGATTGCCATAGGGCAATGGATCGGTAAGAGGACAACAGACAGCTCCATCCACCCATGGGGCTGGACACTTCCACAAGAGGTACCATGTGGGCCTGCCTCTTCACAGCGGCAGCAGACAAAGCCTGGGGTCCCCCAGGTTTGCCCCTAGAAGAGGCAACATTGATGGTATCCTTGGAGTGGGGAAGGGACAAGGCAACAGCAACCAGGAGCAGGGCTCAGGGTGACAGGGGATGGGTAGGGACAGTGGCCTGCTGTTCCCTGACACTGTCCAGTTCTCTAGGCCCCAGAGATTGGCCAGCAATGAGGATGAGGGCCCTAAGGCAAGCCCTACCCCTCTGGCGCACCCGCCTCACCTCACACTCATAACGCCCTAGGTCCTCCTTGCTCGCAGCCCGGATGGTCAGCACCAGCACCCCACTGCGTGAGTCACTCAGCATCTGGTACTTGCTGCCCGTGGTCAGCAGGACTCCATCCTTGTACCACCTGGGTCATCCCAGAGAGCCCAGGTAAGGCCAGTGTGGGCCACACCCTACCCCCTGCAACACACTCAGGACCCAGCTGCAGCCCAAGCCCAGCCTGCTCTCCAGCTTTTGCCCAGGACCCACCCTCCCTCATTGCCCACCCCAGCCCACAGGCCCCACCTGATCTGGGGGTAGGGAGCACCCTCGATGGTGCATGTGAACTGGGCGTCCTCTTCCTCCACAAAGGGCACGGCCCGGACATTGCTCACAAACCGTGGAGGGACTGGCCAGGATACACGGTGGTAGGAATGGGGAGAGAAACGGATGGAGAGGGGTGAAGGTGGACAGAAGAGTACACGCACAGGGAAACCATAACAGAGTGAGGGCAGTGCTACAGAGTCCTCACCCAACAGCACCTTCCCTGACTCACGGCCCTGGGGCCACATCAGATGGCCACAGCTGCTGGCTTCAGCCCACACTGTTGCACTCACAGCTCTGAGTCTGGAGCAGAAACCTCTCTCCCCGGCCAGCCCCTGCTCACCTTGCACCAGGATCTTGCCCAGGGTGCTAGCATTGCCGGCAGCGCTGGCCGCAAAGCACATGTACTGGCCAGAGTCCCCGCCAGCCAGGTTGTCCAGGATGAGGGTGCAGGAGCCGTCAGGGTCCTCGATGAGGATGTGGTGAGGGTCCACATCCACTGGTCTCCCATCTGAAAGACAGAGTTACGCTGCTGGGGGCAGGGGCCAGAGACTGGCAGCTGAGACTCCCTCCCTCAGAGACAAAGGCAGGGCCTGGTCTTGGGGTCACCTCTGTCCCCTATCATGTCCCCATGTTTCCCCATTTCCCTCTCTATGCAGCTTTGACAGTAGTGGGCAGTAGGGTTAGGGCCGGAGACCTAGGCCCCACCAAGGACACCCCAGGGCCTAAGGGTATGGTCTCCAGTAGACACCCATGGTGCTTCCTACAGAGCATCCAAAGTGGTACCCTACAGCAGCCCAGAGGGCAGCACTCCCATAGACCCCCAGAGGCCCATGAGGATGGCCACAGCTTGAGCCCTCTGTCTCTCAGGCCTGACCACTCCTTGGCTGCCAGCTGGATCCCACATGGTGGCATAAACAACCCCAAGCACTTCCTGTGGAGGCACCAAATTCAGACCAGCCTTGTCCTACATCCCTCCTCATTCTCACCCGCTACCACAGGGCAGCCGACACTGTGTAGTGAGGCAGGCAACCCTCAGGTGTTTCAAGGAACTCAGCCAGAGAGCCACACTGAGAAGAAACCACACAAATTCTGTCGCTGCCTGTAGCCATGTTGGCTGCGGACCCTGTCCTGGACAGAGGCCCCGAGGCTTATTGCACCCAGCAGGATCCTCCCTGGGGGCTCCTTCTGGAGCGACAAAGCAGGTATCTGCACACCTTGAGCCAAGGAATGGCCACCCCAAGGCTCCACTCAATGCACAGCTGGCTGCAGCTGTTACCAGTGGGCCCAGTGGGTGCCAATCTCACCATGGGCCTCTTTCCTGTTGCCCCAGGTGCCCTGGATGAGTGTCTTCCCTACACACAGCATAGGTCACCCATGTGGACAGAGGCCCAGGCAGGTCAGGATTTAGCGGTCATGCCTGAGAGAGTATAGCACAGGGTGTAGCATTCCCCATGCTTCTACAGGGCCAAGTGCTCCCATCAACACCAACATGTGGCCAGGACATCTCCCCCACGGCTCTCAGGAGGCAAGGAAGAAGTCATCACAACCTGTGGGGCAGGCCTCTGGACCACAGTAGAGTGCACCAGAGGGCAAAGTGCAACATGTGAATACAAACACATGGGACTGATGTGCACCTGCAAGCAGCTCCATAAGTGTGCACCCATGTGCATGTGTGAAGTATGACCATGTGCATGTGTGAAGTGCACCCATGTGTATGTGCACAAAGTGCACCCACACATGTATGTGTGAAGTGGACACACATGTGTGCATGTGTGAAGTACGACCATGTGTGTGCATGTGTGAAGTACATGGTGTGTGTACGTGTGAAGCAGACCCACATGTGTACATGTAACATGTGTGAAGCATGTAGCTATGGATGAGGATGCTTCCAAACAAAATCTTCAGAGTGAGTTTATGAAAAATGTGCATGTGGAAGCAACTGTAGACAGCCATTTTCTGCACTTTTCCAGGGTCTTTCTGCACTGCCCCTTAATCATGGCATGCACTTCCATGGAGTACACATGTAGCCATACCATATGTGCACCTGGTACATGTGCTTGCACGCAGTGACCGCACATATGTGTTTCATATATGCACCATGCATGTATTGTATATTATATATGGAGGTGGAGTGTGCATGTAGTATACTTCACATTCATAGGCTGTTGTGTTCAGAAGTGTAGTGTGTATACACATGCATCTATGTATCATGCACAAAACACAACACATGCAGATAGCGTGTATACATACATAGTCAAGCATGTTCTCATGTACATCTAGCTGTGTTGTACATGCATGTCATACCACATACAATGCACCATGTGCAGACATCTGTATGTCATATGTGCAAAACAAGCTAAGCATGTACTACATGTGCAGGTGGTGGTGTTAACACACATGGACATGTAGGGTACAACTCTGTGATGTGGGTCTGAGTAGATGCACATGTATGTGCATCTTTGCACACATGTACTTGTGTGAGTGTGAGCCAGCAGAAGAGCCATTCATAGTGGACTCACAGCTTCTGGTAGCTGGCAGCTCCATTTGCTCCTTACTGCTCTGGACCCCAGGGGCAGAGAAGCCAGGATCTGGAGGCCTGCACCTCTCCCCATGCCCTCTCCATGTCCAAATGAATCAGCAGGCACCCTCTCCATGCAGTGATGGCCAGGACTGGTCATGACCCAGCCCGCCCTGTCTGCTTCAGTTAGTCCTCAGCTGTGCTCCTTCCCAGCTAGCCAGCTCTGCTCATCCACTCCAGCAACAGCGCCGCCCTCTGGCTACTCAGTGTCTCCCTGTGTGGCCTTCCAAGATACTCTTCTTATTCCCATGTGTACCAACCTTGCAGAGCTAGAAGAGGCTTACAGAGCCTGGAGAGGCTGAGTGACACTGAGTGCCTGCCCTGAACACCTACCAAGCCTTTGTAGCCACCTTGGTCCCACCCCCAGCCCCTCCAAACAGGCTGTCACTCAAGCCCCTCTCTGGGGCTCCCTGGCAGCCACAGCCCTGACTTTGCACTGAGGCTGTGCGTCCACTTGCTGCCATACTCTTGCCTATGACATTGGCTGCCTAGACAGGTTTGGACTGCCTCTTCCTGCTCCCTGGGCACCTGGTAGTCCCCAGGTACTCGGGGGCATCCACCAGTCCCCAGACATCTGAACACTTAGCTGGTCCCCAAGTACTCAGGAACACCCACCAGTCCCCAGACATCTGAGCATTCGGTCAGTCCCCAAGTACTTGGGGGCACCCAGCCAGTCCCAGGGCACTTAGGGAATGCCAACAGAGGAGCCTACCTTTGTACCAGCTCACCACAGGCTTGGGCGTGCCTGTCACCCGGCAAGCCAGTTTGACCGTCTCCCCCAGTTCAGCAGTGCAGTCAGCCAGCTCTTCTTCGAAATCTGGGGCCCCTGAGGACACATGGGGACTTGAGTGTTCTGACATCCTGGAAGATAGCCTGCCTGAGGGTGCGAGTGCTCAAGGGCGTTGTGCTTATGAGCAGGTTGGGTGCACACAGGGGAGCAGCAAGGCCTGTAGGGAACTGTGTTAAGTGGCTTCAGCCTGTCCCTCACTGCCTTGCCTGTTGGGATAGAGGCCTGAGGCCCACATTGCATCTTGCTCAGGGCTCCTGACATACAGTTCTGAGCTGAAGGACAGGCCCCTCCCTGCAGCCCTGCAGGAGGCCCAGGGACTTGCTGGCCTGGGTGTGGCCAGAGCTGCGGGATGGGGAATGTGAAGGGACACTCACGCCACACAGGCAGGGCCAGGCGCTGCTGGATGCCACAGATCTCCTTCACCCAGGAGCTCTTGATGATGACAGTGCGTGCCTGTAGCAGGTACTTGCGCACTGAGTCCTCCCGCTCATGCCAGACCTCAAAAGCACGGTCATCACCCTCCACCTGGTCATTCAGGTCAATGTTGCTCAGCTGTGAGGAATGGGAGAAGGGGACACACGTCAGTGAGGGCAGAGGGGGCACAGCTCAGGCCCGGGGTGGGAGAGGGCAAGGGGGCGCAGCTCAGGCCCGGGGTGGGAGAGGGCAAGGGGGCACAGCTCAGGCCCGGGGTGGGAGGGGCAAGGGGGCGCAGCTCAGGCTCGGGGTGGGAGGGGTAAGGGGGCGCAGCTCAGGCCCAGGACAGCCAGGCTGGCTGGCCGGCACCTTCATCATGGTCCGGAAGACGTAGCTAGAAGCATCCACGCGGGGGTCCCGCCGGGGCTTGCAGATCACCAGGTAGTTGCGGAAGAGGAAGACATGGCGGTTGTGGCCCTTCCAGGGCATGCGGGCTCCTGGTGCCCCTTCCCACACAATGAAGTGGCCCTGGGAGGCAGAGAAAGTGTGGGGAGTCAGGTCAGCCTGGACTAACCACACAGAACCCTGCCACGCTCACACCATCCACACCCCAAGCCACGCCCACACCATCCACACAGAACCCTGCCATGCCCACACCATCCACAAACAGCACCCTGCCATGCTCACACCAGCCACACTCATGCCTTGCCCACACTATCCACAAACAGAACTCTGCCATGCCCACACACAGAACCCTGCCACGTCCACGCCAGCCATAAACAGAACCCTGCCACGCTCACACCATCCACACCCCATGCCACGCCCACACCATCCACACAGAACCCTGCCACGTCCACACCATCCACAAATAGCACCCTGCCATGCCCACACCATCCACAAATAGCACCCTGCCATGCTCACACCACATGGAACCCTGCTATGGCCATGTTACCCACTGAATCTTGCCACACCCACATCATGGCCGTAGGTTAACACCCATACTGCCCACTGAACCTGGCCACGCCCACATCCATGCCAGCACCAGCACAGCCTTACCTGGCGGATCGGCTCGCCCAGTGCCTCCAGTGTGCCTGGGTAATTCTCAATGAGGGACACATGCAGCTTGTTCTCTGCACGCTGAGGCAAGGCTGACACCACAGCGTACGCCTGCTCCAGCAGCGCGCAGTTCTGCCTGTTCCGGGCCTTGTTCCGGATCAACTCCTGGGAGCAGGAGGATGCTGTCAGAACTCCAGACAGCCCGGCCCCTTCCCCAGGTTGGTGGGTGGGGACAGGTGAGCACCTTCAGCAGGGCTTGGTAACGCTGCACCCGGGCTACTGGCTGCTCCAGATAGTGTTGCAAAGGCAGTGGGGGCGGCTGCGAGGGGTCCCCAGCGATCAGTACTTCCTCTGTGTATTTCTGCAGGAACCACAGGGACAGTCAGAGGAGACCCTGAAGATGGGATCCCTGCATCGCCCAGGAGCAAGGGCTCAGCACTGGGGTGGGTTGAGGGCAGTGGTCAGGGCCAGCAAGCCCAGGGGGCTGGCAGGCACCTTGAAGAACTCCTGGACAGCTGTGCTGACCATCACCGACTCAGCCTGCACGCGGCCCACCAGGAACTCCAGATATTGCTCAAATGCCTCCTGGTTCCTGATGAAGCACATGGCCACGTCGTCGTCTGTGTCGCAGCGCTGCAGCTCCTGCAGAAAGCTGCATAGGGGCCAGGGTGTCAGGGACCAGGCTCCTGTCCACTGGGTGGTAGGTTGAGTGTACAGGCAGGAGCCTAGGTGTGCAAAGACGTGCACACTCTGATGTGTGTGTGCAGCTGTACATGGAAGGGGGTGTACACGGGTATGTACAGCATGCCCTGTGCTGGTATGTGTAGGCATGTACAGTATGTGTGCAAAAATGTGTGCATCTATGCTAACCACATGGGGTGTGACTGGAGGGATGTAGTGTGCAGGTACATATGCATCTGCATGTAAGTCTGTGCACACAAATACCAGCAAGCTGCTACAGGCCTCCCATGTGTAAGCCAGGGCACACGCTTGTGTCATGTGCACACACAGCAGGCCTCCCATGTGTAAGCCGGGGGCACACGCTTGTGTCATGTGCACACACAGCAGGCCTCCCTTGTTTGTGTTCCTAAAGCAGATAAGCTGCATCAAATAGTACATCACACAAGCTCAAGATCTTTCCTTTCTCAGCTCCTGCCCACCCCTTATGAAGCCAGCTCTGCTCCCAACACACGTGTGCATACGTGTGTGTGCACATGCAGCCATGCCCACCTGCTATGGAATCGGCTGATGTCCCGCATGTTACGGAAGAGGATGGCCTTCTGGCTGGCCACAGTGGGGGGCACGTGGGGACTCTGCTCTAGGTGCCGCATGTGGTGGCTCTGCAGGAACTGCAGTTCCTCCAGGAAGGCCTGTTCTGAGCTCAGCAGCTCCTGGATCACAGAGCTGTTGGGTGGAAGAGGGGGTGATGAGGGGAGACTCAGAGGGCCAGGGGCTCCATAGACCCTGAGCTGGTGAGGTGGTGGGGGGCTGTGAGGGCAGACCCAAGGGCCGGGGGCTCCACAGACCCTGAGCCCTCGGCCCTGGCTGCACACAGCCTGTGTTCTCTAACTACCCCACCAAGCAGCAGGTCCCACCAGTCTTGGTCCTGGGGAGATGCACTATTGGGCGCACCAGTTCTGCCCTTGCCTGTCCCTAAGGGTTGCTCCCAAACAAGGCCACTCACCTCAGCTTTGTCTTGTATTCAGCTTCTGACATGACCTCACCGGGGAACTCAGGAGACTCAGGGGTCCCCCACTCTGGTGACAGCTGGGGAGAAAGGTAAGTCCTCCTGGCCAGTCTGTGCCTGGCCCTGCCCCAGGGGTGGGCCACATCCTCCCCCACGGCCAGTACCTTGAGTCTCTTATCCAGGTAGGCAGGCGACACCCAACCCTGCCGGGAAGGGCTAGATTTGGTGGGCTTGGTGCGCACAAGCCAGCGCAACGGGTGGGCAGAGTCCAGAACCTCCACATATTGACCCTCCCGGAGCGCGATGGCATCCTGTTCAGCTCCCAGGGGCAGGTAGTCAGCCGTGACCACAAAGATGTCGAAAATCTGACAGTGAGCAGGGGAGCAGCTGAGGGGTGGCTCTGCAGGCCCCAGTTGGGCCTCACCAAGCCCCTACCCAGTCAGCCGGCTCCTGGGACATGTGACTTTCCAACCTTGAGGTCCCAGAACCTGCTTCCTGCTGTCTATCCTGAGCACCCTCCAGCTGCAACCCAGGGGACAGCATCTGCTCCAGGTGCCACAAAACCCCTGGCCCTTGGGCCCGCCCACCTCACCACGAGAGTCGCTGTCCTCTGACTCAGAGGAGGATTCCTGGACGCTGGAAGACGGCCGTGACCGGCCATGCCGGGGGGATGCAGATGGCGTCTTGCACTCCTCATCACTGTCACCCCCGGGCACCTGCAGCTTGGCTGGGAGCAGGTGAGAGGGTCAGGACGCTCCAGCAAGGTGTCCCAGCACCCCACCCCAGCCGGCATGGGGCTCACCCTGCGAGATCTTGGCAGACACCATCTCAGTTATCTGGGAGGTCAGTTTCCTCAGGAACTCCTCCGTGCCCACCTCGGCCAGGGACAGGGAACTGCCCACCTCCTCGGCTACCAGGGGCTCTCCTGGGAGATGGGAGGATATGGTCAACAGTGGCCTCAAGCCTGCTGGGAGGCTCAACCCTGGTGTGGGGCTCAACCCTGGTGTGGGGCTCAACCCTGGTGTGGGGCTCAACACTGGTGGGGGGCTCATCCCTGGTGGGGGCTCAACCCTGGTGGGGGGCTCATCCCTGGTGGGGGGCTCATCCCTGGCATGGGACAGGGTCTCCTCAAATTGGAGGGTCAGTGAGACTGGGGCAGACAGTGGATGAAGGGCCACTTGAGCAGAGACACCTGAGCCAAGGTGTAACCAAGGGCTGGGGACAAAGAGAAGGGACAGTGGTGGCCAGGACAGCATAGGCATAGCCAAGCAACATAGAGGCCCAGGGACATGGTCACAGCCAAGGGGCTATCGACAGCCATGTGGCTGCAGGGCACAGGGAGCTGAGCATGGAGCTGAGTAGAGATCAGGTGGCCCCTGGAGCCCAGGACCTAGGTGGTCTGTGGCATGGTACATGCCTCCCAGCACATGAGCCCAGAGCTAGGCCAGCCTCCTGCATGCCGGGGGCCAGGAATGGCTCCACCACCAGCCATAGCTCACTCAGAACTAGGATCCAGGGGAGGGCAGGGATCCTGGGACAGACCTGACTATGTCCAGGAGGAACCTCTCGGCCTGGGGTCTACCCAGCAGCAGGCAGGGGCTCAGGTACCCTTCCTACCCATACCTTTCTTTTGCCCAGCGAGGTCAGCTACAGGCCCAGCTTCTAGCATCTGTGCCGAGATGGCTTGGGTCGTCCTAGCAGGAGTAAGGGAGGATGTGAGTGCCCTGGGCAGACCTACCATGCTCTGCCCAGCAAGAGGGCCTGGAGGCAGCAGGCAGGAGTCCCACATTTCCCAACCTGGAAATGGGCTGCCCCTGCCCTGCCCAGTCCCCACTCACCCCTGCAGGAATGTGGAGATGAGGGTCTCCTTCACCTTCTCCTGCTCCTCTTCCTTGGCCACTGTCAAGAAGGCCAGGCAGCTGTGAGGGCCAGGGCTTGGACCTCAGAACCACAATGTCCAGGCTGCCTGGTGTCCTGAACTCACCCCTGCCCCAGCACCCTGGGCACAGCCATACCTGACCACCTCCCCAGTCACAAGGACAGGGCCCACAACATGCCTGACCACCTCCCCAGGCCAGTGCCAGCCCCACTCACGGCCTGAGACATGCAGGCTAGCAGAGCAGAGGGCCTGGCCAGCAGTGTTGGTGGCAATGCAGGTATAGGTGCCCTGATGCTGCCGGCCCACATCCAGCAGGACCAGGCTGTGCCGCTGGGCAGAACTGGCCACAGTGTAGCCTGGTGAGTCAGGGCCAATCCACAGCACGCCCCTCTCGGCCTCCTCCCGGAGCCAGTGTACGGCAGGGGCCGGGTGTCCTGTGCAGGGAACAAAGGCAGACACTGACCCAGCCCCACCAGGAGCCGGAAGCCAGGATGGGAGGCTGTGATGGGGGATACGGACACGCACCTGCTACCTTCACAGAGAAAGTCACACTCGAGTGTCGTTTCACTGTCTTGGGTGTGAACCTCTCCAGGATCCGGGGAGGCTCCATCTGCTCAGGCTCAGCTAGAAGGGGTGCAGGAGCCATGACTTTGGGGCCCAGGGGATCTGCCCCTTGGCCAGGCAGTGTCCAGTCCGCACTTAGCTGGCCGAGGCCTGTATCCACCCATGTTCTCGGCTCATTGGGGCTCTCACCTGATTCTTGCTTCTCCTCGGGCTCATCAGGGCCTGAGAGATACACAAGTGAGACATGCATTTGCATGGGGCTTTTTATGGGCTGCCCAGGGTCCTGCCTGCCTAGGGGAGGGAGCCCTGCTACAGTCCCACCCCATGAGCCAAGATCACAGCCTGAAACCTGAAATGAGGCTCACACAGATCAGCACCCTAGAAGCATAAGCTGGGACAGATGTGAAAAGTTCTCTGCCTCCAGGAAGTTGCCCTGACCTGACCTCAGGGACCAGACCTGACCCCACAGGGAGCTGAACAGACCCCACAGGGACCTGATCTGAACCCACTGGGACTTGACCCAATGCAGGGACGTAACATGACCCCACAGGGACCTGATCTGACCCAGGGATTTGACCTGACCCCACAGGGAGTTTGCCTGACCCCACAGGGACCTGACTTGACCCCACAGGACCTGGACCTCCCTGGGAACTGGTCTGAACTCAAGGTCCTGACCTGCCATGTGCTCCACTCACCCACACTCCCTGCAGGAATTATCTGTGCAGTCACACGGACAGTACACAGCTCTAACTTGGAATTAGCTCTCAGTGTTCAGGACTTTGGAGAATGGACACTGGGACCCCTCTTCCCAGTGTGCTGCCCTACAGCTGCCTATTGTCTATTGTCTGCTTCCTTTGATCCAGAAGGAGGCGCCAGGATTCTGTCCCAAGACCTACCCACTATAGGCCAACTTCTGACCACCAGGTGTGGACAGAACACAAGGCACCCACCTCGGACCAGCAGCCGGGCAGAGGAGTAGGCGGCACCCAGGGTGTTGCTGATGTAGGCTGCGTACTGGCCAGCGTCTTCCCGTGCCACAGACAGCACCTCTAGTGTGTGCACCGTCTTCTTGTCAGCCATGCGGATGTGGGCAGACGCGGACAGGGGCTGCCCATCCTTGAACCAGTACACCCTGGGTGCTGGGTAGCCTGGAGCCAGGAGGCAAGAGAGTGATCAGCATAGGGCCACCTGCCAAAGGCGTTCCCCCAGACAGCCTGGGCCACTGGCAACAGAGCGCCAGCCTCCTGTGCCTGCTCAGGGGCAGACTGGGGTCTCCTCTGGGCTGGCAGCACCCCCTTACTCTCTACCCCTCACCTTTCACCTTGAGCTGGAACTTGGCCATGCGTGTGCCTGGGGCTACCTGCAGGTCCCTCAGCTCCTCCACCACCTGGGGCAACTGCCCCTCATCCGACTCTGTCCCCTCCTGCTCCCGGCTGGTAGGAGGAAAAGAGAGTGCGCATTCAGGAAGTAGACTAGCCTGGGAGGCTGGGGGAGAAGCAGGGGGCAGGTGTGGCCCCTGACTGCTCTGCAGAGGGGTGGACCCAAACGTCAGGTCCTGTGGAAGGCCTCAATCCAAGCCATTCAGCTGTCTGAGGATCCTACCTGGACAGGTAGCCCTGGGCACTGAAGTAGGACGAGGTCTCTGTAGCATCGGCTGCAGTGTCGTAGTCTGTGCTGGTCACTGAGGAAGAAAGGGTGGACCTGGGGCACAGGCTGGACCCTTTCCCGGGACTGCCGGGGCCTGCTGAGTGGCTCTTGCCTTGCCCTGGGACTACCAGGGCCTGCTGAGTGGCTCCTGCCTGTAGTTTCAGCTCAGGCTCCCTGGCCCACAGCCAGCCACTGGACCAGTTCTGCCCTCTGTCCCTCATAGGACAGCATTGTTTTCTGCTGGACACCAAGCCCGCTCATGGTCCCATCTACCACCCTCTGGCCACCACGCTGCACCACCATGTCTGTGGCTTCCTAGATACACTGAGCATAATCCCAGCACTGCTCGGCACTCCCTTCAGCCACAGCTGCTGCCTCAAAGGGTCTTGCGCCACACTTCGCTCTCCACATCATGCTGAATCCCTGCCCCTGAGATCTCCCTTTGAAGAGGAGTGTGCTTCCTATCTAGAAGATTGTCCCTCCGTCACAGCCCTCGCCCCAGCTCCCAAAGTGGAATCCCAGCCTAGGATAGTTCTACAGCAGCTCCCACCTAAACCACACCATGGCAAAATACATGGCATAATGATCCATGGGGTGAAGAAAGGTTGTGACTCCTCAGACCAGGAGAACCCAGACAGGGGACCCAGGAGACTAGGGCAGAGCACTAAAGACCAGAATGCTGCCCGGACACGGGCCCGATGAATCATAGAATTCTGACAGGGGAGAGCTGAGCCTACACACACAACACTCACAGGCTAGCACAATGAACACACAGCCAGGCACATCCATACATCGCTGGTATGCACATAGCTGAACACACAGCCAGGCACACATGTACACACACGGCTGAACACACACACACACACCAGGGCACACACATGGCAGACTCACACAGTTGTGTACATGTAAACATATACACACAGCAGGGCACACAAAGCTGTGCACACACGTATGAGTTCATATGTACATGCACACACAGGACTACACTGAAGGCTTCATGTAGCCAGGCACTCAGACAAGTCCTGGCCTCCCAGATGGTCAGTATTCAGCCCCAGACTAAGCCTAGTCCAGACTTACATGACCAACTGCAACACCTCAGCTTGAGAGGATCTGCTTCTGGGAACCACAGGCCGGGCTTCAGCCCAGGCCCCAGGGGCAGGAGACATGACCCTGGCCAGGAACTGCTACAGAGAGCAGGACTAGTGAGAAGGCATTGGAGAGATTGCCACATTTTGCATCTGAAAAGCAGAACCAGGCAAGGACCTAGCAGGGCAGCAAACTGGGGGACACAGGCAGAGTCAGGAATGGGCAAAAAGGTCAGTACACTGGATGTGACTCTATAGAAGAGTGACTGGTGGAGGGCAGCATGGCTGTCCTCCCCAGATGAGGGCGTAAGGTACCTGGGAAAGTAGCAAACACAAACCCTTTGGTTGAACAAGCCCTTTAAGCCCAACAAGCCCCAAACAGATGGATGTGAGAAAGCCAGAGGGCACCAAGAACAGCGACCAGCAGGCACTGGTGAACTCCCCAGAAGCTCACAGTAAAGGACGAGGGACCAAAGGTGCCTACAGCAACCTCAATAAAGACCCGAGGTGGAGACTGCAACTCTCCAGAAAGAACTACAAAGCACACGACCCTCAGGAGGTACACACGTGTGTCAGGAGCACCACATGACCCTCAGGAGGCACACATGTGTGTCAGGAGTATCATACGACCCTCAGGAGACACACACGTGTGTCAGGAGCACCACACGACCCTCAGGAGACACACACGTGTGACAGGAGCAGCACACGACCCTCAGGAGACACACACGTGTGTCAGGAGCAGCACACGACCCTCAGGAGGCACACATGTGACTGCAGCACCACACAACCAGGAGGAGGCACACACATGTGTCTTCAGAACCTTTGACAGAGCCATGTTAGGGTTCACTTTTATCCATGGATGTCCAGCTGCTCCAGCACTATTTGCTAAAATCCTCCCCACCGCTTTTTTTTTTCTTTTTGAGGTAACATATTTTTCAAGGCACATTTGTTGGAATCCCAGCCTTGTTCCACTTACTTTTGTGTGAAATCTGCTGGCATATGCACACATACAGCCTAATCTTGTTCCTGATTCCCATCAGTCCTCTGTCAACAGCACATGATCTTGGATGCTTTGCACGGTAAGCCTTGCTCCAAGTATGCTGGTTCTTTTCATTTCACTCTTGTTTTCCAAACGCTGTCCTGACTTTTTTGGGTTCTCTGTCCAGGGAGCCTTACAAGAAGCCTGTCCATGTCTACAGAAGGAATATCCATTGGCACAGTTGTTTGGCAGGGCCAGAGAGCTTCTGCTTGGGACTCCCGCCTCATCTCTGCAGTCCCTCCTGTTCTGCTTCCATCCCAACTTCCTTCCACCACACACTTGGGAGGCAAGTGGGTCATTTAGGTCACACTTGAGGAGACCCAGACTGAGTTTCCAGCTGCCAGCTTTGGCCTGGCCCAGACAGTGAGTCAGCATTATATCTCTCTGTCTCTGCATTTCAAATGCAAAGGTAACCTGAGAACTGAATTGAACCCACATGCCCATGAATAAGGAGCGTCTCTCCAGGCATGTGGGTCCTCTGTGATGCCCTTGACAGCAAGTTTCAATTCTCAGGAAACAAATTCAGCCTTGTTGGATTTATGGCTGCTTTTTGTTTTACTTGAAACTGCTGCAGCTATTCCTTGGCCTTGGCCTCCACACACACATGTGCACCCTGGATACATGTCCAACTTGCCCGCCGCTCCTGGGTCCGATGGCCTCACTTCCTAGCTCTACCTCAGCTAAGTGCTCCAGCACTGCTCACTCTTCCTCAGGGCTTCTCAGCAGGCCTCACCCTGTCTGCCGGCCGCCCTCCCACCTCTGAGACTCAGCTGCAAAGCGTGCTGGGCCTCTGCCCAGCTTGGCCACCTGGAGGGCTCTAGCCCCCGGGAGGTGCAAGTCAGGCAGGAGACACCAAGTCCAAAGTCCCACCTGGCAAACAGTAATGCTGTCCACCTACTGGTGCACTTGACTTCCAGGTCTAGGACCAGGCTGCAGCACCTGTCAGAACTGGGCCTAGGGTTCTGGAGAGCTGCTTCAACCCACCAATCAGTGCGAATCGGGTCTGGGTGCAAGCCAGATTGGACCATTGTACTCACTGGTGCACATGAGCTGAGTCAAAGGAATGGTCTTGTGGGGGTTCAAGGGACACCCTAACTAGGCCATTTTATCTGCTTGGGGTGGGCCAGGCCAAACCAAACCACCTGCTGATGACCATAGGAACTAGGGCTGAGAGCCAACCTTTCATGAGTTCCTGATGGGCCCCTTGCTCCTGCAGAAACATATAGGAGATGGGGCAAGTGGCCATCTGGACCAGCTTGTAGCACCCACCAGGGAGTGCAAGAACCAGGGCTCAGGACGGACCATGTAGGGTGACCTGGTCAGGAATAGACCTCTGAATCATGTGAGTAATCCTGAATTGAAGGGGTTCCTGACCTCAGGGGACATCCCATGGACATGTGGTCCGACCATGGAGCACATGCTGCAGGACCAGGCTATTCTACTGCCAACTCCAGAGAGAGGATGAAGAGCACCCCCAGATGCTCATGAAAGGCAAGACAACTGAATCCTCTAATTCCACAGAAGATCTCAAAGGCTCTTTAAAGAGTGAAAAGAAAAGCAAGGGACTCAATGCTTTAGGCCAGGTTCTACAGAAAACAGCTAGGCTTGTGGATACTCTTGAAACAAAATGGACAAGCAATAGGCCTCAGAACTTACACAAAGACAGCCAGAAAGAGTCCCTGTGAGGATAGATGGAGTACATGGCCTCTCACCCAAGGGCATTCTCAATGCACCATCTCCACTCCCCCACTAATGTAGTCTGCGAAAGGGGTGGTATGCCCTCTCCCTGCCTGCCCACCATGGACACATCTCTTCTCACCTCTCCTTCCCTCTCCTTTCCTCTCTAACCCTACCAGAGGCCCACACCTCTGCAATAAACATTTAAAATTAATCATTCTGTTATGAAAAAAGAACAGTGCCATCTGCCCCCCTTGCCCAGGCCAGCAATGTAGGCCTGGCACTCACAGTCCACACGGAGCTCAGCCTTGGTGGAAGAAACACCCACGCTGTTCTCAGCCAGGCAGCGGTAGACACCCATGTCTGCTGGCACCACAGCTGTGATGATGAGCTGGTGGCCGCCCTGCTGGTCCTCGTTGATCATATAGTGGTCATCCTCCTCCAGCAGCTTTCCATCCTTGAACCAGCGTACGCTGGGCATCGGCTGGCCCCTCACCACACAGTCGAAGCTCACAGGATAACCGTCCTGTACCTCTTGGTTCTGCAGCTCCGTCAGAAACACAGGGGCTGGGTAGGATAGACAGGGCATGCACAGTCAGCCCCAGGTGGCCCCAATGCCCCATGGGTGGCCTGACATGCTCCCAACCCATCCCAGCTGGTGGACATGCTCACCAGTATCAGCAGGCAGAAGGCCAGGTGCTGGCTCTAGGGGTGCCCCGGGGGTGGAGGCCACCTTTCCAATGCGCATCTCCACACCCCGGGGGCCCTGCTCCACCAGGCTGATCTCCACACCAATACCCATCGCTGCAAACATCTCCCGGAAGCGGCTGACAGCCTGCTGGGCTTCAGCGGGGGCCTCAAAACGGATGCATACGCAGTGTTCATCCTCTCGATATGTCTGCCAGTCGGCCGGCTCCTCTGGCTCAGCTGGGCCCTCATCCGCACTCAGGAAGAGTTCCTCATCCGAAACTTCAGCCGGACCCTTGGTGCGGAAGAGCCGATGCAGCCGCCGGGCAGCCCGGCGGAAGGCATCATCCAGCTCACTCCCCGAGGAGCTCTCCGCCTCACTTTCTGTCCCGCTGACCACAACACAGGCACTGTGGGCCACCTGCCCAAACTTGCTGCTCACCTGGCAGGTGTAACAGCCAGCGTCTGTGTGGCCCAGGCCAGTGACTAGCAATGAGCAAGTGCCATCAGCCAGCTGGTCAATGTGGTGGTGCCGCCCATCAGTCAACTCCACACCATCCTTTAGCCAGCAGGCCCGCACCTCTGCCTTGCTGGCCACCACACACTCCAGGTGCAAGACATCCCCTGCCTGTGCCTGAGTATCCCCAAAAGTGCGGGAGAATGTGGGCCCTTCCTGCTGCCTCATCTCTTTCCGGACTTTGTAACCCTTGAAGGCAGCCTGAATCTTTACAGCTGCCTCATCCAGACGGGGACCACTCTGGCCTCCCTGGAGCAGCTGCTCTGCGGGTGATGGCTCTTGCGGCTTCTGTGGCTTCGCAGAGGGGACTTCTGGGGTCCCAACCTGTGACACAAAGCAGGACGTCATGGCAGGGTAGGAACTAAGGTGTGCCCTTGGGCCTGGAAGCAGTGAGGCAGGCTATGGTTCCAGGCCTTGCTCCAACGTGCCTGTCTCCCTGCTCTCTTCTAGCAACCCTGCTGATCAACCAGGAGCAGACACCTACTGGCCCCCACCACTACCCAGAAGCAAACCCACCTCACAAGAACCACTGCACACCCAGGGATGGGTTGCACACAAGTAAAAGGACCCACGGGCCAGCCTCAGGTCTTCAGGAAAAGGGAAACAGTCAGGTGGGCAAATGGGTGAACAGAGTGCATGGACAGGTAAGGGACTGATGGATGGGAGAGTAGAGAGGGGATGGGGTAGCAAGCAGCTGAACAAATGGAAGAACGGTGGGTGGACGGGAGGCGGGTGATGCATGCATGGGCAGGCGTGGGAGTCAACAGGGGCAAACAAGGTAGGCACACAATAGACTGTCGGAAGTTTGAGGCTTCACACAGCCCTCTCCAGCAAGCCAAGCTCACCTCACTGGCCAGCGGTGAGACTCCCGGCTTCCCAGCCCTCTTCAGGTAGGTGACAAGGGACGGGGTGCCTGCACGGGATTCATCATCTGAGCTGGTATGGGAGAGGTCAGCCTCGCCAGTGCGAGCTAGCTCGTCAGCCGTGGAGTAGTCCTCCGAGAGGTCAGGAGCTGCCTCCTCGGCCCCTTGTCGCAGGAGCTGCAGGTGGGTGTCCTCCTCAGGAAGCTCACTGATGGAATCCAGAGTGGGCTCACGGCTCATGCGGCGCTTCCGGGCCAAGGCCTCCCACAGCAGGTGCAGGTCACCTTCCTGGGCAGCCTCAGGAGGCAGGCTAGGCTGTGCCAGGGCTTCGGCCCCAGAGTTTGCAGCCAGCACCACTGAGGAAGGGTGACAAAATGGTCAGTAGGCCAGAGTAGAGCTGTACCCGGCACCCCGCATGGCTGCTAAGTGGAGAACGGCTCAGACAGGGGACCTATTGGACTCTGCTCCTTACCTGCTCCAGGTCTCAGAGCCCTCCTGCCAGACCCTGGGACAGCAGGGGGCTCATTCTGAGACATGGCTGGGCTTCTCCCACCCTTCCTGTTCCTCCCCCTGGGTCACAGAGCCATGGCCACAGCTACACAGGGAGAGGGACTGTGTATGGGCTGAGGGTGCAATTAGAGCCAGACTGGGGGGTCAGGACAAGGCTGAGGAGGGCCCCGAGGAGGAGGACGCACCCTGGAAAGAGGTGCTGGCAGTAGGAGTCGGACTGCTGGCAGGGCTGCAGCTGTACTGCCCCTGGTCCTCAGCCCTGAAGCCCTTGATGACTAGCTTCTGTTGCCGACCTCGGGAGACCACCTCAAAGCGCCCATCAGGCTGGATGCGCTCCGAACCCTTATGCCAGACCACATCACCAGCCTCGACCGCCATCTCCAGCTCCAGACAGACGTCCTCGCCGGCAGCCACATGCCGACTCTCAGGAGCTAGAGGACAAGCTGGCTCCGGCTCTGTAGGAGACCCCACGCAGGGCAGGGCACAAGCTATGTCAGCAAAGACCCAGACACCCACAAAGGCACAGCCTTCTACAGCTTCAAGGGTGGCAACTCACCCAGCTGGACAGTCTGGGGCAGGTGCACTGGTTCTCCGGTACCCGCAGGACCCACGGCTGCCACACGGAAGCGGTAGGTCTCCCCAGGGGACAGGCCATCCACCACACACTCAGGTCCAGGCACCAACTCATGGCACAAATGCCACTGACCAGTGGTTCCCTGCTTCATTTCCACACGATAGCCACAGAGACCACCCCCGCCATCACTTGTGGGGGCTACCCAGGAGAGCGTCACAGATCGGCCGCTGCGCCCCACCACTTCAGCATCCTCTGGGGGGTCAGGGAGGCCTGTAAAGCAGAAGGACCATCAGCACCAGGGCCCAAGCGCCCTCTGTAGCCACCACTGGACATGTGTGAGCACTGGGGATCAACTATAGCTCCTGTATCCCAGGAGAGACCATGTATGGCCAGAGCATCTAACAGCTTACAGGATGGAGACCCTCACACTTCCCACTCTAGGACTGGGCTCAGGGCACATGGAGAAGGACCAGCAAGGACCCTCCAGGGTTACAGGCCCCGCAGGCAGGTAGGGAGAGCCTGCCTGGGGCCCACCCTGCCTTCTGGGCCTCGCATAGCCAGGCACACAGCCTGCGTCACCACCTCTTGACCACACAGAAGCAGGAAGACATCCGCCAGACCCAATCTGGGGTGGGGCCTCACTCAGTACAGAGAGCCGAGCAGAAGCCACAGCATCCCGGGCGGCGAAGGTGACTTCCCCAGCATGATGCGGCTGGGCGTGGTGCAGCAGCAGGCTGTGGTGGCTGCCGTCAGCTGTGACTGTCCAGTCGGGGTCGTCTGGCTGCAAAGTGGTGCCTTCCAGGTACCAGCTGGCCTCACCCACAGGCACAGGCTCACTGAGCATGCAGTTAAAGTGGGCCTGCGCACCGGTGGTCACCACCACATCTTGTGGGGTCTCCAGGAACTCCAGGCGCCAACCTGCAGCAGGATGGGGGTGCTGTGAGAATGGGTGTGTGGGAGGATGTGCAGGGGGCGGGGCGGCTCCCAGCACCCCACAGTCACCTCGGACAGTGAGGAAAGCAGAGGACACGAGGTCCCCGGCCAGGAAGGTCACACGACAGCTGTCCCGTGGGTGCAGGTTTTTGAGCAGCAGCAGGTGGCGCAGGCCGCCTTCGAAATAGACCACCTCGGCACTGTCCGAGGTGTGCACCGGCTCATCATCCAGGAGCCAGGTCTGCGCAGCCACCTCAGGCTGGGACAGCTGGCACTCGAACAGCGCCTCTCCGCCCTCAGGGGCCTCCACGTTCTCCAGGCCCCGCACCACCGTGTTCTTGGCTGTGAGGAGAAGGCAGCTCAGGGGTGCTGGTGTCCACAGGGCTCCCCATTGTCATTCATTCAGAGACCCCAAAGCTAGAGAGCCACAGGGAATATCCCTGGCAGTTGCCATGTGGTGAGCAGGGGCACTGGGTGGCGAGTGTTCTGGGTGCCCAACCCCAGGGGCCTGTATCAACCTGAAGAACAATATGAGGGGCTGTGGCTCCATTCTCATATTCAGGAGACCACCTGCTGCACAAGCTCATGGCCCTGGAGCCTGCAGTATAGGGCCTTGGATAGTGACCAGGGCCACAAGGACTCTCTACTGGCCCTCATGACCCCTTCCCTACTCACTCTCCACCATGTCCACCTGCTCCAGCCATACACTTGTCCTGGAAGTCACACACTCAGCTCCACCCAAGGCACACTCTGCCACTGGCCTCCTCACAGGCTGTTCCCACCGGCCTGGCCGCCTTAGCACAAGTGTCCGCCAGGCGGCCTCACCTCGCACTTGAAGCAGGGCCTCTGTACAGGTGCCCTCAGCCTCGCAAGAATAGATGCCGCTGTCGTGGGGCAGGGCCGGCCTGAAGATGAGCCTGGCCACTGTCCAGTCCTGCTCTATGATGACGCGGTGCCCGTCTGCGCAAACCTCCCGCGCGTTCATCTTCCACATGGCATGCACGGGCCGTGAATACTGGCAGACGAGCTCCACCGAGCCCCCCTCCTCCACCACCAGGTCCTGCATGGCACTGACCACCTCCACCGCAGGATCTGTCGGCCAACGCCAGACACCCATCAGCCATGGGAGCGACTCCCATGCCCACCCTGCCCGCCCTGCCCGTGGTCAGCATTAGCAGCTTCAGCAGCTACAAGCACAGCAGCAACTGCCTGGCACCCTGGGGCCCACAAGCCAGCCAGGCTCGGCATCTGTCTAAGCTAGGGTCACAGGAGACACACCCCATCCTGGTGGCCTTGGGCCCTGCCTACTCAGGGGCAAAGAACTACCGCCTGATGATCTGGCCAAGGCATTTATACTTTCTAAAGCTGGGAGAAGGGAAAGAACAGGTGCCTGCGGCCGACTTCCTGCCGGCACAGCTCCTGCCCCAGCCCATAGTGTAAGGCATGGCAAGGGCCAGGCCCCAGGAAGGCTCCCACCCACCACAGGTTTGCAGGGAAGGAGGGCATGGGGCAGTCTCCAACGTGACTGAGAGCACTGCCAGGGCAACCTGCCACCCCAGTATAGGCCCAGAAGCTGTGCCCATCCTGGAATGCATGCAGGGCAATGCGGGTGCAGGAAGGCTTGAGCATGGGGCATCCCCAGTGGCCAATACCTTTGACCAACAGCTTGGCCATGGAGACCAGGGGCCCTGCACGGAAGGTGACGGTGCCTGAGTCTGCCACCCCAAGGCCTGAGAGCGTGAGGGAGTGCTGGGTTCCATCGTGCACAGCCACCACACTTAGGGGGCCGTCCTGCAGCAGCGTCCCATCCAGCCACCAGCGGGCATCTGGCCCCCCCGCGCGGGACACCTCACAGGAGAACACAGCCACCTCCCCCGCGAAGACATCCACATTCTGCAGGCCACGCACCAGGCACAGTGCAGCCTCTGCGGAGAGGGAGGAGGGCACTGGATACTCAGGGCCACTAGGGATCACAGATACAGGTTCATCCAGGGGCCACTGACATGGGGAATGATACAATAACAGACCTGGCTTTTGCCCCCAGCCCTGGCACAGAGCACCAAAGCCCAATTCAAACCCCCAAATTCTAGCAGTGCCCTAGATGGCACCTGAGTTTGTGTCAATGAAGAGACAGGCAGTGACCCAGTCAGTAGAAGGACCAAGCCTTCGGAAATCACAGCCTTCAGTTCCAAACACAGCCCACAGGGAGAGGCAGAGGAGCCAAGACAAAGCTCTGGGAGGATCTGAAACAAGGATGGCCAGGGCTGGAGGGTGCACATGGAGAAGGCACAGAGCCTGCCTCTGCACAACTACCACCAACCCCTTGGCCTGTGATATCAGACCTACTGTAGTTGCTGGGGTCATGGGGATGCCACAACCCTCAGGTTCCTCCAGGGCTCCTTGGCGTGAGGGCAGAGGTGACTGTGTCAGCACAGATGGGTCTCCACCATCCTGAAAGAACCCACCCAACCACAGGAGACAGGGAGGCCTCCTGCTGCGAGTGCTGGGCAAGGGGCTAGGCTCACGCACAAGCCAACCACAGTCCCCACATGTCCTCAGAGCACATCAGTACCTGCTCAGAGGATGGGCCCAGGCTGATGGCGGGTGTGTCTGGCCAGGGACTCTGCCCTAGAAGCAAGGTAGTATCCCTGGGGCATGGAAGCTGATACTACTCTGTTTGGAAGGTCCAAGGGCCCCCAAAGCTGGTGAGAACTGTCTGCCTTCATTGTACCGCAGCCCACACTCAGGCGAGGCTCCCACCTGCCCCATGCCCTTGCACAATCCTCCTCCTCCCAACCTCTGTTGATGAACACTTGGAATATGTGTGCAGACAAGGCATTGATAGCCCACTTAGCTTACCAAGTGCCCTATGGCCAGACAAGTCGGGGTCAGAAGCTTTCCCTACCCACTGCAGGGGCCCAGGCATGGGCAGACTTGAGATGCCACCATCCCACGGGACAGGCAGGAGCCACATGCTGAGATAAGCAAGCTCAGGGTGCCTACCTCCCAGGCTGACTGCTGGGGGGCTACTCATACCTCCACATTGGCCACCGAGCACACACCTACCAACACCTCTCTTGCCTCCAGCACCACTGACCAACTGAGCTCATCCACCACACCATTGCTGACAGCCATCCACACACACAGGTCCAGGGCTTCCCCAGACCACAGACAGGCAACTGTACGTGAGCCAACCCAGCCAAGATGAGGACAGTTCGTGTGTCCACACCACTCACAGAGGCCTGCTTCCCTGTGGGTCCTCCTGCTGGGCCCTGGCTCAAGATACCCATGAGGCTCCCTCTCACCCTCAGAGGGCACAGACACTTGGCCCCATGGGCCACAGGACTAGCCACATCTGTCTCAGGGGAGAGGACCCAGGTTCAGTACACTCTGCACACCCAGTGCCCGTGTAAGACTGGGATTCAGGAGAACAGCTACAAGGGGTCTTTCCTAAGTTCAACCCAGAGGAATTCAGGTCTGTTCAATGGCAAACAAATAAGTGGGCAATGGGTGGATGGATAGCTGGAGAATGGATGCATGGATAGCAGATAGGTTAATGGATGAATGGAAAAACGGATGACTGATGGGTAGTGGATAGGTTAATGGATGGATAGATGGCTGATGGGTAGTGGATAGGTTAATGGATGGATAGATGGCTGATGGGTAGTGGATAGGTTAATGGGTGGAAGGATGGCTGATGGGTGGTAGATAGGTTAATGGGTGGGTGGATGGATGATAGATAGGTGGCAGATGGATGGAGAATGGACAATGGATGAAGATGAGGATGGGAGTCAGGGAAGCTCTGCCCTGTCTGTGACCATGCCTGTAAAAGGCTGTGCTTCCCACTCTGGACAGGATGTCTCTATCCCCCCACACAACCAGGACTTGGCCAGGAGACCCTCAGCAGCCCACACCAGTGGCTCTTCAGTGGTGGCTGTAGTGACCAGGGCTGGAAAACAGGTGACACAACAAGGTCACTGTCCAAGTCTTGGGTTGCTGCCTGCCCTCAAATAGCAGCTGGCGGGTAAACCACTGTGGCATTAGGGAACATCAGAGGTGCGGGGCATGGAAGGGGCTGCCCACCTGTGACCTTCAACTGGGCCTCGGAGCTGCAGGAGCCCACCTGGAAACTGACAGTCCCAGCATCCTCAGCGGTCACCTGAGGACCAGGCAGGGAGAACCTTAGTGCAAGGGTCCCAACAGTGAGGGAGGCCCGCCCCTGCCCCAGGCTTCCCCATGACGAGGCCTACCCTCACCCAGTGCTGGCTGCTCCTGGGCTCTCACCTTATGCAAGGTAAGCAGGTGCAGCACACCCTGTTCCACAGTGATGTCATTCATCTCATTGGCCTGTAGGGGCACTCCTCCCAAGGACCAGTGGGCCTCGTGGCCAGAGGCTCTGGACAGCCGGCATCGGAAGTGGGCGTCCTGGCCCTCACAGAGCTGCATATCCTGCAGGGGCTCCAGGATGGTCACCTCAGGGGCTGGACACAAGTGGGGGGGCAGGGCCATCAGCCTCACCTCAGCACCTGGCATGCCCTCTCCTGACCAGCAGAGGCCTCATGCCTGCAGGTATGAACCCTGCCCTCCCACCATGATTCCCAAAGTGCCCTGTTCCCAGCTCCTTCCTCCAGCTCAGGCCACAGTCTGCACTCTGATGCAGACTACCATCTGCATGAGCCCTCCATGGGGGCCCAGACCCCAACACTGTGTGAGCCTTTGAGAAGACCCGCAGCCTAACTCAGGCCACAGCCCCAACTGCTCAGAGCTTGGGTGTCCACCCCTCCCAATTCCCTGGCCCTGGTCCACTCCTGAGGAGGGTGACCAGGGAGCATGCCCACAGCCCCCACCTCGCACAGTGAGCTGGGCGGAGGACATGTGCACCCCCACGTGGAAGGAGACAGTGCCGGCATCTTCAGGGGTCACACCCCTCAGCTGGAGCACGTGGGTGCGGCCTCCTCGCACAGTCACCTCAGTCACCTCATTGCTCTGTAGTGGCAGGCCCTGGAGACACCACTGCACGTCCCTGGCCCCTGACCGGGACAGCTCGCAACTGAACTCTACATCTTCGTCAGCCTGGACCTCAGCGTCGGCCAGCCCACGCACGATGCTCACTTCAGGTTCTGGGAATGGCAGGGGAATGGGAGTTCCTTCACCAGATGAGCCAGAACACCCACGATCTCTGCCATACCACCCAACATTGGCCACTGGGGTGCTTACAGGAACAGGGATGGGGGATCCTGTATCCCAGAGGCACAGGCAACAGCCCTGGCCAAGTGAAAGTGGCATATAGGCAGTGAATGCCTGTGGGTCCCCACACCACCAGGGCCAGCTCCACCCTGGCTGGGCACTGAGGGAAGCGACACTCTCAGGAGGACCAAGCAAGGGCTCAAAGGCCACCCAGGCCTTGCCAGTGTTCCTCACCTGCCAGCAGGGGACAGAAAAGGTGGCTGCCCCTCCCATAGCAAGAAGGAGGCAAGAGGAGGCCCTGCAACCCAGGGGGCTTCCAGACCCTGGCACTGGCACTGCCCTGGCAGTGTCCCCAGAAGTTTCAGGATGGCAGTAGGGCCCCACCTGCTCACCTGTGACCCTGAGGGAGGCAGTAGTCTTCTGGCCACCCACCAAGCAGCTGTACTCGCCGGTGTCCTTGGCCTCAAGCCCATGGATCAATAGCTCGCAGGTGGCCCCATCGCGGTAGATCTCAAATTTTGGGCTGGCATGCAGTTCCGTGCCCTCCTTGAGCCACTGTACAGGGCCAACCTCAGGTTCGCTCAGCTGGCAGCACAACCGGGCCTCACCACCTACCTCTGCCTCCACACTCTGCAGCCGTGTCTTGAACTTGGGCCTGGGGGCTGGGGAGCCATAGAGGTGTACTTAGGGCCCGAGCTAACTGCCAAGCAGGACACCCGCCCACCCCTTGTGGGCTGAGGGGGAGGTGCTGCTCACCACGGACCACGAGGCTAGCAGTGCTGCTGGTGGGCCCCGCGTCACAGGTGTAGTCACCTGCATCTTCCTGCTCAACTCCACGCACCAGCAGCTTTGCAGCTGTGCCCTCCTGGGCCAGCTGGTACTTGGCACATGGGAAAAGCTGCAGTGTGCCCTTGCGCCACTCTACACTCACGTCAGCCCGGCTCAGTTCACAGCACAGGTGTGCCGTGGCCCCCTCGTCCACCTCCTGGGCCTGTAGCTCTCGCAAGAACCGCACAGGTGCAGCTGTAAGAGGCAGTATGAGACCAGAGCAGTTGTGGAGCGGAGACAGGGAACAAAGGATGGAGGGAAGGCATGTATTAACCAAGCAGGGGATCCCAGGAAGGTTATGCTGATACTTTCCATGCAGGAGCAGAACGGGAGAGCCGCTGCCCGGCCAAGACAGATGCCCCAGCAGAAGTTGCACACTGTCCACCTGCCCACGGACCCACCTGTGACAGCCAGTGTGGCACTGGTGGCTTGGGAGCCACAGACGCAAGTGTACTCGCCCGCATCCTCTCGGCGCAGGTCCCGCAGTACCAGCTCAGCCGTGCAGCCCTGAAGCCGTTGCTCCCGGCGTGTATCTGCCAGCACCTCCAAGCCACCTTTATTCCAGACCACAGTGGCACTGGTGGCCAGCTCACACCGCAGCACAGCTGTAGAGCCTTCCTCAGCTTGCAGGTCTTGTAGGGGCTCCCGGAAGACAGCCTGGGGAACTGCAGAGGGTGCAGAGGCAGGGTCAGGCTTGCTCAGACAAGACATGGGGACACACGGAGTGGGCGAGCCAAGTCACCTCACCAAGATCATGTCCTTCATATATGAGCCAGAAACTTGACCCCAGACCATAGGGAATGACTATGCGCGCCCCTAGAGCACACCGTGCTGCCTGAGATCTGGGGTATGGCACTGTAGAATATCCTAGAAACCAGGATGAGGGAGGAAATTTGTGGCTGGGCAAGGACTGAAGCTCTGCTCAAGCTGGAACTGGGGTGAATGTTTAGAACAATAATTCTTTGTTACCACTATGACCAGAAACGCAGTGCACGGTCTAGGGCAGAGACAAGGTTCTGCAGGGGCTCCAACAACACAGACAAGATCCAAGGTCAGACAACACACTTGGGGGCAGGCAGGGTGCCTGCACAGCAGGAGGCAGACCCAGATGACCCAGGGCCACACTCAGCCTTACCCCTGATGTTGAGTGTGGCCGAGGTCCTCTCCTGCCCACACACACACATGTACTCTCCAGCATCCTCCAAGGCCAGGTCACAGATGTGCAGCTCACACACGGTCCCCTCCTGCCTCAGGCTGTGTCTGTTCCCATCTCTGAGTGTCTCTGACCCCTTCCTCCATTCCACAGGGGCCACCTTGCTCAGCTCACAACGCAGTGTGACCGTGGCCCCTTCTGTGGCCTCTTCATTCCTCAGACCCTTTGTGAATTTGGTGGGCAGCGCTGAGGAGAGTCAGAGAGATGCCAAAACCATCAAACACAGAACACATAAAAGATACAGAACAACACACAGAAGAGACATGCAATGGAAGACAAATTGGGTGATCAAGCAAGGACTGTGGACAAAACTATCTTGGTTGGACGCAAACATATCCAGAGCAAGTAAGACATGTGTCAAAAAAAGACAGTGTGGGTGGAAAACAGATGACAACAGGGAGCAAAAGGAGAGGACCCACACCGCATGGATCCACACAACTCTGTGTGGTCTTTACCCCTGATGCTGAGCGTGGCCGAGGTCCTCTCCTGCCCACACACACACGTGTACTCTCCAGCATCCTCCAAGGCCAGGTCACGGATGTGCAGCTCACACACGGTCCCCTCCTGCCTCAGGCTGTGTCTGTTCCCATCTCTGAGTGTCTCTGACCCCTTCCTCCATTCCACTGGGGCCACCTTGCTCAGCTCACAACGCAGCATGGCCATGGCCCCTTCTGTGGCCTCTTCATTCTTCAGACCCTTCATGAACTTGGTGGGCAGGGCTACAAATGACCAAGCAGTGTCTCAAGACTCCAGACTCCAGCGACCTAAGTGTACAGCTCACATATATGCACACAGCACATGGGACAACTCAGGTCATGGAACTATTCAGGACATGAGAGACCACAGGTCATGGATAGAAACACACAGGACATGGGAGACCTTAGGTCATCGAGGTACTCAGGATTCAGGAGACCACAGGTAATGGATACACACAGGACATAGGAGACCAAAGGCCATGGATAGACACAGGACATGGGAGACCAAAGGCCATGGAGTTACTCAGGACATTGGAGACCACAGCTCATGGATAGACACAGGACACAGGAGACTGCAGGTCAGGGAAGTACTTAGGACATGGGAGACCACAGGGATCCACTCAGGAAAGTACTGCAAGTTGGACAGGGCAGGGAAAAGTGACTGACATGCAGGTGGGGAAAGAAGCAAATGATTGAGGCAGAACAGGACACAAAGGCTTGGATTTGTCACAAGAAGCTCTGGTAATGAGGAAAAGGGGCACTGGACATACTCTAAGAGGATCCTAGTCAGAGGACAGGTGGCCACAAGGTCAACATGAAACCATGCCACGTGTGGAAACAGAAGGTACTGATGTGGAGACACCATGCAAAAACACACACACACATCTCCAAGGTCAACACCAACTTTACCCCTGATGCTGAGCGTGGCCGAGGTCCTCTCCTGCCCACACACACACATGTACTCTCCAGCATCCTCCAAGGCCAGGTCACGGATGTGCAGCTCACACACGGTCCCCTCCTGCCTCAGGCTGTGTCTGTTCCCATCTCTGAGTGTCTCTGACCCCTTCCTCCATGCCACAGGGGCCACCTTGCTCAGCTCACAACGCAGTGTGGCCGTGGCCCCTTCTGTGGCCTTTTCATTCCTCAGACCCTTTGTGAACTTGGCAGGCAGTGCTGAGGAGGGTCAGAAAGATGAATCCCATGTCACAACTGAGCACACAGAACACAGCACAACACTCAGAAGACGGAATACAGTGCACATGTTGGAGGGACAAGCATGTACTGTGTGCTGAGCTGGTCCTAGTTGGCCCAAGCATGTCACAAAACAGATGAATAACATGTCAAGGATGGGACAGAATGGATGCAGAAGAGATGACAACAGGGAGCAAAAGGAGAGGACCCACACCACATGGATCCACACAACTCTGTGTGGTCTTTACCCCTGATGCTGAGCGTGGCCGAGGTCCTCTCCTGCCCACACACACACATGTACTCTCCAGCGTCCTCCAAGGCCAGGTCACGGATGTGCAGCTCACACACGGTCCCCTCCTGCCTCAGGCTGTGTCTGTTCCCATCTCTGAGTGTCTCTGACCCCTTCCTCCATTCCACTGGGGCCACCTTGCTCAGCTCACAACGCAGCGTGGCCGTCGCCCCTTCTGTGGCCTTTTCATTCCTCAGACCCTTTGTGAACTTGGCAGGCAGTGCTGAGGAGGGTCAGAAAGATGAATCCCATGTCACACACTGAGCACACAGAACACAGCACAACACACAGAAGACACAAATCCCATGTGACATGAGACAAATTGGGTGTCAGTGCACAGGATACGGGATGAAGCTCTTCTTCCCCAGTCTGGGCATGAAACAGTTTCATGTCAAAGATGAGGCAGTGTGAATGGAGAACAGATGATGACAGCAGGAAACAGGTGAGGGCAGACACTACGTGACATCAATGAGGCTCAGTGTGGTCCTTTTCTAGCATCCTTGGTCTCTATCCTCAATACATCCTGGCATCAGGGCTAGGTAAAGTATGTGCACATATGCAGAACAGTGATGACAAGACCAGCATGCAGAATTGAGGGCTGTCTCCAAACAGATTCCAGAATTCCAAGCATAGTCCTGCTATTGCATCTCTGACCTTAAAAACTCAGTTCATCTGAGTCAGCATAATGTTGTGTGAACACATTCAGAGATGAAGGCAGACACCACGTGGAATAGAAATGGGTCAGCGTGGTCCTTCTCTGGTGTCTTGGGTCTCAGACTTAACCCATGTATGCACACATGCAGAAGCTAGGGAATGACTCAGACTTCCAAGAAAGGCTCAGATACAGGAAGGCTAGAGAGATGAGAGGACAACCCCAAAAGGCTTGACAGCAAGAACTTCTATGCCAGCACAGGTGAGCCTGGACGTGGACCATTACAGATGCCTTGGCCCACACGCCTGCTGTTGCACCGGCCAACCAGCCAGGCTGGTCCAGAGCCCACGCCACATTGGAAGCAGTGGGGTGGACTCTATCTCTGACCCATCAGTATTCTCTTATCTCCAGCTGTCCACCCAACACAGTCCCACCTGGAAGTACCTGAGCTCCCTGCATCCACTCAGTCCACGTGGGCCTCCATCTCCCCTTACATATCACTGTCATGACCTTATGCAGCCACACCCCTACCCATGCCTGCCACTGCCCTGGGTTGTAGCACTGGGGCCTCAATGGACCTCAGTTCCACCTCCTATGCCTGTATCAGATTCTCCATCCGCCTACCCCTCCCCCTCTCAATGCCATGCTGAGCAGAGTGACAGCTTACAAGGTACACACTGTCAGCACTCACCCTGGCTATGTCTTCCATTGAAGTCCTAATCTTGAGACCCACTGGATGTGTCTATATCTGGAGATAGGCCCCTTTGTTGAAGGGTGGGGCTGGCACATTGGCATAACAAGCTAACTCTTCATCTGTACAACACCCCATATGGATTCTTGTTCATGTCCCGGTTATTCCACTTCCAACCCATCTCCCTGCCTATGGCCTGGGAAAGCAGCAGAGGATGGCCCAAGTTCCTGGGCTCCTGCTTTCATGTAAGAGACCCAGCAGAAGCTCCAAGCTGCTTGCTTCTGATCAGCTCAGGTTTGACTGTTGTGGCCATTTGGGGAGTGAACCAGTGGATGAAAAAAATCTCTGTCTCTCCTTCTCTCTACAAAATCTGCCTTTCAAATCCTGAGCTGAATGGTATACAGGTTTGAAGGCAGGCCCTCGTCAGCATGATTCCAAGAAGAGCCTGAGACAGAGACACTCCTGGAGCCACAACATGCATGCACAGGAGAGACTGCTATTGCCATGCCAGAGGGTTGTAGGGAGGCAGCACTGTAAACATCTGAGCTGGGAGAGTGCATGGCCCCTGCAGGGTTATGTCCTAACAGCCCAGGAAAACCAATGCAGGAGTGGTGTGCTGTTACAGTAAGTACACAGGTACCTGGGGCTTTGGAGTGAGGGAACAGCCAGTGGCTGGAAATGACCAGCAAGGGCTGCTGCTGAGGATGACAGACTCCTGGCCAGGCTTAAGTGGAAATGAGTGACAAGATCAGAAACTGCAGGGAAGACAAGGCTCTGCAGAATGCAGCCAAGACACACCCCTGCTGCTGGGCTGGGGCAGACCAGGCTAGACAAGGTGGTGCCACCTATCAGCATACTTCAGGGCAGGGCCTGAGGGTGGGGCAGGCTGAACTATACATCCATGTGTGTGCATGAGAGTCAGATGAAATGTGGGCTGGACTAGGCTAGGCCGTAGCAGAGGCTGGCATGCACAAAAACTGGGGCTGAAGACAGGCCTGGTGGGGATTGTTGGGGGTTGCCCCGACTATCCCACGGCACCTACTGGTATGTGTGGGGACCAGCTCTGTGACAGGCTGGCTGGGTTATACCACAGCACCCATTGGTTCGTGTGAGATATGGGGCTGAAGCAGAAATGACTGAGCTGTATCCACCAGTGTGTGCGTTGGCTAGTACAGGTGACAGGCTGCTCCAAACCATGCTCTGGCTGGTACAGACAAGAGACGAATTTGAGGTCACCCAAGGCAAGATTCCTTGAGGGACTCCCTGACTGGAGTGCTGGACTCAGACCCTGGCCACTGGGAAAATCATAAGATGTGTGGTCCTTCCTTAAAGGGCATATATCAGGACTGGGCCTCCTCAGTTGCTGATGCCTATGCAGTGGACAGCATGCCCAGATGTATACAAAGGACATGATAGCCAGCTCATCTAGGCCAGCAGAGGATGTTAACTGCCTCATCAGTGGACGGAAAGCAGAACAGGTTGGATCACTCTCCTGTTCAAGTTAGTAGCACATTCCTGGGTCTGTGGAAGCACTAAAGTGGACATAGTCAGGCAAGAGACCCTGGAAAGTTTCTCAACCCTGGAGCAATGAAACAACATCCCAGGGTTATTGAAACCACTCAAGTAACGTCCTCGGAACACTCTCCACCACAGGGTCTGTAGAGTGTCATCAAAAAGACTGTCCCCTAGCGCTGTGTGCTGGTACAGTGTGACAACAAGGAGTGCCCCCTTCCCCTTCTTCCCATGCGGAGATAGCAAAAAAATAAAAAAGACTGAAAAATATATGTCCCACCTACTTCCCCCATACCTGAACCTCCCCACGCCAACTTAGGTATGTATCCCTCTCAATTATGCAAATATTAAAAAATGATTTTTAAAAAGAAGAATGCAGGCAAAAACGTGGCCAGACTGAGCCAGAGCTCCACCACATGAGTCAGGCCCAATGAGACCACAGATGCTAAGCCTGCAGTGACACACAGGAGGAAACAGCAACTGTAAAAGAATCCTTAAGCAAAAAGGATCCATGCTCAAAGACTCAGGAAATCGCTAGCCTGTCCATGAGCATTGAGCACCGTATCTCAGGTGCTGCTGGGCAGCCCAGGTGCACCACGATGGGGTGTGTGGTTTCCTCGGCAGAAGCCCAGAGCTCAGGAAACCCGGCAGGCCAACTCTGTAAAAAACCCTCAGGCCCGGCGCCATGGCCTAGCAGCTAAAGTCCTCACCTTGAACACGCCAGGATCCCATATGGACACCTGTTCTAATCCCAGCAGTTCCACTGCCCGCCCAGCTCCTTGCTTGTGGCCTGGGAAAGCAGTCGAGGACAGACCAAAGGATTGGGACCCTGCACCCATGTGGGAGACCTGGAAGAGGTTTCTGGTTCCTGGCTTTGGATCAGTGCTGCACCGGCCATTGCGCTCTTGGAGAGTGAATCATCGGATGGAAGATCTTCCTCTCTGTCTCTCCTCCTCTCTGTATATCTGACTTTGTAATGAAAATAAAATAAATCTTTTTTTTTAAGATTTATTTTTATTATTTTTTCATTGGAAAGGCGGATATACAGAGAGGAGAGACAGAGAGGAAGATCTTCCATCCGATGATTCACTCCCCAAGTGAGCGCAACGGGCCGATACTATGCCGATCCGAAGCCAGGAGCCTCTTCCGGGTCTCCCACGCGGGTGTAGGTTCCCAAAGCTTTGGGCCGTCCTCCACTGCTTTCCCAGGCCACAGGCAGGGAGCTAGAAGGGAAGCGGGGCTGCCGGGATTAGAACCGGCGCCCATATGGGATCCCGGGCGTGCAAGGCGAGGACCTTTAACCACTTGCGCCACCGCGCCGGGCCCAATAAAATAAATCTTAGAAAAAAGAGAAGGAACACTCGTCTGACAGCATGTGCCCCTGCGAACTAAACTGCAAGGGAGAACATGGTTGTTGACAACTTCCCCAGCAGAACCCCTGAGAGCATGGACTGCAGGAGGCAGAGCCGGGGGCATGGAGACTCTCAGACTCCCAACATTCTTCAGCACCAGGCACCAGAGGCAGCCAGCTGTACCTCCAAGGGAGTTCAAAGGTCCACAGAGATGACAATGCCCCTAGGTCAGGGTGCATAGACTGTCTCAGGGACCTAGGCAGCCCTGACCCCTGGCCCCAGGCATGGCGCATCCAGGACACGAGGCACAAACCACACAGGACCGTTTGCTAGCCTTGAAATGGAACAGAACCTGCCCCTCAGTGTCTTAGCTTGCTTGGTGTCCAAGACCCATTTCCTCTTGCCAATTTCTTCTTGCTGCACCTACCCCATCAGTGTCCCAGAGATTCTGGGTGTAGGTCTGAGGCAGGAACGGACTAGGAACACAGGCTGCTGGAACCATGTACATGTGCTGTGCATGTCGCACGGGTGTGATCTCGCAGAGGGAAGAGTCAGACCTGAGATGCACCCCTCTACAATGTACACACCTCCATCCTCAGAGTGTGACTGACATTCTAATGAGAAAGGAAGAGCAGGTGTGGCGGTCACTGTGGCACACTGAGCAGAGAAGCTCTGGAAAAATTGGCAACACATATTGGTGTGTCAGAATACTGGAGCTCCACTTCTGATCATGGCCCATTGCTAATGCCATCTGGAAGGCAGCAACAAGTGGATCACACAATTGGGCTCCTGAACCTGGACACATGCCCAGGTGTTGCAGCCACCTGTGGAGTGAACCAGTGAATGAAAGATCTCTCTCCCTCTCCTACCCTGTGTCACTTACCTTCTAGGTAACAATGAGATTAAGGAGCACAGACATAGAGACCACAGAATGAAACCCAAGAAGTCACAGCACAACACATGCACAACACACAAACTACAGGCAAGGATGACATGTCCTGGGCTGCTGAGATGAACAGTGTGAGCACGAGACACTCAGAACATGTCAGCACGAGACAGTGTGGGTGGAAAACAGATGACAACAGGGAGCAAAAGGAGAGGACCCACACCACATGGATCCACACAACTCTGTGTGGTCTTTACCCCTGATGCTGAGCGTGGCCGAGGTCCTCTCCTGCCCACACACACACGTGTACTCTCCAGCATCCTCCAAGGCCAGGTCACGGATGTGCAGCTCACACACGGTCCCCTCCTGCCTCAGGCTGTGTCTGTTCCCATCTCTGAGTGTCTCTGACCCCTTCCTCCATTCCACTGGGGCCACCTTGCTCAGCTCACAACGCAGCATGGCCATGGCCCCTTCTGTGGCCTCTTCATTCTTCAGACCCTTCATGAACTTGGTGGGCAGGGCTACAAATGACCAAGCAGTGTCTCAAGACTCCAGACTCCAGCGACCTAAGTGTACAGCTCACATATATGCACACAGCACATGGGACAACTCAGGTCATGGAACTATTCAGGACATGAGAGACCACAGGTCATGGATAGAAACACACAGGACATGGGAGACCTTAGGTCATCGAGGTACTCAGGATTCAGGAGACCACAGGTAATGGATACACACAGGACATAGGAGACCAAAGGCCATGGATAGACACAGGACATGGGAGACCAAAGGCCATGGAGTTACTCAGGACATTGGAGACCACAGCTCATGGATAGACACAGGACACAGGAGACTGCAGGTCAGGGAAGTACTTAGGACATGGGAGACCACAGGGATCCACTCAGGAAAGTACTGCAAGTTGGACAGGGCAGGGAAAAGTGACTGACATGCAGGTGGGGAAAGAAGCAAATGATTGAGGCAGAACAGGACACAAAGGCTTGGATTTGTCACAAGAAGCTCTGGTAATGAGGAAAAGGGGCACTGGACATACTCTAAGAGGATCCTAGTCAGAGGACAGGTGGCCACAAGGTCAACATGAAACCATGCCACGTGTGGAAACAGAAGGTACTGATGTGGAGACACCATGCAGAAACACACACACACATCTCCAAGGTCAACACCAACTTTACCCCTGATGCTGAGTGTGGCCGAGGTCCTCTCCTGCCCACACACACACATGTACTCTCCAGCATCCTCCAAGGCCAGGTCACGGATGTGCAGCTCACACACGGTCCCCTCCTGCCTCAGGCTGTGTCTGTTCCCATCTCTGAGTGTCTCTGACCCCTTCCTCCATTCCACTGGGGCCACCTTGCTCAGCTCACAATGTAGCGTGGCCATGGCCCCTTCTGTGGCCTTTTCATTCCTCAGACCCTTTGTGAACTTGGCAGGCAGTGCTGAGGAGGGTCAGAAAGATGAATCCCATGTCACACACTGAGCACACAGAACACAGCACAACACTCAGAAGACACAAATCCCATGTGACATGAGACCTGGGTTGGGTGTCCCAGCACAGGGCAGGCTCTGAGGTGTTATTTTGTACACCCCTGTGCATCACACCTGTATTTCTGTGATGTCACCAGTTTCATACTGGTATGGATGTGTCTCCACAGCCAGGGTGACACAGAAGGCGCTGGCATCTGATAAGCTGAGGATAGACAGTATCTAGTCCCTGGAACAGGTTTTGGCAGCCCTGAGGAATAAGCCTGAGTGGGCAGTTGGACAAGGGGAGCAGACAATGACACAGCCAAAACAGGGAAATCCAGCAAGGATGTGGGGAAGCTAGATCTCCCCCAAGAACACCAGAGCAAGAGAAATGGACTCAGGGCCTGCAGGCAAGTGAGTACAGTACCTAGCCAGAAGTAGTAACCCCTTCCTGACATCACGGTGGCCCTTCCAGGCTCTGATTATATCAGGAATGTGGCTCAAGGGCCCAGCCCAGCTCACACCATGCTGTGGCCTTCCACAACTCCGTAACTCACATAACTACAAAAGACCTCACCTGACATGACTCCGTTATCCCACGTACGCTCTCACCCCACATGACAATCTTACCACATGTCACTCCCTCACCCTTCATGACGCCTTCGCCACACACTACATCCCCACCCCACATGATGCTCTCACCCCACACAACGCCTTCACCCCACACGACTCCCTAACCCCACACAATGCCCTCATTTCACACAGCTTCCTCACCCCACACAGTGCCCTCACCCCACAAGATGCCCTGTCCGCACACGACACCCTCATCCCACTGAAGTCCACACCTCCACGACATCCTCACCACCCACCTGGCTTCCAGTGACAACCTTACCTCCTGTGATGGTGCCCTCCTTTTTTCCAAAAAAAGTCCCTATTCTGCAGCCTCTGCTTAGCATTTTTCTAACTTCTTCCTCCTCTGTTGTTAGGCACTTCAAGGACCTGTTACTGCTATTTTGTCTTTTTCATTGCTTCACACCTAGTGCCACCTGACTTTGACCCTATGGGGCTAGGAAGGATCCAAGGTGGGTCACTGAATAGGCATGAGACACACTGTACACATGGAGGAGACATGGAAAAGCTGGAGGAAGCACAGTATAGAGTTCTGGGAGACGGGACTGTGGGTACACAGACACAAGGCCACTGCACATTACCTGTGACACTGAGCATGGCCGAGGTCCTCTCCTGCCCACACACACACGTGTACTCTCCAGCATCCTCCAAGGCCAGGTCACAGATGTGCAGCTCACACACAGTCCCCTCCTGCCTCAGGCTGTGTCTGGCCCCGTCTTTGATGGTCTCTGACCCCTTCCTCCATTTCACAGGGGCTGCCTTGCTCAGTTCACAACGCAGCATGGCCGTGGCCCCTTCCGTGGCCTCCTTACTTCTCAGACTTCCTATGAAATGGGCAGGCAGGGCTAGGGAGGATGACAGACAGAAGCAACATCAGATTACACAGAGAATGCTGAGAACAGCATGTGACAAGACTGAGTACAGGAAGTAGAGACGAACAGAAACGCCCAGGGCTGAGGGGCTGTCCCCTGGGTCCCACACAGCGCCCAGGAGGCTGTTAGAGATCCCACAGAGGGCAGAGAGGACACAGCCACAGAGGCAGGGAAATGTGAAATGAGACGATGTGGCTGGTACCAAGCCAACACCACAGCAGAACACACAGCCATATGGTGTTACCCGTGACACTCAGCGTGGCCGAGGTCCTCTCCTGCCCACACACACACATGTACTCTCCAGCATCCTCCAAGGCCAGGTCACAGATGTGCAGCTCACACAGGGTCCCCTCCTGCCTCAGGCTGTGTCTGTTCCCATCTCTGAGTGTCTCTGACCCCTTCCTCCATTCCACAGGGGCCACCTTGCTCAGCTCACAACGTAGCGTGGCCGTGGCGCTCTCCGTGGCCGTCCTGTTTCTCAGTTTTCCTACAAACTGGGCAGGCAGGGCTGCAGCCAGGTGAGAAAGATGGAGGCCGTGGCCTTCACTCTCTGTTTTTGGGGAAAGAGACCCCAGGGGGCCATGCAGGCAGGGTGTGCGGGGCTACTCACCCTTCACAGTGAGGGTAGCTGAGGTAACTTGATCTCTGACAGAGCAGGAAAACTGCCCACTGTCCTGTGGCTGCAGGTCCCGCACCACCAGCTCCAACACAGTACCCTCCTGGCGCAGACCATATTTGCTGCAGGGCCTCAGGACATCATCTCCACGGCGCCACTGCACAGGCGCAGCCACCGCTGACAACGTGCAGCGCAGTGTAGCAGCACCACCCTCCAGCACCTCCAGATCCTTCAGCACCTCCTGGAACTGCACAGGCCGGGCTGCAGACAGGGATAGGACTGTAGCCGGGGCACTGCCACAGCAGAGCAGTGGGTGGCAGCTGGGGTACAGGATGCAGGGCAGGGCTGCCTGGTCTCTCCTATGCCTGGGCCATGGCAGACTGCGAGACTCTGGAGAGCGTCAGGGGTGAAGCAACACAAGCCAAGTCTCAGAGAAAGCCTGGCTTGGTCAAAGAACCGAAGAACAGATGGGGTTCTGTGAGAAGGGATTACAGAGATACACTGAGGGACAGCCATGCAAAGCAGATCACCCTGAGAAGGGCCACCCCCACAGTGCATGGACCTTGAGCCAATGGCCTCCAGGGCTACGAGAGGAATCTCTATCCAGTGAGGAAGACAGAGACAATGTCAGGAAGGAGCACAGAGACTGTTGGTCACCCACAGGGCCACGAGATGAAGCAGGGGTCAGGGAGACTCGGGTCCAACGGACAGGTGAATGCAGGCATCATGTGCCTTCTGAGGCAACCCGTCCTTCAGCCCATGCCAACCTGGAGCCCGAGGCTCACCATGGATCCTGACGATGGAGCTGCTGGAGGCACCCCCTGCCTCACACTTGTAGCGCCCGCCATCCTGCAGGGTAGTGTCCACAATGGTCAGCTGGGCCCGGCGGCCTTCATAGTTCAGCTGGCACCTTGCCGATGGCCGCAAGGTCTTCCCATCCTTGGTCCAGCGCACAGGGCTAACCGGTGTCGTGGTCTCACAGCACAGAGTCAGGTCCTCACCCTCTGTGACTGTAGCATCTATGAGCTCCCGGGAGAAGATGCTTGGCTTCTCTGAGAGACCAAGGGAGAAGCTGCTCACGAGGCACAGGCCCACATCTACCCACTGTCACCCTGCCAGGCAAACAGCTGACCCACACCACCTGACATAACCTCTGTACAACCACAAAGGAGGTCAAAGAATTTGGTATAGCCTTCAGAGTGGACCTTTTTGAGACTCAAGGCCCCAGCCATAGGTAATCCATGTTGTCTTCTTCCCCAACCCTGACCCCACTCAGCCAGACCATGCAGCTCCTTAAGCTGCCAGTACCACACACTCCACAAGATCCCCTGGAACGCACCAGTGACCCGTAGGGCAGCTGAGGTCCGCTGGTCTCCTGCCTCAAAGTAGACAGTGCCCGAGTCCTTGAGTGCCAGCTGCCGCAGGGTGAGCACATGGTAGCCCCCAGGCTGGACCTCTATCTCATTGAGCTCATTGGCATGCAGGGGCGTCTTGTCCAGGAACCAGCGCACAGGCTCGTAGTCAGCAGGGGAGATACGACAAGAGAAGGTAGCCGAGGAGCCCTCCTGCACTTCAGCGTCCTCCAGGTCTTCGGTGATGAGCACCTTCTGGCCTGCGAGGTGGATGGGACATCTCAGGGCCTAGGGCTGCCTCCAGCTCAGGAGGGCTCAGCCTGAAGCAAGAGACGCTGTGGGAATCTGGGAGTCAGGGAGCATGGGAGGGAAGCTTTGTCCCTCTCCCTGTCCCTCCATTTCTATCCTCCTGTGTCTCTACACCTCTCAGTCTCTCTCTTCATCTTTCTCTTAAACACTTAAAAAAAAAAAAAAAAGAGGGCCCAACTTGATAGCCTAAGGGTTAAATTCTCGCCTTGTATCCACTGGTATGCCATAAGGGCACAAGTTTGTATCCCAACTGTTCCAATTCCCATCCAGCTCTCTGCTTGTGGCCTGGGAAAACAGTCAAGGATAACCCAAAGCCTTGGGGTCCTAAATCCACATTGGAGACTTGAAAGAGGCTCCAGGCTCCTGGCTCTTTCCTTCAGATCAGCTCAGCTCTGGCCATTGCAGCCACTCGGGGAGTGAAGCAGCAGATGGAAGATCTTTCTCTCTGCCTCCCCTTCTCTCTGTATATCTGCCTTTCCAATAAAAAAAAATAATAAGTCTGCAAAAATAATAAAATAATAAATAATAAGTAAAAGAGAAAGAAAGAGAGGAAGGAAACTGGAAAGAAAAGAAAAAGCATTGTGGTATAACAGGTAAAGCTGCTACCTGTAACAGCATTCTACATGGGCACCAGTTCAAGGCCCAGTGACTCCACTTCTCTTCCAGCTCCCTGTTAATGGCCTGGGAAAGCAGCAGAGGATGGACCAAGGCTTTGGGCCCCTGCATTCATGTGGGAGACCTGGAAGGAGCTCCTAGCTTAGGCCTAGCCCAGCCCCAACCACTGTGGCCACTAGGGAATTAGCCAGTGAATGGAATGTGAATCTCTCTCTCCCCTGACCCCAGTACTTAGGTCTTTTGGATAAATAAAATGATTTTTTAAAATAACAATAAAAGAGTAAGTGAATCAAAGCTAATTGTCTAAACATATTTGAGTCAAATTCTGAGCCCCACACTCCTTGCATCTATGGGACCTTCTGCGAAGCTCACCGTGCTAGTCCACAGCCTGCCAACCATCTGGGCTCCTGCCCTCTTGTTGAGCTGTGCTTCCCACCATGGGCCGTCCACGTGGTGACACTGACCCATGTGCTAATAGGAGGAACCAGCATGGAAAGCGGCCCATGACCACTCTCTGTGATGCAGACAATACAGCCACTTCTGCCGCCCTTGACAGGACGTTCCTGCCATCCTTGCTGTCCTCTCCTCTGATCCACCTCTCTGGGAGACACTGTCTTTGTGCACATAGGACCAAGCTCCTGTGGTATCTCACAAAGGGAGGAGCTGGGAAGCTCCCCACATGCAGGAAGAGGCAGGTGCCGAGGATCAAGGCTGTGCCCAGGTCACGCCTCAGGAATGGTCTCAAACTACAAAGTCAAGAGAGGTAACCACACAGGAACCTACACAAGTACCTAGAGTATGAGAAATGTGAACCCCACAAACAAGCTAAGGCAGAATCCACAAGGGATTGCCATCAGATCCAATGTGTCCACACAGCCGGGGTCCCAGCCAGCAGCCAGCACCCTCAGGTTGTAGACATCTAAGGACTTTGGTCTGCAAACTCACATCCCGCTGCATGTGGCTCTCCACCTGACTTTCCCTAATCAGGAAAAGTCGAAGTGAGGCTTGCCTGTCTACACAGGGCCAGGCAGTGCTCACAACTACCACAGGAAGGGAACTGCACGCATGCTCCTCCTGATACCCAAAACAGTACACATGTGTGGGAAGCTGCCATCTGTGTCACTGGGGGTAGTGACCAGAATGTAACCCTTCCAGGAGTTTGCAACCCTGGCTATGGAGTCCATGGAGGCCCCGAATACACAACAGGCCTTCAACATGTGCTTGGGAAATGTATGCAACAGAAAACCCTTATATGGGCTTGTTTCACTTTTTTGCATAAAATTCATTTCCCCATGATTTCCCTAAAGTTCCTTCATTCTGTTCCTGTTGGTCTCTGCCAAGGTGGGAAGTGGGGGCAGCTGGCCACCAGCCCACAGAAGGCTCCAGGCTGCAGCTCTAAGAGTGGCCTAGCAAGGCCCTCAGACAGTAAGGGCATGACACCATGATTGCCCCAATGTGAGTTCGCCTTCAGAGCACCAGAGGGCCCCTGACCACCAGCAATCCTGGGTCAGGAAAACCCCACATGTATGCAGACAGAGGCCTAACACACACTGCACAGTGCAGAAACACAGGCCTCCTCTCAGCAGGGTCACCCACTGGACAGCCCATGGCATCCCGTTGAGTAACCACTTAACCTCTTCATCCTCATGCAACAACTCCAGCGAGAAGCAGGCCCAGTTCTCCTCTGTGGCCACTGTATCCTGCAGTGCACACACTGCACAGTGCAGAAACACACACCTCCACTCAGCAGAGTCACCTATTGGTTTCCAGACAGTATCATGGATAGCCCCAGAGGACGCTGGAAGTTGGGCTCCTTCCATGGAGCCTGCCCCTGCACCTCACCTTGTACCATGAGCCGTGCCTGCGTCCGGGCCTGACCAATGTCACAGATGTAGGTGTCGCTGTCAGCCTTTTCCAGGGAGTTGATGGTGAGGGTCAGAGTGAGGCCCTCCTGGCTGGGTGTGTGCTTGCCCGAGGCCCGCAGCTCCATCAGGCCCTTGCGCCAGGTCACCCGGGTGGCTGGCCTCTCTGTCTTACACGTGAACATAGCTGTGCCCTGCTCCTCTGCTTGCAGGTCAGCAAGCTCCTCCGTGAATCTGTTTCCCTTCTCTGGGGCAACAAGACAGATGGGAAGTTCACAGGATATTGGCTTCCCCACCGCAGGCCACCCGGGCACCAGCCCTGCCAGCACTGACCTTCCACACGAAGGCTAGCCGACGTCCGAGAAGCCTCAGCCTCACACGTGTAGGTGCCAGAGTCCTGAGCTGAGGCCCCCCGGATGACCAGCATGGCCCTGGCACCCTCACGGAGTACATTGTACTTCTGGCTCTGGCGGACAGCTTTCCCGTCCTTCAGCCAGCGCACCGAAGCACCTGCACGTGACAGCTCACAGCTCAGCACCACGTCCTCCCCTGGCACAGCATGGTGGTCCTCTAAGGCCTTCATGAAGTCCACGGGCCGCTCTGTGGGGGGCAAACAGGACTGCCTGTGGACACAGCCCAGCCAGAACAAAGGCAGAGAGAGGCCCTAGGCAGTGTTAGGTCTTGGGAAATTGAGACCACAGGATCCCCTAACCCTTTGGTCCTGGGACCACCAGACCACAGAGCACCAGATGCCTACTGCCAGCATGCTGGTCAGTGAGATGGCAACAGTGACATCCAGCAGAGTGTGTGGCCAGCCCAGCTGTGTGGGTCAGAATACTAGAATACAGGTAGCAGCTGGACAGAATCCTGGGCCAAAGGACTGCAGAGGATACTCCCTTGGTGCCTGGCTATGGCTGGGGAGCCCAGAGTCCTAAGCTTGGCACTCCCAGACCATAGCAGCAAGTCACAGAGGCACCTGTGCCCACCTCTGACGATGAGCGAGGCCTTAGAGGTGAGGCCCCGTACAGAGAAAACCACCTCTCCGGCGTCACTGGGGGTGGCCTCCTTGACCACTAGGGTATATTTGCGGCCCTGGCAGGCAGCCTGGAAGCGGCCAGAGCTGCCCACTGTCTTCCCGCCGATTGTCCACTTGGCTCGCTCCTTGGGACTCTCGTGGGACAGAATGCACTCGAAGCTGCAACTCTCCCCAGCCAGCACCTCTGTCGTCTTCAGCCTTTTGGTGATGCCCACGAGGAGGTCTGAGGGCCACAGGGAATACCTGGGTCACATTTGCTGCACCCCGCAGCACCCACAGTACACATGCTGCCTGGGCCAAGGCCACAGAGGGCCAGGGAAGGCAAGACCACCCACAGCACTCAAGCCCCCATCCCGACGGCAGCACTGCACCGGCAGAGGCCCCACTGGCCTAGAGCTGGCCACCACCTGGTATCCAGATGGCCTCAGCTGCAAACTTCACACAGAGTGGCTGAAGCCTCAAGGACCACCCACCATGGTCACTGCCTCAGAAACTTCAGGATGGGTATCACAGACAGCAACCTGAATGAAAGGGGTCCAGCCCCCACATTCCACACCACCTTTCCCTTCCTGTGCTCCTCCTTCCTGTCCACAGCTACGGGCCAGCAGGCCCACCCACACCATCCCCCAAACAGAAGGTCCCGGGGACCAAGAGCAGGGCAGTGCACATAGGAGGTTAAACAACTACCTTTAAGTAAGGCTGCGAGGGGTGTGCCTGGTTGAGAATAGGCTGGGTCAGGGAGACAGCTATACCCTGACAGCTCAAGAAACCCCTGGCCCCTTCTCCTCTGAGGCCAGGTGGAGCGCGTGTGCACACACACACACACACACACACACCCAGTTTCTTTCCTGATATGTCCAGCCCAAGGTGACCAGGAGAACCAGTGGCATGGGCCAAAGTGGTCCCAGTCTTGCTCCTGCCCACACCCAGGCCCCAAACCCTCCCAGCTCTGCCAAGCAGCCCCCATTCTCAGAGATAGGTATGGGCTGCCCAGGATAGAAGAAGATGGCCACACCCCTGCACCCACCATGTACACTGACATGGGCCCGGGTCTCCTCAGTGCCCACACGGCAGGCATACACGCCAGCATCCTCGCAGCTCAGGTCATGCAACACCAGCCCCCTTGTGCCAGCCGTCTGCAGGAAGTCACGCTTGTCACTGGGGCCTAGCTCCACGCCATCTTTGCTCCACACAACGCAGGCCTCAGGGCTGGACACCTCGCATTGCAGGGTCAACGTGCCGTGCTCTTCTGCCGATACATCGTCCAACGCACGCAGGAACACCACTGGCTTTGCTGTGGGCAGAGCCAGGCTGGTGAGGCACTGTGCCTCTGCTGGCCTTAAGGGAACCCCGCAGGCCCCAGGATGGCTCACCTCTGACCTCCAGGCGAGCGAAGGCTGACACCCTGGGGGAGAAGGCACACACAGTGCCTGCATTGGCCTGACGCACGCTCTTCAACACCAACATGTGTCGGCGGCCCTCATGGCTGACCTCATGGAAACTATCGCTGCACAGAGTCACCCCGTTGAGTGACCACTCAACCTCCTCATCCTCGTGCGACAACTCCAGCAAGAAGCAGGCCCGGCCCTCCTCTGTGGCCACTGTGTCCTGCAGCGGCTGTGTCACCGTCACCTCTCGTGCTGCATTGGGCACATGGAGACCTCAGCACTGCAACCCACCCCTGGTCCCTTGAGGCCCCCACTGCCTTTTCCCTACCTTCTACAGTGACTACAGCACTGCTCTGGGCACTGCCCGCCTGGCATCGGTATACACCGGCATCAGCAGGCGTGAGCCGCAGGACACGCAGCTCAGCCATCTGGCCCTCTAGCCTCATCTTGAACTTGTCAGATGGAGTGAGGGGTGCGTCCTCCTTGTACCACTGCACGGCCTTGGGGGCCGGCCTGAAGTCACATGACAGAACCACAGACTGCAGCTCCCGTCCCACCTTGGGCTCCAGTGGCCGCACAAGCACTACTGGGATGTCTGTGGAGGGGACACACAGGGTTACAGGCCACAGGAAGCCCCATGCAAAAGCCAGAAGCCCCGCCTCCCAAGGAAGCAACTCAGTGGCCCCCAGCACGCACCCAAGACCACAAGGTGTGCAGAGCAGCGGGCCTTGCCAAGAGTGAAGTGCACAGGCCCAGTCATGGTGGAGCAGGTGCGATGCAGAGTCAGCCGGTGCACGGTGCCTTCCTGCTCCAGGCCCACGTTTGGGCCTGCCTGCAGCACTGTCTGGCCCAAAAGCCACTTGGGTGGCCGCACCGAAGGGATGGAGATCTCACACTCAAACCAGGCGGGGGCCGGTTCCATCACAGTCACGTCCTGCAGGCCCCGCACGATGCTAATGGACTGCTCTGTGGATGAGGGACAGGTCACAGGAACCTCCTATAGGCCCAAGGCTCCCCCCACAGTCTCCCTGTTGTGGTCCCCATAATTTCCCACTCCCCCACTTCTCCCAGGCTGCCCCAGGGATCCCCTCCCGGTCCCCAGGCGCACACCTTCCACAAAGAACTGGGCACTGGTCTGCACGTCACCAGCATCACAAGTGTAGGTGTCTTCGTCCTCTGGCTGCACATCCCTGATGACCAGCTTGCGGTACACACCATCACTGACCATGTCATACTTGGCGCCTGGCTGCAGTTCCTCATGCCCCTTAAACCACCGCACCTGCGCACTGGCCCGAGACAGCTGGCACTCAAGCACACCACGGTGCCGCTCCATAGCAATCTTGTCCCGCAGCGGGCGCACCAGAGTCACTGGCAGTTCTAAGGGCAGTGGGGGGGTGGGCATCAGGACCCATGCTCTGCTCCTGTTGGGTCCAGCCCCATGTGCCCAGCCCATTGGCCAACAGGATATCAGGCCACGAGTCCTCCAGGGGCTGTCTTCAGCAGGGACCAGCAAGGAGGGCAGGTATAGTGGCCTCCCCTGCACGTACCACTGGCCAGCTGTTCCTCTCCTGAACAGCCTTCTCCACACCCACACACCACCACCCACATCTGCCCACAGACCCCAGTTTCAGAGTCACCAGCCCCTAGGACCAAGCATAGCAGAGCCCCACCTACCCAGACCCACACCTGTTCTCCAGGGGAAGACAGCCACCACCACCCTCCGAGGACCAGCACTAGGCACCTCACACCTCCCTTCCACCAAGAGGAGACAGGTACACCCACGAAAACACAGCCATCCCTCCCTGCAGCTGGAAGCCCCAACTCAAAACCTTTCACTCGGAGCTGGGCACGAGACTCTGCACTTTCGGCTACAAATCTGATCTGTCCTACATCTTCTGCCACAACCTTCCGAAAGATGAGGGTATGGGTCCTCCCTGGGGAGAAAAAAGATGAGAGTGAGTCCTCCCTGGAACAGGTTTTTAAGAGTGTGTCTTCCTGGGTCAGAGGAAGCTCTGGCTAGGAGCCCACAACCCTTAAGGCGCGCCTACCACTCCCTGCTCCCACCTTCCTGCCGGATGCGCAGGTTCTCGCTGGGCCGCAGCTTAGTGCCTTCCCGGAACCACTGGCCGGACACCTCGTCATGGGAAACCTCACAGGAGAAGGTGGCACCCTCCTTCTCGGTCACCTCTACATCCTCTAGAGGCCGCACGATCTGAATGTCACGGCCTAGACAAGAAGAGGGGCCATGCCAGGCCTGGACATGGGGACTGCCTAGGCTGCAGGCAGGGGTGTCCAGTGCAGCATGAGGGCACATGGGGATGAGAATCTGTCCTGCCCACCTGCCTGGCTCTCACCTTGCACCTTCAGAGAGGCGGAGGTCTGGGCATCCCCGGCATCACACACGTACACACCCTGGTCCCCACGCTCACAGGAGTACACAGTGAGGCTCCTGCAGGTACCTTGGGCCACAATGCCCACAGCCTTTCCTGCTCGCAACTCCACGCCATCCTGCGGACCAAGAGGCCTGGTCAGGTCCATGTGAGGCCAGCCTGGTCAGCGGCCAGCTCAAAGGGATCCCTGAAGTGAGAGGTACCTTCAGCCAGTGCACAGTGACATTGGGTCGTGACAACTCGCATTCCAGTGTGACCTTGTCCTTCTCAGCAGCCACAACATCCTGCAGCGGGCGGCTGAAGTGCACAGGCAGCTCTGGGGGGACAGGAAGGACATGAATGGAAGAGGCAGGGCTTGGGGTACCCTTCTGGAAGGGATGGGGGTAGGAAGGGGCACAAGAGATGAGGGAGAGGCAGGGCCAACTCTGGGAAGGAACCCAAGAATTCACCATCCCTGATGCAGGGCCCAGTCAGGACAGGCAGGAACCCCGAGAGGGCAACCTCCACCTTGACACCCACCAGTGACAACGAGCCGAGCCGAGGTGTGCACACCCTCAGCCCTGAAGGCCACCAGGCCCCCATCCTGTGGCCGCAGCTCCAACAGTGTCAGGGTGTGGGTGGGGCCATGCACCACGATCTGGCAGGTGGGTCCTGGCTGCAGCCGCAGGCCGTCCCGTGTCCAGCTGCCCTCCACATCAGCGTGGGACAACTCCACCTGGAAGGTGACTGAGCCCTGCTCCAGAACCTCCACTGCCTGCAAGCCACAGACCAGCCGCACCTGGCGCACTGCAGATGGCAAGGGTTATAGTGAATCTGGCACAGCCCTGCCCTTCAGGGCTCTCACCAGTCCCCAGCCCCAAGCCCTGTCAACTCACTCTCCACGCTGAGTTTGGCCTGGGTCTTGTCGTCCTGCGTCTCACAGCCATAGAAGCCACGGTCCTCATAGCTCACACAGTGCAGCCGCAGGCGGTGGTGCACACCCTCGGCTAGGATCTCCACATTCTCGCCAGGCACCAGGACCACTGCGTTCCGAGTCCACTTCACTTGCGGCCATGGCCGTGACAGCTCCACCTCCAGCGTCACTGGAGTCCGCTCCTCTACTGTCTGTGCTGCCAGCTTCTTTCTGAACAGTACTGGAGCCTCTGAGGCCAGAGAGAGGTGGTTACCCTGGCTCACAACCTGCTCACTCTACTAGCCCCTCAGATGCTCACACCCCAGCCCACCAGGGTCTCCAGCAAGGGGCTCCAGGAGCCCTGCTTCTATTTGCCTCCTCCAGAAACTCCCCCTGGGTTACAGTTCACCACAGCCACCTGCTGTCCACAGGTGGCCTCCACAGAGAGCACCAGGAACCACGCAGGCTCACCTCGGACTCTCAGACTGGCAGCGGTAGAGATGCCCTCTGCCTCTGCGGAGATCTGGCCCGCATCCCCAAGGGTCAGGCCAGAGATGGTCAGGCTGTGCACTGCGCCACTCCGCGAGATGACCACCTTCTCGCCTGGCTGCAGTGCGGTGCCGTTGTGGTACCAGGTGACGGCTGCATCCTCTGGGGACACCACACACTGGAAGGTGGCCTCACTGCCCTCCTCAGCGACTGCTGCGCTCAGCTGGGATGTAAACTTGACCACACGTGGCACTGCAGAAGATGAGTGGGCTCGGAACGAGCAGGGGCGAGCCAAGACCCCTGTCCCCAGACCTCCTCCCACTACCGCCCCATGAACACGCACGTACCGCAAACTGACAAGCTCGCTCTAGTGCGGTCGTCACGGGTCTCACACACATACTCGCCCGCGTCCTCAGGGCGCAGGCCCGACACGGTGAGGGTGCGCAGGAGCCCCACAGCCTCCATCTGGAAGCGCCTACCAGGCCGCAGCTGCATATCCCCGCAACGCCATACTACCTGGGCCTGCGGGACACTCAGCTCACAGGCCAGTGTCACAGAGCCGCCCAGCTCACCGCTCATGGGCACCAGTGGTCGGAGGAACGTGGCAGCCACCTCTGCCGGCGAAGCGAGTGTTAGGCACACCACACACGTCAGGGCCCTCCTCCCCTGCGCACCCTGCCCCAGTCCCACTCATTCACCTTGCACCTGCACGACAAAGTCCTGGCCTGTGGCACCAACGCGACAGCTGTAGACCGCACTATCCAGCACCTGGGCACCTCGCACAGTCAGGGAGTGGGTGTCCCCTAGGCTGGCCATAGTGTGCCGCTGGCTGCGGCGAATCTCCACGCCATCCTTGAGCCAGGCCACCATGGCCGCAGATGGAGTGGCCAGCGTGGCTGTCAGGATGATGTCCTCGTGCTCTCTGACCACAACAGGTTCCCTGTGACCCCGGCTCCCAGGAGCTCCAGGAACTTCAGACTCTGTATCTGCAGGAGGCTCTAAGGGAGGTAATAGCAAGCAGTTGAGGAGGGTGACTCAAGAACACGCAAGCCCACGTCTACGAGCATCACCCAGTGCATAGAGGACACTACCATGAACCTGAACAGGAGGGACACACAAGGAAGCAGGAGCCAGAGGCCACATGGGAAAAGAACAAACCCAGAATCTCTAATTCACACAGTGGCAGTAAACCGACAAAAGAACAGAAATGGTATCAGGACAAGCAACAGACTGCCAGGGATCCACGCACAAGTATATGTAAATGATTGTCTGTGTCCACACAGGGAGTGTGAGTGTGTCCATCAGAGTGTGTTCCTGCAAATTCACAGCAAACAGCAGCACAGGAGGGGAGGGCAGGAGCCTGCGAAATTGGTTGCAGGAAACTTGTGAGCAAGAGAAATCCACAGTGCAGAACAAACAACACAGGGAATGTGACCAGCCCAAGCCCAAGCACAGATCTCCAAAGAGCCCACAAAGGCCACATTTCCCTCTACCTCAGATAGGGAAACATGTGCCAAGATAAAAACTCGTACAACACCAGCAAACAGCCGGTATGAAGGAAAAACACACAAATATCAAAACAAGTGGAAAGGAAATCTGGGGTGAAGGAATCACAGGGAGGAAAACACAATGCTAACATAAAGGAAACAATGAAATTTGAAAAGAAGGACATGAATTAGTGATTATAACATAGAAGCAATGGAAACCGAAGGTAAAACCATGATTTGTGATTAAATAAGTATAATTATACAAAAGGGAGCTCAGCTAGACAATATAAAGCAAACTTAGATGAGAATAACAATACACATTCACATGAACCATTACAATTAAATACCTGCCACGTCCAGGCGGAAGGAGACCCTCTGGCCCCCGGCCTCGCAGCTGTACTCCCCGGCGTCCGCCGTGCCCGCCTGCTGCACCACCAGTCGCCGCGTGCAGCCCGCGGCCTCCACGCGCACCCTAGAGCTCGAGCTCAGCTTCTTCCCATCCTTGCACCACGCCACCTGCGTCTGCGCCTGGGCCACCTCGCAGCTCAGTGTGGCGCTGGCCCCCGCCTCGGTCTTCACCTCGCTGTGCGCCGCCTGCTCCTTGGCAAACACCACCTTGGGCTCTGCAATGGGCGAGCAACCCGTGGTCAGGGGCCGGGCCAGACCCAGCCCCGCACTCTCCACGCCTGCTGCTGTCTCAAAAGCCCAGCCAGGGCCAGTGCCCCTCAAAGGAGAGAAACACACAGGACACAACCCTCCAGAAGACCCCAGGGAGGGGAGGCAGGGTGGTCGGGGCAAGCGTCCACAGGCAAATAACCACATGAGCTTCAACCTGCCACATGGACCCGACTGAGCACTGAGCACGCTCTGTGCAGAGCAGGCAACTCCAGCACCCGTGTCCTGAGTGCTTCAGGCACCACACAGAGCACGGCGAGCCAGGACAACCAAGCCCATCACTGCCCTGAGAGCCAAACGTCAGTGTGGGCCAACCAGGAGAGAGCTGGTGCCCAGCACGATGGCTCAACTGGCTCATGCTCCCCCTACAAGCACCACCGTCCCATATGGGAGCCGGCTCGCATCCTGGCTACTCCTCTTCCCATCCAGCTCCCTGCTTCTGGCCTGGGACACCAGTGGAGGATGGCCCAAGTCCTCGGGACACCCCACACCCGCGGGACAGACCCGCAAGAACCCTTGGGCCTTGGCTTCGGACAGGCTCAGCTCCAGCCATTGCGGCCATTTGGGGAGTGAACCAGAGGATGGAAAGCTTCTCTCTCTCTCTCTCTCTCTCTCTCTCTCTCTCTGCCTCTGCTCCTCTCTGTGGGTCTGCCTTTCGACAAAGACACCTGTTAAAGAAAGACAGGCAGACACCGAGAACAAACGAGAGAGAGAGCGAGAGGCCGAGCGAGCTGGGGGTCAGTAGGGCCAGTCAGGAGAGGGCAGCGTGTCAATGTGAGCCCGTCAGCAGAGGCCGACGTGGCAGGACACGGCCGAATGGCAGCGTGTGCCCATCAGGACAGAGCTCAGGACCTAACCGCGCCAACGACACAGGTCAGGCTGTGGCCAATCGGAAGAGAGCCAGTGTGGACCACTAAGGACAGCACAGAGCCTCAGGGCTTGGCCAATCGGGAGAGAACCCAGTGCCAGGGAGGAGCCGATGCGGACATAGGCGGGTGCCAAGCCAGGTGTCAGGTGGAGTGGTGGCCAAGGCGTATGGGTCCTCCCACTCACAGTTCTCATGACAAGATAGGCCAGGTGGAAAGGAGGGGCTGAGCAGGAAGGACGGCTGCACGGGCTGCTCACCCAGGCAGCCGGCACAGGCGGCCTGAGGCACGGGGCACCAGTGGGCACAGATGGACAGACTGCAGAGACACCGCCCCCTGCTGGGCAGGCCTGTCCCTGCAGCCCAGCACCCAGACAGGAGCATCAGGTGAGGAGAGCCCAAGCCCACTGGGGCAGGGCACACGGGAAGCTCAGCTCAGCCCAGCCCTGGGCCGGCCCTGGTCTGCAGGCACGACAACCCGGCCCGGGAGGCACCGGGCACAGCCAGGGCCCTGCAGTCGGGGGCCCCAGAGGGAGACGAAGCCATGGCCTCGGCACCTCCTGCTGTGCGTGTGTCACCTTGCACCCCAGCGGTCCCTGCCCACAACCCGCACCATGCACCCACCTGCCACGTCCAGGCGGAAGGAGACCCTCTGGCCCCCGGCCTCGCAGCTGTACTCCCCGGCGTCCGCCGTGCCCGCCTGCTGCACCACCAGTCGCCGCGTGCAGCCCGCGGCCTCCACGCGCACCCTAGAGCTCGAGCTCAGCTTCTTCCCATCCTTGCACCACGCCACCTGCGTCTGCGCCTGGGCCACCTCGCAGCTCAGTGTGGCGCTGGCCCCCGCCTCGGTCTTCACCTCGCTGTGCGCCGCCTGCTCCTTGGCAAACACCACCTTGGGCTCTGCAATGGGCGAGCAACCCGTGGTCAGGGGCCGGGCCAGACCCAGCCCCGCACTCTCCACGCCTGCTGCTGTCTCAAAAGCCCAGCCAGGGCCAGTGCCCCTCAAAGGAGAGAAACACACAGGACACAACCCTCCAGAAGACCCCAGGGAGGGGAGGCAGGGTGGTCGGGGCAAGCGTCCACAGGCAAATAACCACATGAGCTTCAACCTGCCACATGGACCCGACTGAGCACTGAGCACGCTCTGTGCAGAGCAGGCAACTCCAGCACCCGTGTCCTGAGTGCTTCAGGCACCACACAGAGCACGGCGAGCCAGGACAACCAAGCCCATCACTGCCCTGAGAGCCAAACGTCAGTGTGGGCCAACCAGGAGAGAGCTGGTGCCCAGCACGATGGCTCAACTGGCTCATGCTCCCCCTACAAGCACCACCGTCCCATATGGGAGCCGGCTCGCATCCTGGCTACTCCTCTTCCCATCCAGCTCCCTGCTTCTGGCCTGGGACACCAGTGGAGGATGGCCCAAGTCCTCGGGACACCCCACACCCGCGGGACAGACCCGCAAGAACCCTTGGGCCTTGGCTTCGGACAGGCTCAGCTCCAGCCATTGCGGCCATTTGGGGAGTGAACCAGAGGATGGAAAGCTTCTCTCTCTCTCTCTCTCTCTCTCTCTCTCTCTCTCTCTCTCTGCCTCTGCTCCTCTCTGTGGGTCTGCCTTTCGACAAAGACACCTGTTAAAGAAAGACAGGCAGACACCGAGAACAAACGAGAGAGAGAGCGAGAGGCCGAGCGAGCTGGGGGTCAGTAGGGCCAGTCAGGAGAGGGCAGCGTGTCAATGTGAGCCCGTCAGCAGAGGCCGACGTGGCAGGACACGGCCGAATGGCAGCGTGTGCCCATCAGGACAGAGCTCAGGACCTAACCGCGCCAACGACACAGGTCAGGCTGTGGCCAATCGGAAGAGAGCCAGTGTGGACCACTAAGGACAGCACAGAGCCTCAGGGCTTGGCCAATCGGGAGAGAACCCAGTGCCAGGGAGGAGCCGATGCGGACATAGGCGGGTGCCAAGCCAGGTGTCAGGTGGAGTGGTGGCCAAGGCGTATGGGTCCTCCCACTCACAGTTCTCATGACAAGATAGGCCAGGTGGAAAGGAGGGGCTGAGCAGGAAGGACGGCTGCACGGGCTGCTCACCCAGGCAGCCGGCACAGGCGGCCTGAGGCACGGGGCACCAGTGGGCACAGATGGACAGACTGCAGAGACACCGCCCCCTGCTGGGCAGGCCTGTCCCTGCAGCCCAGCACCCAGACAGGAGCATCAGGTGAGGAGAGCCCAAGCCCACTGGGGCAGGGCACACGGGAAGCTCAGCTCAGCCCAGCCCTGGGCCGGCCCTGGTCTGCAGGCACGACAACCCGGCCCGGGAGGCACCGGGCACAGCCAGGGCCCTGCAGTCGGGGGCCCCAGAGGGAGACGAAGCCATGGCCTCGGCACCTCCTGCTGTGCGTGTGTCACCTTGCACCCCAGCGGTCCCTGCCCACAACCCGCACCATGCACCCACCTGCCACGTCCAGGCGGAAGGAGACCCTCTGGCCCCCGGCCTCGCAGCTGTACTCCCCGGCGTCCGCCGTGCCCGCCTGCTGCACCACCAGTCGCCGCGTGCAGCCCGCGGCCTCCACGCGCACCCTAGAGCTCGAGCTCAGCTTCTTCCCATCCTTGCACCACGCCACCTGCGTCTGCGCCTGGGCCACCTCGCAGCTCAGTGTGGCGCTGGCCCCCGCCTCGGTCTTCACCTCGCTGTGCGCCGCCTGCTCCTTGGCAAACACCACCTTGGGCTCTGCAATGGGCGAGCAACCCGTGGTCAGGGGCCGGGCCAGACCCAGCCCCGCACTCTCCACGCCTGCTGCTGTCTCAAAAGCCCAGCCAGGGCCAGTGCCCCTCAAAGGAGAGAAACACACAGGACACAACCCTCCAGAAGACCCCAGGGAGGGGAGGCAGGGTGGTCGGGGCAAGCGTCCACAGGCAAATAACCACATGAGCTTCAACCTGCCACATGGACCCGACTGAGCACTGAGCACGCTCTGTGCAGAGCAGGCAACTCCAGCACCCGTGTCCTGAGTGCTTCAGGCACCACACAGAGCACGGCGAGCCAGGACAACCAAGCCCATCACTGCCCTGAGAGCCAAACGTCAGTGTGGGCCAACCAGGAGAGAGCTGGTGCCCAGCACGATGGCTCAACTGGCTCATGCTCCCCCTACAAGCACCACCGTCCCATATGGGAGCCGGCTCGCATCCTGGCTACTCCTCTTCCCATCCAGCTCCCTGCTTCTGGCCTGGGACACCAGTGGAGGATGGCCCAAGTCCTCGGGACACCCCACACCCGCGGGACAGACCCGCAAGAACCCTTGGGCCTTGGCTTCGGACAGGCTCAGCTCCAGCCATTGCGGCCATTTGGGGAGTGAACCAGAGGATGGAAAGCTTCTCTCTCTCTCTCTCTCTCTCTCTCTCTCTCTCTCTCTCTGCCTCTGCTCCTCTCTGTGGGTCTGCCTTTCGACAAAGACACCTGTTAAAGAAAGACAGGCAGACACCGAGAACAAACGAGAGAGAGAGCGAGAGGCCGAGCGAGCTGGGGGTCAGTAGGGCCAGTCAGGAGAGGGCAGCGTGTCAATGTGAGCCCGTCAGCAGAGGCCGACGTGGCAGGACACGGCCGAATGGCAGCGTGTGCCCATCAGGACAGAGCTCAGGACCTAACCGCGCCAACGACACAGGTCAGGCTGTGGCCAATCGGAAGAGAGCCAGTGTGGACCACTAAGGACAGCACAGAGCCTCAGGGCTTGGCCAATCGGGAGAGAACCCAGTGCCAGGGAGGAGCCGATGCGGACATAGGCGGGTGCCAAGCCAGGTGTCAGGTGGAGTGGTGGCCAAGGCGTATGGGTCCTCCCACTCACAGTTCTCATGACAAGATAGGCCAGGTGGAAAGGAGGGGCTGAGCAGGAAGGACGGCTGCACGGGCTGCTCACCCAGGCAGCCGGCACAGGCGGCCTGAGGCACGGGGCACCAGTGGGCACAGATGGACAGACTGCAGAGACACCGCCCCCTGCTGGGCAGGCCTGTCCCTGCAGCCCAGCACCCAGACAGGAGCATCAGGTGAGGAGAGCCCAAGCCCACTGGGGCAGGGCACACGGGAAGCTCAGCTCAGCCCAGCCCTGGGCCGGCCCTGGTCTGCAGGCACGACAACCCGGCCCGGGAGGCACCGGGCACAGCCAGGGCCCTGCAGTCGGGGGCCCCAGAGGGAGACGAAGCCATGGCCTCGGCACCTCCTGCTGTGCGTGTGTCACCTTGCACCCCAGCGGTCCCTGCCCACAACCCGCACCATGCACCCACCTGCCACGTCCAGGCGGAAGGAGACCCTCTGGCCCCCGGCCTCGCAGCTGTACTCCCCGGCGTCCGCCGTGCCCGCCTGCTGCACCACCAGTCGCCGCGTGCAGCCCGCGGCCTCCACGCGCACCCTAGAGCTCGAGCTCAGCTTCTTCCCATCCTTGCACCACGCCACCTGCGTCTGCGCCTGGGCCACCTCGCAGCTCAGTGTGGCGCTGGCCCCCGCCTCGGTCTTCACCTCGCTGTGCGCCGCCTGCTCCTTGGCAAACACCACCTTGGGCTCTGCAATGGGCGAGCAACCCGTGGTCAGGGGCCGGGCCAGACCCAGCCCCGCACTCTCCACGCCTGCTGCTGTCTCAAAAGCCCAGCCAGGGCCAGTGCCCCTCAAAGGAGAGAAACACACAGGACACAACCCTCCAGAAGACCCCAGGGAGGGGAGGCAGGGTGGTCGGGGCAAGCGTCCACAGGCAAATAACCACATGAGCTTCAACCTGCCACATGGACCCGACTGAGCACTGAGCACGCTCTGTGCAGAGCAGGCAACTCCAGCACCCGTGTCCTGAGTGCTTCAGGCACCACACAGAGCACGGCGAGCCAGGACAACCAAGCCCATCACTGCCCTGAGAGCCAAACGTCAGTGTGGGCCAACCAGGAGAGAGCTGGTGCCCAGCACGATGGCTCAACTGGCTCATGCTCCCCCTACAAGCACCACCGTCCCATATGGGAGCCGGCTCGCATCCTGGCTACTCCTCTTCCCATCCAGCTCCCTGCTTCTGGCCTGGGACACCAGTGGAGGATGGCCCAAGTCCTCGGGACACCCCACACCCGCGGGACAGACCCGCAAGAACCCTTGGGCCTTGGCTTCGGACAGGCTCAGCTCCAGCCATTGCGGCCATTTGGGGAGTGAACCAGAGGATGGAAAGCTTCTCTCTCTCTCTCTCTCTCTCTCTCTCTGCCTCTGCTCCTCTCTGTGGGTCTGCCTTTCGACAAAGACACCTGTTAAAGAAAGACAGGCAGACACCGAGAACAAACGAGAGAGAGAGCGAGAGGCCGAGCGAGCTGGGGGTCAGTAGGGCCAGTCAGGAGAGGGCAGCGTGTCAATGTGAGCCCGTCAGCAGAGGCCGACGTGGCAGGACACGGCCGAATGGCAGCGTGTGCCCATCAGGACAGAGCTCAGGACCTAACCGCGCCAACGACACAGGTCAGGCTGTGGCCAATCGGAAGAGAGCCAGTGTGGACCACTAAGGACAGCACAGAGCCTCAGGGCTTGGCCAATCGGGAGAGAACCCAGTGCCAGGGAGGAGCCGATGCGGACATAGGCGGGTGCCAAGCCAGGTGTCAGGTGGAGTGGTGGCCAAGGCGTATGGGTCCTCCCACTCACAGTTCTCATGACAAGATAGGCCAGGTGGAAAGGAGGGGCTGAGCAGGAAGGACGGCTGCACGGGCTGCTCACCCAGGCAGCCGGCACAGGCGGCCTGAGGCACGGGGCACCAGTGGGCACAGATGGACAGACTGCAGAGACACCGCCCCCTGCTGGGCAGGCCTGTCCCTGCAGCCCAGCACCCAGACAGGAGCATCAGGTGAGGAGAGCCCAAGCCCACTGGGGCAGGGCACACGGGAAGCTCAGCTCAGCCCAGCCCTGGGCCGGCCCTGGTCTGCAGGCACGACAACCCGGCCCGGGAGGCACCGGGCACAGCCAGGGCCCTGCAGTCGGGGGCCCCAGAGGGAGACGAAGCCATGGCCTCGGCACCTCCTGCTGTGCGTGTGTCACCTTGCACCCCAGCGGTCCCTGCCCACAACCCGCACCATGCACCCACCTGCCACGTCCAGGCGGAAGGAGACCCTCTGGCCCCCGGCCTCGCAGCTGTACTCCCCGGCGTCCGCCGTGCCCGCCTGCTGCACCACCAGTCGCCGCGTGCAGCCCGCGGCCTCCACGCGCACCCTAGAGCTCGAGCTCAGCTTCTTCCCATCCTTGCACCACGCCACCTGCGTCTGCGCCTGGGCCACCTCGCAGCTCAGTGTGGCGCTGGCCCCCGCCTCGGTCTTCACCTCGCTGTGCGCCGCCTGCTCCTTGGCAAACACCACCTTGGGCTCTGCAATGGGCGAGCAACCCGTGGTCAGGGGCCGGGCCAGACCCAGCCCCGCACTCTCCACGCCTGCTGCTGTCTCAAAAGCCCAGCCAGGGCCAGTGCCCCTCAAAGGAGAGAAACACACAGGACACAACCCTCCAGAAGACCCCAGGGAGGGGAGGCAGGGTGGTCGGGGCAAGCGTCCACAGGCAAATAACCACATGAGCTTCAACCTGCCACATGGACCCGACTGAGCACTGAGCACGCTCTGTGCAGAGCAGGCAACTCCAGCACCCGTGTCCTGAGTGCTTCAGGCACCACACAGAGCACGGCGAGCCAGGACAACCAAGCCCATCACTGCCCTGAGAGCCAAACGTCAGTGTGGGCCAACCAGGAGAGAGCTGGTGCCCAGCACGATGGCTCAACTGGCTCATGCTCCCCCTACAAGCACCACCGTCCCATATGGGAGCCGGCTCGCATCCTGGCTACTCCTCTTCCCATCCAGCTCCCTGCTTCTGGCCTGGGACACCAGTGGAGGATGGCCCAAGTCCTCGGGACACCCCACACCCGCGGGACAGACCCGCAAGAACCCTTGGGCCTTGGCTTCGGACAGGCTCAGCTCCAGCCATTGCGGCCATTTGGGGAGTGAACCAGAGGATGGAAAGCTTCTCTCTCTCTCTCTCTCTCTCTCTCTCTCTCTCTCTCTCTCTCTGCCTCTGCTCCTCTCTGTGGGTCTGCCTTTCGACAAAGACACCTGTTAAAGAAAGACAGGCAGACACCGAGAACAAACGAGAGAGAGAGCGAGAGGCCGAGCGAGCTGGGGGTCAGTAGGGCCAGTCAGGAGAGGGCAGCGTGTCAATGTGAGCCCGTCAGCAGAGGCCGACGTGGCAGGACACGGCCGAATGGCAGCGTGTGCCCATCAGGACAGAGCTCAGGACCTAACCGCGCCAACGACACAGGTCAGGCTGTGGCCAATCGGAAGAGAGCCAGTGTGGACCACTAAGGACAGCACAGAGCCTCAGGGCTTGGCCAATCGGGAGAGAACCCAGTGCCAGGGAGGAGCCGATGCGGACATAGGCGGGTGCCAAGCCAGGTGTCAGGTGGAGTGGTGGCCAAGGCGTATGGGTCCTCCCACTCACAGTTCTCATGACAAGATAGGCCAGGTGGAAAGGAGGGGCTGAGCAGGAAGGACGGCTGCACGGGCTGCTCACCCAGGCAGCCGGCACAGGCGGCCTGAGGCACGGGGCACCAGTGGGCACAGATGGACAGACTGCAGAGACACCGCCCCCTGCTGGGCAGGCCTGTCCCTGCAGCCCAGCACCCAGACAGGAGCATCAGGTGAGGAGAGCCCAAGCCCACTGGGGCAGGGCACACGGGAAGCTCAGCTCAGCCCAGCCCTGGGCCGGCCCTGGTCTGCAGGCACGACAACCCGGCCCGGGAGGCACCGGGCACAGCCAGGGCCCTGCAGTCGGGGGCCCCAGAGGGAGACGAAGCCATGGCCTCGGCACCTCCTGCTGTGCGTGTGTCACCTTGCACCCCAGCGGTCCCTGCCCACAACCCGCACCATGCACCCACCTGCCACGTCCAGGCGGAAGGAGACCCTCTGGCCCCCGGCCTCGCAGCTGTACTCCCCGGCGTCCGCCGTGCCCGCCTGCTGCACCACCAGTCGCCGCGTGCAGCCCGCGGCCTCCACGCGCACCCTAGAGCTCGAGCTCAGCTTCTTCCCATCCTTGCACCACGCCACCTGCGTCTGCGCCTGGGCCACCTCGCAGCTCAGTGTGGCGCTGGCCCCCGCCTCGGTCTTCACCTCGCTGTGCGCCGCCTGCTCCTTGGCAAACACCACCTTGGGCTCTGCAATGGGCGAGCAACCCGTGGTCAGGGGCCGGGCCAGACCCAGCCCCGCACTCTCCACGCCTGCTGCTGTCTCAAAAGCCCAGCCAGGGCCAGTGCCCCTCAAAGGAGAGAAACACACAGGACACAACCCTCCAGAAGACCCCAGGGAGGGGAGGCAGGGTGGTCGGGGCAAGCGTCCACAGGCAAATAACCACATGAGCTTCAACCTGCCACATGGACCCGACTGAGCACTGAGCACGCTCTGTGCAGAGCAGGCAACTCCAGCACCCGTGTCCTGAGTGCTTCAGGCACCACACAGAGCACGGCGAGCCAGGACAACCAAGCCCATCACTGCCCTGAGAGCCAAACGTCAGTGTGGGCCAACCAGGAGAGAGCTGGTGCCCAGCACGATGGCTCAACTGGCTCATGCTCCCCCTACAAGCACCACCGTCCCATATGGGAGCCGGCTCGCATCCTGGCTACTCCTCTTCCCATCCAGCTCCCTGCTTCTGGCCTGGGACACCAGTGGAGGATGGCCCAAGTCCTCGGGACACCCCACACCCGCGGGACAGACCCGCAAGAACCCTTGGGCCTTGGCTTCGGACAGGCTCAGCTCCAGCCATTGCGGCCATTTGGGGAGTGAACCAGAGGATGGAAAGCTTCTCTCTCTCTCTCTCTCTCTCTCTCTCTCTCTCTCTCTCTCTCTGCCTCTGCTCCTCTCTGTGGGTCTGCCTTTCGACAAAGACACCTGTTAAAGAAAGACAGGCAGACACCGAGAACAAACGAGAGAGAGAGCGAGAGGCCGAGCGAGCTGGGGGTCAGTAGGGCCAGTCAGGAGAGGGCAGCGTGTCAATGTGAGCCCGTCAGCAGAGGCCGACGTGGCAGGACACGGCCGAATGGCAGCGTGTGCCCATCAGGACAGAGCTCAGGACCTAACCGCGCCAACGACACAGGTCAGGCTGTGGCCAATCGGAAGAGAGCCAGTGTGGACCACTAAGGACAGCACAGAGCCTCAGGGCTTGGCCAATCGGGAGAGAACCCAGTGCCAGGGAGGAGCCGATGCGGACATAGGCGGGTGCCAAGCCAGGTGTCAGGTGGAGTGGTGGCCAAGGCGTATGGGTCCTCCCACTCACAGTTCTCATGACAAGATAGGCCAGGTGGAAAGGAGGGGCTGAGCAGGAAGGACGGCTGCACGGGCTGCTCACCCAGGCAGCCGGCACAGGCGGCCTGAGGCACGGGGCACCAGTGGGCACAGATGGACAGACTGCAGAGACACCGCCCCCTGCTGGGCAGGCCTGTCCCTGCAGCCCAGCACCCAGACAGGAGCATCAGGTGAGGAGAGCCCAAGCCCACTGGGGCAGGGCACACGGGAAGCTCAGCTCAGCCCAGCCCTGGGCCGGCCCTGGTCTGCAGGCACGACAACCCGGCCCGGGAGGCACCGGGCACAGCCAGGGCCCTGCAGTCGGGGGCCCCAGAGGGAGACGAAGCCATGGCCTCGGCACCTCCTGCTGTGCGTGTGTCACCTTGCACCCCAGCGGTCCCTGCCCACAACCCGCACCATGCACCCACCTGCCACGTCCAGGCGGAAGGAGACCCTCTGGCCCCCGGCCTCGCAGCTGTACTCCCCGGCGTCCGCCGTGCCCGCCTGCTGCACCACCAGTCGCCGCGTGCAGCCCGCGGCCTCCACGCGCACCCTAGAGCTCGAGCTCAGCTTCTTCCCATCCTTGCACCACGCCACCTGCGTCTGCGCCTGGGCCACCTCGCAGCTCAGTGTGGCGCTGGCCCCCGCCTCGGTCTTCACCTCGCTGTGCGCCGCCTGCTCCTTGGCAAACACCACCTTGGGCTCTGCAATGGGCGAGCAACCCGTGGTCAGGGGCCGGGCCAGACCCAGCCCCGCACTCTCCACGCCTGCTGCTGTCTCAAAAGCCCAGCCAGGGCCAGTGCCCCTCAAAGGAGAGAAACACACAGGACACAACCCTCCAGAAGACCCCAGGGAGGGGAGGCAGGGTGGTCGGGGCAAGCGTCCACAGGCAAATAACCACATGAGCTTCAACCTGCCACATGGACCCGACTGAGCACTGAGCACGCTCTGTGCAGAGCAGGCAACTCCAGCACCCGTGTCCTGAGTGCTTCAGGCACCACACAGAGCACGGCGAGCCAGGACAACCAAGCCCATCACTGCCCTGAGAGCCAAACGTCAGTGTGGGCCAACCAGGAGAGAGCTGGTGCCCAGCACGATGGCTCAACTGGCTCATGCTCCCCCTACAAGCACCACCGTCCCATATGGGAGCCGGCTCGCATCCTGGCTACTCCTCTTCCCATCCAGCTCCCTGCTTCTGGCCTGGGACACCAGTGGAGGATGGCCCAAGTCCTCGGGACACCCCACACCCGCGGGACAGACCCGCAAGAACCCTTGGGCCTTGGCTTCGGACAGGCTCAGCTCCAGCCATTGCGGCCATTTGGGGAGTGAACCAGAGGATGGAAAGCTTCTCTCTCTCTCTCTCTCTCTCTCTCTCTCTCTCTCTCTGCCTCTGCTCCTCTCTGTGGGTCTGCCTTTCGACAAAGACACCTGTTAAAGAAAGACAGGCAGACACCGAGAACAAACGAGAGAGAGAGCGAGAGGCCGAGCGAGCTGGGGGTCAGTAGGGCCAGTCAGGAGAGGGCAGCGTGTCAATGTGAGCCCGTCAGCAGAGGCCGACGTGGCAGGACACGGCCGAATGGCAGCGTGTGCCCATCAGGACAGAGCTCAGGACCTAACCGCGCCAACGACACAGGTCAGGCTGTGGCCAATCGGAAGAGAGCCAGTGTGGACCACTAAGGACAGCACAGAGCCTCAGGGCTTGGCCAATCGGGAGAGAACCCAGTGCCAGGGAGGAGCCGATGCGGACATAGGCGGGTGCCAAGCCAGGTGTCAGGTGGAGTGGTGGCCAAGGCGTATGGGTCCTCCCACTCACAGTTCTCATGACAAGATAGGCCAGGTGGAAAGGAGGGGCTGAGCAGGAAGGACGGCTGCACGGGCTGCTCACCCAGGCAGCCGGCACAGGCGGCCTGAGGCACGGGGCACCAGTGGGCACAGATGGACAGACTGCAGAGACACCGCCCCCTGCTGGGCAGGCCTGTCCCTGCAGCCCAGCACCCAGACAGGAGCATCAGGTGAGGAGAGCCCAAGCCCACTGGGGCAGGGCACACGGGAAGCTCAGCTCAGCCCAGCCCTGGGCAGGCCCTGGTCTGCAGGCACGACAACCCGGCCCGGGAGGCACCGGGCACAGCCAGGGCCCTGCAGTCGGGGGCCCCAGAGGGAGACGAAGCCATGGCCTCGGCACCTCCTGCTGTGCGTGTGTCACCTTGCACCCCAGCGGTCCCTGCCCACAACCCGCACCATGCACCCACCTGCCACGTCCAGGCGGAAGGAGACCCTCTGGCCCCCGGCCTCGCAGCTGTACTCCCCGGCGTCCGCCGTGCCCGCCTGCTGCACCACCAGTCGCCGCGTGCAGCCCGCGGCCTCCACGCGCACCCTAGAGCTCGAGCTCAGCTTCTTCCCATCCTTGCACCACGCCACCTGCGTCTGCGCCTGGGCCACCTCGCAGCTCAGTGTGGCGCTGGCCCCCGCCTCGGTCTTCACCTCGCTGTGCGCCGCCTGCTCCTTTGCAAATGCATTTTGAGATTCTGTTTGGATAGTTAGAACCTGTGTGAATTTTCATCTCCATTTTTTATTGCTCTCTGTCTCTCTTTCGCCGGAGATTTTCCACCTCATCGACTATTAGTTATGGTTGTCTCGCTCCCCACTTTTTTCTTCTTGATATTACAGCATCTCCATTACTTTTGACCCTCTAAGTGTGCCTTGTTCTGAACATCCAGTGTCGTGGCCTCGGCGTGATGGCACTGTGGTTAAGGTCCTTGCCTTGCACGCCCGGGATCCCATGTGTGCACCAGTTCTAATCCCGGTAGCCCTGCTTCCCATCCACTTCCCTCCCCAGGCCCGGACTTCCCAAAGCTTTGGGACCATGCACCAGCGTGGGAGACCCGGAAGAGGCTCCTGGCCCTGGATTGGCTCAGCTCCAGCTGTTGTGGCCACCTGGTGCGTGAATCTTCCGATGGAAGATCTTCCTTTCTGTCTCTCCTTTCTGTATATCTGCCTTTCCAATAAAATAAAATAAAATCTTAAAAAAAAAAAACCCATCCTGAATCCTACACCTCCACACGCTCTTGTGTCTCTCACCCTATCCTCTCCTCAGGGCATTGCAGTTTCCAAATATTTCCCCACCTTTCCTGCCTTCAGTGCCGCCTGTGTCTTCTTCTGCTAAGCTTGTGTTCTGTCCCTACTCTAGTCACCGCTGATGTCCTGCTGCTCATTTTCTCCTCCTCTTCAGAAAGTGCTCCTCGGCAGCAAAGGCCACTGTGTTTGAGTACAGCTACCACTGGCCACCTCCCTTTCTCATGAGGACTCCTGGTTCGATTTGTTGCTCCCGGGGTTCCTCCCTGGATATGCAACAGACACACCCTCTGATTCTTGGAAATATCAGGCAAGACCGTCAGAATCTAACCACATCCTAGACTCTGTCCAGTGAAGTCTACGCAAAGCTCAAGAACTTATTTCCAGGTCACGGGGTCCTGAGAGTAGCCCAGAAGCAAGCCAGTCAGATGTCTCTTTCAGAGTCTTAACAGGGACAGGCTCATCAAGACTTTCCCAAGCTTCCATGGTGAATCACTCCTGCCCTCCTGCCACTCATTGAAGGAAATGACCCTGCCACAGCCAGATCTTCCCTCTCCCCTCTCAATCGCAGCAACCAGCAGAAACTCACCTGAAACACGGAGCTGGAAGTCCACAGCGTCCCCACCTACACGGCAGGAGTAAGTGCCCTCATCCTGCCTGGATACCAATGCCACCACCAGCCGGTGCCGCCTGCCTTCATCCTCCTGCGAGAACCGCTGGCCAGAGTTCCCCAGCTCTGAGCCATCCTTGTACCAGCGCACAGGCACATGGGCTTCTGAGGTCTCACACTCAAACTGGGCATGACCCCCAGCCATGGCATCCACACAGCCACCTGTTGAGTCCTTGTGCAGAAAAGTTGTCAGACCTACAGAGGATGGCAGGTGACCAGTCAGGGGGCATAGGGGCCTCGGCCCACAGAAGGCCAGCCCATCTGTTGGGTCTCAGGTGTGAGGACTCACTGTCCACCCATGATCAGATGGGAACTTCTTCCCCCTATGGTGCAGGACACTCTCCACCACCCATTCCACCTGTCTCCCTCCCACATGCTATCCCAGGAAGGACGTGGCTCAGCCACACCATCAGCTTCACCTTGCACAGACAGCTGGTAGGCGAGGCGAATCCCATGGCTGACACATTCATATAGGCCAGCATCGTCCCGTGTCACATCACGCACCAGCAGCAGTCGCCGCTTGTCTGAGGTCTGCACCTCATATTTGGGACCTGGGGCCAGTTCACGGCCATCTTTCAGCCATGTCACAGTCGCAGCCTGGTCAGATAACTCAGCCAGCAGCTGGGCCTCCTCATGCAGCCGGGCCAGCACCTCCCGGGCAGCTACAGCTCCAGGTTTATGGGGAGTCCGCTCTGGGGCTGCTAGAGACCAAGAATAGGGGACCAAAGCACACAAACAAGTGGATGACAAGGGTGTGGACAGTGGACAAAGAAGGGAGAAATGGTGAGAGAAGAACAAGACCAGGGGATGGATGGGAAATCGACCATGTTGTCCCAGTGTGATCGAGAAGCACAGATTGAGGACAGAGGCAAGGCAGGTGGGAGACAGGGAGGGGAGGGAACCAGGCAGGGAAGGGAGAGGCAGGGAGAGGGACAGAAAGCAGAAACAGAGGGAGGTGGGTGAGGAGAAAGTCAGATGAGGCTGTGGTCCAACACCCTGACCTCCATGTCCTGTGACCCCAGTCTGTGGCCTCAGTCTGACTCAATGCCCCCTCCCCAGATGGCAGGTCTGAATCCCTTGCCTACCTCGGACCTCCAGGTAGATGCTACTTTCAACACCATCAGCCACAAACTTAAGCTGAGACCCATGCAGGCTGGCGGGGACCTCTTGGAGGGTGAGCACGTGCCGGAGGCCACTGCTCAGCATCTGGCACGTCCTGCTGGCCTTCAGGGCCTCCCCATCTAGGAACCACTGACCCGCCGAAGCTACTGTGAGTTCCAGAGAAAAGGTGACCTCGCCACCCTCCACTGCCTCCACCGCCTGTAGAGGTATCCTCACGGCCAACTGGGGAGCTGTGGGCAAGAAGCACCTGGAATTAGTAAAGATTCAAGAGCATGCATGGTGGACAGGGCTCTGCCTCCCATTCCCATTCCTGTCCCCCAGCCTGAATCTCATGCCAGGAGGGGCTCTGTCTCAGCCAGCACCACACACAGTGACCCTGAGCACAGGTCTAGTTGGGGCACACTAAGGACAACTTAGTCACCTTCCGCAGGGTCCAGACAGTCAGAGCTGCCCTTGGACCCTCGAGTTCTAGTTCACAGTTCCTCCTCCTTCCCCTGAGTCAGATCTAAAGCTGCAGTACCGCCCACCCACAGAGAAGCACCAAGGGGCCCCCTTTGACCTTGTCCTGCTTGGGTGATCCAGGGCCAGGAGTCACGTACCAAGGTGTACCGTCCCTGGAAATTCGAGATAGGGACTCTGACCAAAGCTGTTGATAGCTGACACCCGGAACTGGAAGTCGCCCTCCTCAGCCACGCCAGTCACAGTCAGTGGCAGTGTGGCTACCCACTCTGCCTCATGACAACGGCTCCAAGCATAGGTGCCAAGCCTTCTCTTCTCCACCAGGTAACCATCAATGGGGACGGCGCGGTCCCCATGGGGTGGCGGGGACCAGCTCAAGGTCACAGAACTCTTGGTCCTGGCCAGCACAGCAGGGTCTCCAGGGGGATGCAAGGGTGGTCTCCTGGGTGCTAGGAGGAGGACAGGAGAATGTCACAAATAGACAGCAACTTTTCCAAGCCCTGGACCTGGAATCACCCAGAGGGACAGCCCAGAACTCCTTGGTACCCTGGACCTCCTCCGACCCAACTCAGGACCACTGGCCTCCTTGCAACAAGAAGGGTATGAAGGCAGGCATGCTGGGGACTTGACTCTGGCCTCTGTCTCCACCCAGGGTAGGGCACTTCCTGGCCCTTACCTGACACACAGAACTGTGTGGATGTGCGGCAGCTGTTGGCCACAAAGGCTACCTCCCCTGCATCACTCAGACCACACTGGGAGATGGTCAGCGTGTGGCTGGTGCCCTCATTGCTGATGCTCACACGGCCTCCGGCCACAACCTCCTCCTGGTTCCACAGCCAGCGGACAGAGCCCTCTGGGCCAGCCAGCTCCACACAGAAAATGGCTGTGTCCCCCACGCGCACCGCCGTCTTCCGAGGAAGCTTTCGAGTCAGGTTGCCTGTGGCCCGGAGAGTCAGTGCTGGTCAGAACCACCCTGCATGCCCCGTCCACTCCCTATCCACTTCTCATGTACATCCACATGCCCCATCCACTCCCTGCCCACTCCCTGTATATACGATGCATGCCCCGTTCACTCCCTGTGTACACCCATATGCCCTGTCCACTCACTATCCCACTTCCCATGTACACACTATGCCCCATCCATTCCCTGTCCACTCCCCATGTACACCCACATGCCCCGTCCACTCACTATCCTACTTCCCATGTACACACTATGCCCCATCCATTCCCTGTCCACTCCCCATGTACACCCACATGCCCCGTCCACTCACTATCCCACTTCCCATGTACACACTATGCCCCATCCATTCCCTGTCCACTCCCCATGTATACCCACATGCCCTGTCTACTTCCTGTGTACACCCTGCAAGACCTGTCCACTCCCCATGTACATGCACACACCATGTCCACTCCTGCCCACTCTCCTTGTGTGCCCTGCCCACTCCCATCCCACACCCATCACTGTCTGTCTGCACTCCTGTCCACTCCCATGCATACCCCATGTGCACTCAGTCAGCACATCTGCCCACCACCCTGCCAGGCCCAAGCCCCACCCACTGCGCCTGCCTCGGACTGCAAGCTCGGCCACGGTGCGGCTGCCCTCCGCAGTCTCGCAAATGTACACAGCATCATCATCCGCTGAGGCATTGTGCACGGTCAGCCGCCGCTCTGCACCCTCTGCTTCAATGGCATACTTGGCTCCAGCCCACAGCCGTGTCTCTTCCTTGAACCACGCAGCCTCAGTGGCTGGCTGTGGCACCTCACATCGGAATGTGGCTGACTCCTTCTCGCGTACCTCCAGGTCCTGAAGTCGTTTCCGGAAGGGCACGGTGGGCTCTGTGGGGTGCCGGAGACAAGCGGGTGAGGAGAGGAAGTACAGGTGGCGAGGGTCTGCGGGACCACGGGAGTGGGGATGGCGGTGTAGGGAGGGATGGGTAAGGGCGGGAGCCTCTGGGAGGGGTGGGTTCAGCGAGTGAGGGGCACAGGGAGGCGCAGGGGCAGGGCCTGGGGAGCAGGTAGGACCAGTGACCAGGGACTGGAGGACAGAGCTTGGGAGAGTCAACACTGCGCTCTGCAGACCCAAAACACAGACCCACTCAAGACTAGAAGTACCCAAGACTCAGCGTCCTCCCCATCCTCCCACCCAGAGCCCCCTTGGTCAGCGTACCTCGAACGACCAGCAGTACGGAGCTGTAGGTCTGGCCCACCAGGTTGGATGCTGCACAAGTGTACAGGCCGCAGTCCTCAGGCCTACAGAACAGTATCTTGAGCACGAAATTCTCCTGTGCATCTTCATACACTGCGTGGCGCCGGCCCTCGGTAACAGGCTGCCCGTCCTTTTTCCACAGCGTCTCGGGCTTGGGCTCGCCCGTCACATAGCAGCTGAGGCGTGCGTGTTTGCCCTCAGTCACTGTGCAGGTGCGCATGCCTGTGACCAGTGGTGCAGTGCGGGCGTCCTCTGCGCGCATGGCCTCGCGGCGCTGCTGCAGGTGAGCCAGTAGCGTGGCAGTGGAGGCTCCAGGCGGGCTAGGCACATCGGCCTCGGAGTCCACCACCAGCGCTGCCGCTGCGCTTGCAGCGCCCAGGGGATTCTCAGCACGCACCTCGTAGGTGCCACCATCTCGAGGCCGCGCAGCACGAATGCACAGCGAGCTCTCCTCACCCTGCTCCTCCACGCACACTCGCGGGGCATTAGGAGTGCCCAGGCGCCTCCCGTCCTTAGACCAGCTCACAGCTGGCTGCGGGGAGCCACGAACGCGGCAGCGAAAGGTGGCATCAGCGCCCTCGCGCACACGGATGGATGTTGGGCGCAGCAGGAAGTGGGGCGCCTGCTCAGCACGCGCAGCCTCATCGTCCACTTGCAAGCCTACGGCCGCAAAGGCCTCGCCAATGGCGTTGCGCGCGCGGCACACGTACTGCCCGCTGTCACCCAGAGCCAGGTCCAGGATGGTGAGGCGGTACAGGTCGCCGTCCTGGGCCAGACGGAAGCGCACGCTCGGCTCCACCGGCTGCTGGTCCTTCTCCCAGCTCACCTGCGGCGTGGGGTTGCCTGTGATCTGGCAGCTCAGAGTGGCGTCTTTGCCTACCGACACCACGAAGGCCTTGGGCCGCGTCAGAAAGCGAGGTGCACCACTGAGGGTAGAGGACTCCATGGCGCTTTTGGCCTTGTTGACTGCGGGAGCCTGTTGGAGGTGGGGGATGAGAGCAGGGATGTGCACAGCCCGCCCCGGGTCTCCTGTGTACAGAACTGCTGGAAGCACCTGGGTTCAGCCTCTGCCAACACAAAGTTATCATGTCCACCATGCAAGAAGCCTCACTGGTGCCACGTGGTCCCAGTTTTCCAACAGGTGGCCATAGCCCCTCAGAGCCCAGCTCCCCCTGAGTGCTTGTTCCTGACCCAGAGTCCCCCAGCAGTGTGGTGTCCCCTGTCCCTCACTCCATATGCAGGCATGGGTGTCTGCCTGAGCAGCCACTCTCTGCATACAAGCAGGGGCTCAGGCTGGTCCAACACACCTCAACTCCTGACAGACCAGGACCACCACTGCCCAGTGCATCCCCATACCCTCTAGCTAGCAGTCCTGTGATTCAGGCACCTAATCCCCTTAATCCCCTCAGGAGCTTTGGGCCAGGATTGGGCCAGGGTGTGGGGCTGCTGAGTCACTGTGCAGGCCACACCCATCCTCTGCCACCCCCACATGCTAGGTGCAGGGGTGGGAGACCAGCCCCTCTACAGCCCCCTCTGCAAGCACCTTGAAAATAGTTCCTGCAAGGCCAGGGGGACCTCAGCTCTTGCTGGCCTTGGGCTCTGGGCTCACCCAGAGCTGCTCTGAGATACCTGGAGGGACAATCCATGTGCCCTCCCAGGGGAGGACAGGATATCCCCATGCCCTCTTACACACAGACACACCAACAGCCTAAGTCACAGATACCCCTGAGCTGGCTGGCTAGACAGATGGGAGACGGGTGGAAAGAGGTGTGGTTGATGTGGGCATGCAACGGGCAGGAATGGAGAGGCAGCTCCCCATCCCACACAGCCATAGGGGCTGACCCTGAACCTCCTGGGTTCAGACTGACCCCAGCCAGGGAGTAGATGACAGAGGACAAGACAGGGTTGGTCATCCAGAGGGACCTCCTCTCTCTAACACCCTCCTGGACAGACTCAGTCCTTGTTGGGGAAGCCCAGGGGGCAGCCCACAGCCCATACCCTCTTCACAGAGTTCTGAGCTCCTGGCAGGCCCAGAGACCCCAGAGGGCTCCATCCCTGCACCACTCTACCCCTGGGCTAGAACCTGAGGCCACCTGTGGCCCTCTGCCCTTCCAGTTCAGCCCTCCAAGGGCAACTGCCCCTCATCTTCGACCCCTGGGCTCCAGTTCCCCAGTCTGCAGGAGAAATTCTTTCCTGGAGTCAGGTGTCCAAACCCCACTGGCTGTCCCTCCGCTGAGCCAACAGGCCCAAAATAGCCCCAGCTGTCAGTGGGCATCTCACTCATGAGAGTGGGGGCAGGGCAGCCAGCCCCTCAGGCCCTGCTGAGAGCCAGAGTACCAGGCAGGGGTGGTCAGAGGCTGTTGGTCCAAGCTTCCCAGCTCCAGGCTAGCTGAGCTGCCTCTCCCCAGGGTGGGAGAGTCGAGAATCGATTACCCGTGGGATTGGGGCTGGAACATGGCACAGACGACCCATTCCAGGAGAACCTTGGGCTCCTCAAGTCCCCAGAGCTATGACCTTTAGCCACCAGGGCCTCCACCCACCTTCTCACCTGTCTGCAGAGGTGTGTATGCCGGTGATGGGGTTGCGGGGGCTCAGCTCCCTTCAGGGACCCAGGACTGCAGCTGCAGCCCACACTCCTGCCAGTCCTCAGACTGGACAGGGACGAAAGGGCAGGCAGATGCCGTCAGCTGAAGGCCCGCCTCCTGCCCCCACCCTTGGCCCAGCCTAGCTCCAAAATAGCCTGAGTGTCACTGCATAAGACTCAGCTCTACCCTGGGGCCTACAGGGCGCAGAGGGTAGGAAGTCAGGGGTAGAGTCCACGACAGGGACAGACACCTATGGATTCCTGTGGTGATGTGGGCCCACCTGCCCCCACCCCGGGCCACAGTGCCCACTGCTCTGGCCAGCATCCTAGAGTGCAGAGCACGTAGAAGCATGGGTCCACTCTGCACAGCTGGAGCTGAAGCTCATCCTGGGGGTGCGGCATGAAGTGACCAGTAAATGTCCCAAAGAGGACACTGACAGAGGACTGGGGGTTGAAGTGCAGGGGAGACAGGCACAAGCAAGGCAACGAGCCACACTCACATCTGTGAGAGCAGTCTCTCCCATTTCAAACACACACGTGTCTGTGAGGTAGTCTTTCTCTCTCTTTCTCTCTCTCTCACACACACACACACTCTGAGGGCAGTCTCTCCCAGTTCACACACACAATCTGTGAGGTTGGTCTCCTCTAACACACGGACATGCACACCTGTGAGGGCAGGCTGTCCCAACTCTCTCTCACACACGACTGTGAGGGTACTCTCTCTTGCCAGCTCCTGTAAGGATCCTGTGAGGCAGTGACCACACCCACACCCACACCCACACTCCCTCTGGGAGTTGAGACTGCTGGCATCCTCCCATCTCCAAAATTTTACAGGGACGACATGGGACAGCGAGCCAGTACACTGCTGGTTGTGAACTTATGGAGAGTTAATGTCAACACATACAGGAACTGTTCATTGCGTCCAGGGAAGCACAGGGACTGCTGACTCGGGGCACCAAGACTGCTGACTCGGGCATAGACAGAGTCCAGGTGGCACCAGGGACCTGCCCGTCCTGCAATGCCTAAGGGCAGCAGGCCAGCTCTGCTTCTCCCCTGCACTGGTTTCTAGTCAGTTCACCACCTGTGGAGGACAGGGGAGACTTGAGCCTCCTTTGGCTGGGAAGGACTAAGCAGAGCACTGCCTGAAGAGGCCTAGGGTGGGTCCTGGCTAGCACCCAGCCCCAACACCAAGTCAATGGGCATCTGGGACCTAGTGTCCAGAGACACACTCTTCCTGTGCAGGCAGTCATGGCAACATGGAGGGTACTGGTCCCCAGCCCGGCCCAGTCCCATCTGGCTGCAGCCTGACCTGAACACCGAGGCCTGATCACAAGGACTACAGTCAGCATCCTTGACCTCCACGCAACCAAAAGGACCTGGTGTCCATTGCATGAACTTGCTCCTTGGACCTTGCCACTTGCAACATCTTCTGCCCAGAGGCACCCAAGGATTGCAAGTTTGTCTGAAAACATCTTTTTTTTTTTTTTGTATTGCAAAGTCAGATATACAGAAAGGAGGAGAGACAGAGAGGAACAGCTTCTGTCTGATGATTTACTCCCCCAAGTGACCGCAACGGCCGGAGTGTTAGTTATTTAAAACAGTGGTTGAGTTCTAGTTCATACGATATTATGATATTTTACGCGCAGCTAATTCCCACAACCTGGTTCTTTACCGTGAGCTGAAAACACCAGACGCCACGAGGTATCTTAGGAGGTTTAGTCCAGCGGGGCAGGAAAAGGGGAAGGAGGGGAAGGGAGGCCAGAAGGAGGAGAGATGGGAAGAGCAAAGAAGAGAGAGCCACACCTGGGGGCCTTTTTGTCTGCCAGGTGTGGGGGGCGGGATTGGGAGGGACTGAGGGCAGGCCCCAGGAAATTGGTGCCTGCAGGTGAATGCCTGAGGATGATTGGTGAGCGGGCAGGATTGGAGAAGAGGCTGGAAGATTGGGGGTGGGACTCTCAGGTGGAATGCCAGGTTACATCTGATTGGTGGATGGCTAGACCAGCGCGAATTTCATGAGCTGAGGAAGAAGGAATGGTGCCAGGTCCAGGGTGGGATATTGGAATAACTCTTTACACGGAGCTGTGCTGATTCGAAGCCAGGAGCCAGGAGCTTGTTCCAGGTCTCCCATGCAAGTGCAGGGGCCCAAGGCTTTGGGCCATCCTTGTCTGCTTTCCCAGGCCACAAGCAGCGAGATGGATGGGAAGCAGGGCTGCCAGGATTAGAACTGGTGCCCACATGAGATCCGGGCACATGCAAGGCGAGAACTTTAGCTGCTAGGCTACTGTGCCAGGCCCTAAAGAGTCTAACTTATTTTTAAGCTAACAACAAAATGGCACATACTATGTTATTCAGGTGTGACATCCATCACCTCACATGCTGTTGTGAAACCCAGAGCTCTGCTCTTCAAGGGACCAGCATCAGCGAATGTGGACCTGATGCCCAACTGCAGTTCCCAGCTAGTAGACCTGGAGGCAGTACCTGGGCCCGTCAGTCAGCAGGGGTCCAGAGGAAGGTTCCAGTCTCAACAGTCAACCTAGTCCAGTCCTGACTGCAGAAGGCACTTAACAGTGAGCCAGCAGAAGGCAGAGCTCCCTACTTGAACTTCAACACTTTCAATGGGAACTCCTCTCACCTGCTCTGAGACATGTGACAAAGCTGCTGCTGTATCCTGCCTTGAGGAGCAGCCACCCATCCCGCCTTCATGCTCCAGTGCTTTATCTCACTTCTGCAAATGTGTCTAACACCCCAACAGTCAGTGAGTCTGCCTGCACCACCTTCCCCTGGGCTCTTGATATTGTGCCACACATGGGCTTCCATTTTTTCCCACGTGCTGTGATGTCTTGACATCTCATAAACCTTTCCTGGCTGAGAAGAGAAGGCCTCCCCTTGGGCAGGCCCAGTGGAGACACGACTTACTATGCAAACCCAGGCCATGTCCTTCATTTGGCCTGTGCAGAGCCAAGCAATGACCTAGACAACTATCTAAAGCTGTTAACCTGTCCCGGCCACCTCTCCCATAATCGCCCCCACAGGCCAGATCCAGGGTCCAGTTGCTCCTGCCCCACTATGTCTCCTCATGGCTGAGCCTGCCTGGCTAGTCCTGAGAGCAGGCAGCCTGAGAATGAGGTGGAATGTGTCACAGCAACACCTGTTCTACTAGACTCTGACTACCCATTCATCAGAACCTCCCAGGAACCACATCTGCTTCCACCCTACCAGGTCTGTGGGCGGCCCCAGACAGAGCCAGCTTGGAGCTACCTGGTGAGCCCTGAGAGCACACGGGGGACACACAATAGTCAAACTACCTTGCCTTGAGGTCACTCTGATTAAAATAAACAGCCTGCGCCTTCCTTCCTGGTTGACACTGGACACACCCAACAGGCCATCCAAGAGGCCCTGTGATGGCTCCAGGAACAGGCGGAAGCTCAGTATGGACCTCACCTGAGACCCATAGGCAGAAGGCACTGAGATACCCACTCTTCCCACTTCACACAGATGGGGCACATGCCTGATCACAACCTGAGGATAAACTGGTTTGGATCCTGGTCAGCTGTGTCCTGGTCAGTTCCAAAGCAGCGGCCAGCAGGGTGGTAGCAACACCTGCTCAGGCAGCAGCCACTGCTGGGAGAGCCCAGCCCCAGCCATCACAAGATGCCATGTGTACAACCCAGTCCATGGGAGAGGGCAGCCCCCACCCAGCACTGCCAGCCCTACACCCCGACTGCTGCTCACAGTGTGATGCTCTGATTCTAGTGCTGGCCAGCAGGGTCAGCACTGCCCAGTTGTCTACACATCTTAAGAGAGGCTGCATCACCTCACTGGGCCCACCTCACTGGGACCCTCACCCCAGCCAAAGGCAGTTTTAACTCACAGTCCATCCCTACCACTTCCAGGACTACAGTCCTTACAGGGGGTCCCCAGCTCATCCAGATACTAGCAGGCCTGTGCAGTGTCCTGCAACGTGTGTCTCAGGGCTGGGCCCATCCATAGCACAGCAAGTCTACTTAACCTGGTATGTACAGCCTGATAACCTGGTCCACAATGAAGCAATTTCCAAAGCTGCAAGGCCACACTTTAATATCCACTCAAAGTCAAGGTGAGCCTCCCACCCACCCAGGATGGCAAGCTCCTCCCCCTCCACAAAGAGACCACAGGTCATTCACCAGAAAGCCCTTCCCCAGAAGTGCCCCCTACCCCAGCAGCTGCAGAACCCCAAGGCAAGGCCTCAGAACACAGGTGCACCAGAAACACAGCCCCAGTCCTCTCCAGAGGGTGCCCCTCTATAAGCCTCCATGGCCTGGCCGACCCCACAGAGCACTGCCCAAGCACAACAGAAACCCCAGCCAGGGCCGGCTCTGCACCCAGCCTCCAACCCAGTCATGCAGGGTTGCCTAGTCACAGTTCATCCACACCAGGGTCAATCCCAGCAGGGGCCTGGGTGACTTCAGTGCATTCCAGCGTCTGCCATCCCCAGGGGAGCTCCTACTGCCCACACATGGCAGGCCAACAGGGCTTGAGCCCTGGCTGATATTCACCAGCATGGTAGGTCCCAGCAGAATCAGACTCACTTAGCTGCCACAGGCCACCAGTCTGGCACTGCTGCAGTAAGAGCCACTGGGCAGCTCTCAGTGGTGGGAACATGAAGAGGGCCCTTGATGCGCTCTGACCAAAGCAGGGCCAGCCCCACATCCTCCAGGCCTGCCCTGAACTTGCCCGCTGGCTGTCCCGTTGCAGTCAACACAACGGAGCCAGGAACCAGGCCATTAGCAGGTAGCCGGCCCGATAGCCGCACAGGGAAGAGACGCTTGCGGATGACGCCAGTGTGGTGGGTGCGGGCAGTCAGCTCCTGGCCCACATAGCAGCCTTTGGTGAAGCTGACGCCATTCATGAAGGCAAGGTTGGATTCCAGGGGCAGGGCCATGCCCGGGGGCAGGTCACGGATGCCCTCGGGAACACCTGTGGGAACAAGCAGAAGTAAGCACATCTGGCATAGCCAGGCACAGCTCGCCTGCCTGGCCTGCCCCTACCTTGCAGGTACCGGTGCCGGTGATATTCCCGGAGGGCCCCAAGGTGACCACCAGGCAGTAGAGATGGAGCCATGTCACAGGTGAGGAGCCGCCAGCCCATGCGTATGGTCCGGGGATCTGGGGTGAGGATGGTGGGATCCGCAGCTCCCTTGGGCAGCAGCACATCACCGGCTTCAGGGGAGCTGGGCAGCACTGCCCACACACACAGCTCGGGGAATAGTTCAACTGTGACCTTCCGCCGGACCCTGTAGCGTAGCAGGTGCTCCTGCAGTTCACCTAATACAAGGCGGTCACACTCCAGGAGGAAAGCAGGTGGCGATGGGAGCCTGTGGAGAAAAAGGCAGGGGCTGTGGGGACAGGTGGTGAGGGGGTGCTGCACTGCCAGAGTGCATGCATGCACAGCCCTGTGCTCACCAGATGTACTTGCATCCCCAAAACCCAGATGGGCACCTGCTCTGAGCCATCAAGCAGGCAAGGGGCCCCACCGAGACAGCTCACACTGGCTATCCTCTGGAGCACATCCATATATGCCAGGCCCCTTCAAGGCCCACATTCCCTGGGATGTTCACGCCCTTCCTACCAGCACATCCCCACAAAGGAGGGGGCTGCAAGCCCCCTCACCAGCTGTAGCCACACAGTGGGAACTCACAGGCCAGGGCTTCCCACTTCCCAAAGATGGGCCACAGGGCATCTGCCTCTGCCAGGCAAGTGTAGAGCTAAGTTGGTACCCAAGGCCATGGGGCAGCATAAGCAAAACTAGGTAAGATACCAAGATGGACAACACCAATGGCTTCACAAGGTGGGAGCAGATTGCCACCCACATCCCCTACCGCAGTGCCTGGTTTGAATCCCAGCAACTCCATGCTGATCTAACTTCCTGTTAGTGTGTCTGGGAGGTACAGGATGCTGGCCCCAGGATTTAGCTTCAGCATGGTCCAGCCATGACTATTGCGGGCATTTGGCATGTCAACAAACAAACGGATCTTATCTCTGCTGCTGCCTTTCAATTAGGTACCTATGAAGAGGGGCGAGGGAGCCACCTGCACTCAGATCGTGGCCAGGGAACCCCAGGACTCACAGCAAGAAGCCCATATCTCAGGCCCCTCAATCTCACACCTAAGACTGGGGAACAGCCTATGGTGCTAAAGTCACTCAGCAAAAGAAAGGACAATGACAGACAGCTGGATGGCCCTGAGGGTACCACACTGAGTGCCAGCATGTGCCTGAAGTCACAGATACAGAGAGGGAAAGCAGCTGCATGGGCTTAACAACAGAAACACAGCCCAGAACTGTCACCCAGACCCCAGAATAATCATTGGGGGACTAGAGTAACCATCAGCGGGGGGGCAGGCAACATGGTCGCCCAGACTCCAGAATGACTGTTGGGGTCGACATGGTTACCTAGACCTCAGAATGACCATCATGAGTCAACATAATTGCCCAGACCCCAGAGTGACCATTGGGATCAACATGGCACCCAGATATCAGCATGACCATTGGGGGTTGACATGGTCACCTATACCCCAGAGTGACCATCAGGGCTCAATGTGTTGCCCAGACCCCAATGTGGCTGTCAGGGGTGGACATGGTTTCCCAGATCCCAGAGTGATCATTAGGGGTGGATGCGGTCACCCAGACCCAATGTGACTGCCATGGACACATGCCACAACTGCATAGCTCCAAGCAGGCCACAGACACAGCAGAACAGTCGAGATTCAAACGCCAGCACAGCCTGTGGTGGGAAAGCAGTTGGCATAGCCAGCTTGAGGAAGAGCTAAGCAGACTCTTCCCTGATGACCCAACCTCACACCAAAGGAGGTTGTGTCTGCATCTTCACCAAAGCCACACGGCACCTACAGCAGCTTCATTCAAATGGCCGAAATGTGAAGGCTACTCAATGTCCTTCAGGAGGTGGACACAGCACTGGTCAGTGTTGGGAGAGGGCCTTGGAGCTGTGATGGACACAGACGATGTGAAAGGACAATGCTGGGACCCAAAAAGGTGAGCCATGGAGGGGACTTGAAGGGCAGCAGCTGTTCTGACACAGTGAGGGTGGACACAAGCCACACAGGCTCCTCCAGATCCACAGAATCCAACCCCAGAGGGACCTCTGTCGAGCTGCAGGGATGCCAGCTACAGCAGTGGGCATTGTGGGTTCATCCACACTTAGAGACTTACTTATTTACTTGTTCACTTATTTGAAAGGCAGAGTTGGCCTGGTATGATAACCTAGTGGCTAAATCCTTGGCTTGCACAAGCCAGGATCCCACATGGGCAACAGTTTGTGTGCCAGCTGCTCTACTTCCCTGATTGTGGCCTGGGAAAGCAGTCGAGGACAACCCAAAGCCTTGGGACCCTGCACCCACGTGGGCGACCAGGAAGAGGATCTGGACTCCTGGCTTCAGATCGGTGCAGTTCCAGCAGTTGCAGTCACTTGGGGAGTGAGTCATCAGACAAAAGATCTTCTCTATGTCTCCTCCTCTCTGGATATCTGACTTTCCAATAAAGATAAATAAATCTTAAAAAAAAAAAAAAAACAGCCACGAAGACCCCAGTGCAATGGCTTAGTGGCTGATATTCACCTTGTAAGCACCAGGATCCTATGTGGAGGCTGGTTCATGTCCCGCATTGGAGCATGCTTTCCATCTAGCTTCCTGCTTACGATCTGGGAAAGCAGTGAATGACCCAACATCTTAGGACCTTCACCCACATGGGAGACCTGACACCCACATGGCAAAAGACCAGGTGCTGCTTGGGTAGACAAAGGCTAGAAAAGCATCACAACCCAGCCAGCAAGCACACACAGCCCGGTAACATGAGGTCCTATGCACACAGGCTGACCGCAGCCACCTGGCCTCGGATCACCTCAGGTGTGGTCCTGTCTACAGGCAGGGCCTGCAAGGTGCAGCTACCCAGGGACAAGCTCACTCACAGCCCACCGGCGCCATTCTGGGACTCTACGGGGTGGGCGGAGAGAATACCCCGGGTCCCACAGCAACTGCGATTCCCAAGAATCCTCTGTTTAAGAACACCCACCCCCAGTATTTCGCTCGGGCAGCAAACAGACGCCCCTGCCAGGCCACGACCCACTCGGAACTCGTCCACCTGGGCCGCCCAGCTCGCTCCAGGGTAACAATCCCCCCAGCCCGCGACCTCTTGGGGAACTCTCCACGCCCCGCCCACCGCGCTCCACGCCCCGCCCACCGCGCTCCACGCCCCGTCCACCGTGCCTCAGGCGTCCATCCCCACCCCACCCACCGCGCTCCCCGGCCCCGCCCACCGTCATCTCTCACACTGCTTCTGACGCTCACCCGTACAAGATGACGTCGTAGAGTGTCCGGCCCTGGACATTCAGGAAGTGGGCGTAGACCGAGCGGACAGCAGGACGAGTTACGCCTTCCGCGGGATCCGGAAGCGGCAGCTCATTGGTCAGCAATCCCAGCAGGAAGGGTGCCGCGTCTGGGCCGCGCACGCGCAGCAGGGCGCGCTCCTCCAACGGGAAGCAAGTCCAGTCGGTGCCTTTGGCTGGGCCGCCGCTGGGACGACCAGAGCCGTAAGCCCAGCAGCGCCTTGGGACCACGGGGAGCCTCCACCGCCGAGCCGGCAAGCCGCGTCCGGGAGCAGCGCCCCGAAGTAGCGCGGCCGCCGCCATTTTAAGCAGGAGTGAGGCGACGGACAGCGCGGGTGCCACAGCGTCTCCTGGCGGCGGCCGCCGGCATTGGCGCGCGCGCGATAGGCGTGGGGGCGGAGCTAGCGAAAGGCGCGAGCCGCGAGCTGTCCATCAGCGCGCTCACCCCGCATCGCCAGGCGGCGGGCGCCGGTGTCCGCACCAGGCTGGTTTGCCCACGTAGTGTCTGCGTTTATCGTCGAACGCACGTCCCGTGGATTCCCATTAGCCATCTCCGAGACGCGTACTGACTCAGCATATGCTCACCTGCGGTGTGATCTTGTGTGTAGGGCCCCCACTGGGTGGCAGTGCCCACAAGCCAGTGACCCCTCACCCTTAGGAACGTTTTCCCCGAGAAGCACACGAGTCCCGGCTCTGAGCGAGGGGCCCCTTTTGAAAATTGGGGTGTCTGAGGGAGGGAGCAGCAGGCGACTGATAACACGCAGACTTAGAGTAAAGCCTGGGCTCACTCCAAGGTGTCTCCAGATTCGCACTGTCTGGGAACATCAGTCTCCATGTGCCTGTGCTTGTAGGATGTGGAGGTGATCAAGGTTAGGTGATGTCATCAGGGCAGGGACCCACCGTGTATAACCAGAAGAATGACCTAAGCTGGCACACGGTTCCGTGTCCACATGAAGCAGTGCAAAAGCTGCCCGTGGCTACGTTCAGGCACTGTCGCAGCAGCTGCCACTGCTGGCACCTGGAACACCATGTATGTGGGTGTAAAAACAGTCCCCATCCTGGGTGAGAGTGCCAGGCATGTTCCCAGATACCCAGGAGATAAGTGCATGTACAGTGCGATGCATTCCAATATGTGCATGCAAACACACGGCTGTAAACTGAAGTGGCCTTTATTTCACTGGGCCTGTTCAGCACGCTGCCTATGGATTAAGTAACCCAGGAGTCCCTCTCCCATAGTGTGGCTGAAACCCCAGCCCTCTGCCAGTGGTCTAGGCCAAGAGGCAGAGGACGGGCCAGAGGAGAGGCTGTACTGCCCACCCCACCCAGTCAGCTAGGAACCCATAGTGAGGTGCAGTGCAGAAAAGGGTGCAAGGACCTCTCCCTACCCCAGGTGCTCTTGGACTTCAGCTTCCTGCCAAGAAGAGCTGGTTCTCTGCAGGAACCAGAGTAGGGCCTGGGAAAGGGGCTCTGTGCTCCCTGGGGGCAGACAGGAGGAGACTCAGGCTGGATGGCCAGGGCACTGAAATGAGGGTCAGGGCCCTGCCCCACTGCCCCACCCCTCACCACCACAGACCAGAGCTGACAATCCTTCGTGGCTCCCATTCTCCTCACCCCAGCAAGCCAGGGCTGCCGCAGGAACCCAGCCCTTTCCTGTCCCCTGCCATCTGAAGCTGAGGAGAAGCAGTTGTCCATCGAACCACCACAGGCGAGTTCAAATCCAAACGGTGGTCTTTCCATCCCTGCTACCAGCACTGCCTTTGTCAGAGCCAGCCCTGGGCTTGGCACCCAACCTCTCTAGCGGCCCAGCACGGCCCAGCTCTCCCACGGTGCCCCCAGACATGGCACTTCCGGTCCCAGAAGCTGGCACGCCGGCCCTGGGGGACAGCCTAGGGACAGCAGGAAACCCAGAGCAAGGCGGACTTTCTTGCTCAGCAGCTGTCGCCCCGTCACGCAGAGCCTGCAGGGCCAGGTTGGCCAGGTTCTGGTCGTGAGTGCGCGCTGCCGCCCGCACAACCACGCTGTAGTCAGGGGGGCAGGCCAAGCCAGTGGTAGGGAAGGCACAGGGCACTGTGCGAGACACAGGCCCAGTGCCTGGGACCTGTGGGCCACGCACGGCATCCTGCGCGCTTCCCAGGCCCAGGTGCGCCATCTCACACAGGTTCAGCAGCAAGCACAGGCAACTGACCACATACATGACCAACAGGAAGACAGTTTTCTCGGTGGGGCGTGACACGAAGCAGTCCACAACATGGGGGCATGGTTGGCGGCTGCAGGCAAAGAAAGGCCGCACCTCAAAACCATACAACAAGTACTGGCCCACAAGGAAGGCCACTTCAAGGGCCGCCCTGACCACCAGCTGCACCACGTACACACGCATCAGGCCCTCACGCTGGATGCGCCTCCTCCCGTCGTGCTGTGCTGCGGGGCCCAGGGTTGCTACCTCTCCGCCCCCTCCCGCCCCCTTGGCGGCTGCTTCTCCCGCACGCTCTTCTTCAGCACACTCTGCAGGGTCCTCCGGCACTCCTGGCTCATCCTCTGCATCCTCACCCAGGCCCAGCATGGGCTCCTCTTCGCCCAGTTCGGCAGGCTCGGGCCAGCCAGGAGGTGCTGGTGGCAGGTGCGCACGAGACATGCGGCGGGCCCCAGCTCGGCGGCGCAAAGCACGCCTCCGCTCCTGCTCAGAGACGCGCGCCAGGTGATGCACAGCATAGCCCAGGTACAGTACGGAAGGCGTGGAGATAGCCACAATCTGGAAAACCCAGAAGCGCACGTGCGACAGGGGCGCAAAGGCGTCGTAGCAGACATTGTCGCAGCCAGGCTGCCGGGTGTTGCAGGTGAATTTTGCCTGCTCATCTGAGTAGATGGATTCACCGCCCACGGCCGTGAGCACTATGCGGAAGACCACCAACACCGTGAGCCAGACCTTGCCCACGAAGGTGGAGTGGTTGTGGATCTCCTCCAGCAGCCGTGTCAGGAAGCCCCAGCTCATGTTGGTCATAGGGGCGGGCTGGTGGGCGGGACCTGCGGCCAGTCAGTAGTCAGTTACAGGCACCTGCATCGTGGCTAGAGGCTTAACTTGCTTCCCTGGCCACTTTCTACCAGGCCAGGACCCTGCCGGTACCCCCACCCCCCCCAAAGGGCCTCCCCAGGAGAGCCAAGTGTGTCACCCAGCCGGCATGGTTATCAGGGTCATGCAGGGAAGGGGCTGAAGGGTAGGCTGTGGATGCAGCAGAGAGATGCACTCTGGGATCTAGGTGAGGGAATAGGGGTCTCACCATGGTGAGGGCACACATGAGTAATGAGTTATACAGCAGGGAGGGAGGCAGGGTAGGCAGAGCTGGGGGTGTATAAGGCCCCCTCCCACTTGGGTCTCCGCTGTCATGAAGGCCTGGGCCAGGCCAGCCTCCCAACAGCTACCCAGCCAGCCCTGGGTCTGCACAAGGGCAGGGAGAGGGGGTCTGGAAAACTAAGGACCACCCCAGACCTTGCACTCTTGGCCACAGCTGATGGATCACAGACCCTACCTCCCAGGGCAGGGAACAAGCAGGAAGGACACTCCCTGTGTTCAGGACACCCAGAGGGAACCCTTCTCCCCTGGGTAGTCCCTGCCCTTCATGTGGAGACACAAACCAAGAGCAGCCAAGGTGTATGCCAAGTACCTCCCCAGGTCTGCCACCTACCAGGTCTTAGTGTGGAACAGAGTGCAATCCCTGCAGAAGACATCTCTGCCCCCAGAACCCAGCACCCCACAGTCAGTCCCTTTGTGGGCCCTCTGCCATCCCCCTGTGAGTACCTGTCCTCATGGAAGGTGTGTAGCCTCCAACCAGACGACCCAACCTCAGGCATAGGTAGGCCCCTCTCTGCCATGTCCGCTCAGAGACCTGAGCATGTGGCCACACTACAGCACCCACCTGCCTCAGCCATTGGTGCCACCCTCAAGCCTTGCAAGTGGGGTACACACCTCACATCTACACAGACACATGTATCTGCATGCTCACAGGGGCTCATAACCACAAACCTTTAGGCCTAGGGGCCCAAGCCCCTCCCCTTGGTGGTTCCCCCCACTCACCAGCTCCTGGTCAGTGAATCCCAACGCAAGGGAATGAGTGATCAGGAGGACCCTGACACACTGGGGTATCCAGGATCTGGAGCAGGGGTGTCTGGACCCAGGAACTCATGGCTACCTACAGGGCTCACCAGAGCTGCAGGTGGCGGAGCATGTAAGTACTTCTGAGGGGCCACTTCCTGTGGGCAGCTCTCTGCTGCCAGAGGATGGAGGTGAACAAGCTGGGAGTGGACCATCACCACAGCTTGGACAGCTCCTTCAGGTTGGAACTATGTGTGACTACTGTGGGTAGACCCTGAGCTCATCAGCCCTACCCTTTGAAAATGGAGCCTTGGACACAGCAGGTATAGGCAGAAGGGGGCTGGGGAGTGCATGGCTTCCTCTGAGCCCTGTACATTATGCTTACAGGCACCAGAGTCTCAGACTCTCCACTGCCCAGTATAGGGCACTGGTTCTTAACTCACAGAAGGACCCTTGCTCTCTCCTGCCCCACTGTCAGCCAAGGGACCACATCCACCTAAACCCACTCAGGTGTAGCCCATGGCCTGTGCTGACCAAGACCTCCCTGTGCAGTAACCAGGGCCAAGTCCTATTCCCCAGAGCAGCACTGCCCCTTGTCCCTGCCCATAGCGGTTCCTCCCTGCACCCCACTAGCCTGCAATGCAGTGCCCTGGGGAAGCTCCATGGCAGCAGGAGGGTCTGCTCAGCTCCCCACTTGGTTCCAGCAGGCAGGTAAGGAACCAGGAGGGTTGGGGTGCAGTGGGGCTGTACAGCAAAGCTTGCTTATCTCCTACCTCTATACACACTGCAGCTGGCCAGGATTCCCTGGCCAGTCCTACTGCTGGACACGGGTCTTTCCAGTCACCTACTGTCCCTGAGCAACCCTAGACAGTAGCTACAGAAAACGCCCCACCCCAGCAGTTCCCTCTGGGTGGCTGAGGGGGATCACTCCCACCCCAGTGTTTGAGGGGGTCCTGGGTGGTGCCCTACCTTCTCCAAGCCAGAAAATTTGAGACTTCCAGAGCTAGTCCACCTGCTAGCCGCACACTGGTCCTTCCTGCAGAAGTGTGGCCGGGCTGGGGCCACCTCTCACCACCAAGCACAATGGGGGAGAGGGAGGGGCCTTCAAGGGCCCCATTGTTTCCCCCAGTCTGAATCCCTTATTGTCTCTGTGGGAGCTGGCCAACAGAGCTGAATGATGCCAACCAGGCAGTGGGGGTCCTGGCCTGCACCTGTCCAGGCCTCCAGGTGGCAGCCTAGAGCCATGACTTCTTTTCCCCAGTCCAGGCTGGCCATCCTCCTCCTCACCTCAGGGCTCTCTGTCCAAGCCTGCCCTCCCTACAAAACAAAATGCACTCGGGGGTCTGAGTGCACACAGAACTCCATGGCCTGGCCATTTTTGTTGAGGCTCCTTGCCTGCCCCTTCATCCTGGGAGTAGCCTTGCTTGTGCACCAGGGCTGCAGCTGCCCTCGGGCTGGGTGACAATGAACACCCCAGCCCCAGAGCTCTGGATCTCAGGGTCTAGAAGCACAGCATTACCCCAGCCAGGAACAGCCAGCCTCTCTAGGAGCCTCAGACCTGGGAGTTGGACACTTTCCCCTGTTGTTAAAGGGCACTCCTGGTTCAGAATCAGGAAGCAGACATGGCACCAGGGACTATCTCTGCATGAGGGTCACTGTGTGCTCCCAGCCCACCTTACTGGTCAGGACATGCCCTGAAGGTCTGGCTGCTGACTGGCTCCCTGTTGCAGACACTGGCAGCTGGGAACAGTCAGCAAGCACTGGATGACTGGTAGACCAGCATCATAATAACCAGCACGGAGAGCAGCCCCAGCTCAGCTCAGGAGAGAGCCCCCAACCTGGGGCCATGTCCACTTGCAGCAGACATTAACCCAACCATTGGTTCCTTTATTGGGTATCAGCCCCGGCTCCAGCGGGAAGGACAGGGATGAGGGACAGGAGTGGGCAGAGTCAGGGCACAGGGGACAGTGGGCACCTGGGGCCCTGCAGCATGGAGGCCAAGAGGCAGGCAGCAGGCACCTGTCCTGGTTCTGGGTGGGTCCTGGGTGTCCAGCCAGGTCCTCAAGCATGGTCAGGTCCCTGAGCTTTCTTGATTTCCTGCCAAGAGAAGAAGGGACTCAGAGGTGGCTGGGACACTGACAAGGGCAGGGGACGCCTGTCCTCCTTCCCTACTGGTCCAGAGGTTGCAGTGACCCTGCCTCAACATCTACCACCTGGTACATGGGTGGCATGGCTAAGCCCCCAGACCCTCCTGGCACCTCTCAAGGGGCAGAGCAGGGAGGCTGGGCCCACCTCAGAGAGTGCTTCCTTGAGGATTGCATAAGCCTTGTCCAGGTTGTCGTTGATGATGACCAGATCAAACAGGCCGGGCTCCTTGCCTGCAGGGAAAGGGCACAGTAAGCCACCCCGCTCCCTAGAACTCTTGCCTGACCATGCAGCTGGCCACTGGACTAGGTCACTGCACCACACAGGTCAGCTTTTCCTGGCCCAGCCACGGGCAGGGCCACCAGGGAGCTAGTCCTTATGCATGTTCCCCCCTTCTTCCTGGAAACCCATTACTGGGAGACTGAAGGGGCAGACTTACAGAGCCCTGGCTGACATGGGGTAAGACCCTGGCCCCCACCTTCCAGAGGCTGAGACATGGCGGCCCCAGGATGGGGATACTCACTGCTGTCCATGTCGGCCCGGGCTGCAGCCAGCCGCTTCGCCAAGCTCTCCTCTGTCTCAGTGTTGCGTTGCCTGAGCCGCTGTTCCTAAGACACAGATCTGAGTGTCAGCAGCTTCCTCAGATGCTTCCCACCCCACAGGATGAGTTCTGGTACACGTGGTACCCGCCCCACTGCCCCATAGGCCCCACCAGCACGTCCAGGGAGGGTGGCTGCACAGAGATGTAGATGGGCCGCAAATCAGTCTTCTTGATGTTGCGCACGCCCTGCAGGTCCACGTCCAGCACGCAGATGCGGTTCATGGCCTGCACGGCCCGCACGGCTGCCTTGCTGTGGGAAAGAGGGGTGAGTAGAGAACACTCTACAAATCACTCCCTGCAGGAGGTTGCCCAGGTCCATACTGCCTGATTCTGCCAACCTAAGGCTGCCAATGGTCTTCAGCTGGGTCAGCCCCAGCAGATCCTACACAGCCCGAGCATCCTGGGCATCTGTCCCTGACCAACCTACCCACTACATCTGCAGCCATCTGCAGCAGGGGATCAGATGCAGTCCCCACAGTACCATGACAACTTAGAACACTGTCCTCAGAGGCCTGACTGGATCCAGCAGCTCTGACTCAGGGAGGCCCTCATGAGAAGGGCCAGTGAAATTCATTACCCAGGTCAGAGAAGGAGGCTGCTGTATGGCTCACATGCCTATAGCTGGAAGGACAAGGGGGTGAGCACAGGATCTGGCCTGGAGATGCCTGTGCAACCCTCTCAGCTTGGGGGATGAATAGTAACCCTGGAGAGACCCCTGTTGCCTTCTCAACTCCCAGGGGCCCTGGTCACTGAAGAGGCCCCTGCCACCCTCCCTGCTTTCAGAGGGGGGGTTGGCTAGTGACCCTAGAGAACCCTGCCACCAACCCAGCTGGGGGGGGAAAGACCCTGGTGACCACTGCCCAAGGAAGCCTGGCCCACCTTGTCCCGTACAGGTTCCCTGAGAACTCAGCGTGCTCAATGAAGTCTCCGGCAGCAATGTCGCGCTGCATCACCTCCCTGGTCACAAAGTAGTAATCTGGGCAGAGCAAGGGTTGTCCAGAGGGAGCCATATGTGACTGGGCCCAGCACATATTCCTGCATCTGTCTTTCCCAAACCCAGGGCTGCTCCCAGGCCCTATAGTAGGGTCCACCCATCAGGTCTCAGCAGAGTCTACAGGTGCTGAGCAGGGCACAAGGTCAGGCCACCTGCTGTGGGAACAGCTGCTGGTGGCCACCTCAGATACCAGGTCAGGACCACCAGCCCTAGGTCCTGCCTCTCCTACTGGACATGCTTGCTAGGGACTGCCTGGTCTAATCAGGGATCCCACCCAAGTGAACAGGCAACAACAGGCAGGCCTCAGAAGCCTTCTGATCCCAAGGATCCCCCCAATGCCTCCCCACAACAGCCAGTGCCTGACAGCCCACACCACCCCCATGACAGCCAGTGCCTCCCCACACCATCCCGACAGCCAGTGCCTGACAGCCCACAGACCTTTGCCATTCTCCTCGCCAGGCCGAGGGTCCCTTGTGGTATCTAGGAGAAAAGCAATCACCCCACATGGACCCCATAGCCCTGCAGCCCCAACCCAAGCTACCCTGAGGAAGAAGGGGCTCAGAGGCCAGAATGTGGGAGCCAGCCTGGTGCTGACAGGGCCAGGCTGAGCACACAGCCCCCAGGGACAAAGGGGAGGGGTGAACAGCATGCACAGGGTTGGGGCTGCAGCGGGTCACAGGGAGAGGTGGGGCTACAGGGGGGCTCAGAGGGCAGGAGTGGTCCAGCCCCAGGTACTCACGGGAGACACTGAAGCCAAAGACACCACCGTGCTCCTGCAGCAGCCTCCTCAAGAGGGTGCTCTTCCCGGCCCCCGACGGCCCGCTCAGCACCACAGGCCTGGGACCTGACATGCCTGTGGGAAGGGGCTTTGTCCTCACCAAGCTCCAGCCCTTACTGTGTGTTGTGGGGGGGAGGGGGGAGGGTGCTCTGCAACCCTGGCACAGTTGTCCCCTCATCCAGGCCACTCTGAAACTCTTAAGAAGCAGCTCCAGAGCCCAATCTGTGGTGCCCGATCCCTTCCCCTCAGCAAAGTGTCCCTGGCCCAGACCTGTACTCAGACCTCCTTCCCTCTCTGGGAGACACATACACCCTCCCCATATGGACCCTGCTGTGGGGTCCTGACCCTGTACCCCACCTCTCCCTGGGATTGCCCATGGGGCTGTGTCAAGGTCCACTAAGTCCTAACCCACCTGGGATAGTCTGCTGGAAGGAGGTCAGAATTTCCCCAAGGGCAGATGGACACAGCACAGGGCTCAAACACTGCTGCAGGTGCCAACCCAAGGATCCAGGTCATCCCAGGGCTGAACTGCTCCCAATGACCACTGGCTCAACTGGCATCCTTCTGCCCTTCACGTGCCCCCGGGCAGGCCCTCGCCACTATAGCAGGGATGGCACCCACCTGCTCAGCAGGGTGCAGCCGGTGTGGTCGAGCCTGGGGCACAGCGACAGCTGCTTTGTATGAAGAGCTGAGGACTAATCCTGGCTAGTCTGCCCTGCCCCGTCCCTGTGTATCAAATCCCCAGTACTGGGCCCCCAATCCCCGCTCAAAGCTGGCCCCACCCCCTTGCCGTGCAGAAAAGGCCACCATTCATCCTTGACTTTGAGGCGTGCACCTGGCACCCAGCCCATGGCAGCAAATAAGGCATGCAGCGAGGGACAGGGTCTGGGTTTGGGGAGCAAGCGGACAAGCCAGCGAGAGTGGGGACTAGGGCACACACACTGCCACACCTGTCTGGGCAGGTGACATCCAGGAGGGCTCCGCCTGGACCAACACCTACAGAGCCACCTGAGGGCCACAGTGGTTGCAGGATGTTCACACAGGCTGCTCAGACCAGGTGGCTGTCCAGCTGGATACAAGCTGTGTTCTTAATCCCCAATGTAGGCCACCACAGTAATCACACCAAAGCAGCAATGCTGAGATCCACGGTGTACCTGAGGACATGTGGACACACAGGCCTGCATGCGGACATACCACACAACACACATGCATGTGACAAGCACATACTACATGTATGTGTAAGCATACAGCGCATACCTGATGCACACATCACTATTCATTTGTGCCCATGTACAAACATGCAGACAACATGGGTGTGACACATGCACATGATCGCACAACATGCCTTCATACAGGTACAGTGCATATGTAGATCACATATGAGCACACAACACGCCTTCATAAATGTGCAGAGCACCTACAGATCACACACATAACTACACGTGTGTAGGATACACAAATGCATGTACATGCCACACACTATACATGACCACATACAGCCATGTGATGTACGCACAATACATGCACCACACATATTTGCATGTTCTGTGTACACCCAAACATACGGTTACACATCACTGACAAGGACCATGTTCTAAAAAGGGAACCCCTCCATGTTACTAGAATCACGAGTGAGTCCTATACCCTGTTCCTGCAGCCTCAAGGCTCCCCCACAAGAACCTTAAACATACTTCACCTGCAATCCCCACCTGCTCTGTGTCCCCAGCCCCCAACCTCACACATCCCCACCTCCGGACCAGAATGCTAAGTGGCTCCACAGCCTTGCAAGGATCAGCAAGTCTTAGTAGTAAGTGTGTGACTTTCCACAGCTCCTGGGCCCTTCTCAGGTAAAGGGGGCTCTCAAGCCTCTGCAGCCTCCTGGGAAACAGCGCACACTCCTGCTTCATGTGCAAACTCACGAGAATCAAGAACTGAACACAAGAATCATAGGAGTTGAGTATGTGCCCAGGACCCCACAATGCAGAGTGCTACACAGGGGACCCTACGTGCTGGACAGGGAGGTGGGGTACCCCACACTGCAGAGAGCTACACAGGAGACCCCACATGCTAGATGGGGAAGTGGACCTAGGGTCCTGAGCAGACTTAGAGCTAGGCTCTATGGCTTCTGCTCCCCCTGTTCTGTTGTGCAGACTCCTTCTTGGGATCACTTGTCTGATACAGTGGCCTCCAGGCTCTGGGCTGTCTTCAGGTCATGCCACCAAGCCCTGGGAGAGACATGCTCTCAGCCCTGTCAACTTCAGTGGTCAGCACAGGGGACTGCTGGGGCACTTCTGATCACCCTGCCTCCTAGCTCAACGCCTCCCCATGGAGGGGCACCCCAACCCCTCTGTCCAGCAGGAACACTGGGATGCTTTGTGGGGTTTATCACCATGGCTTTGCCCTATTCTCTGTTCCTCTGCACCATCCCCCATATCCCCGAGGGAACTCTCCTCTGCCTACTGCCTGCAGCCCAAGGTGGCTTCCCTTGTCCTGGGCCTGTGAGAATGTGAGGACAGGGGACAGGCCTGCATATGTCCACTTCTCAGAGCAAACCCAGGCCTGTGTCTTCATGCAGCCCACAAAGTAGGACCTCCATGCACCCCAGGTGGCAAGGTACAAGGGCTGCTGAGTGCAAGATGTATGCCTGCCCAGAAAGGCTTCAACATGGATATGAGAAAAATCTGAACTCAATATGGGCAGCAGGGAAGGCCAGGCCACCTAGAAGCTGAGACAGAACTCACGTGAGGGGGCGCCCAGGAGGAGGTACCAAGGAGGGGATCAGGGCAAGGCTGGCTCATCCCTCTCCCCACCCCCGAAGGTCCCCAGGAACTCAAGGCCCACGGCCGTGCCACTCCCTGGCACACCTCTCACCAGCACCCTGGGTACTGGACAGGGTTCTACGCCAACCCCTGCTCCCTGCTGCCCAGGATAGTGCAGACTGGTCCCCTGACATGGCTGTATTTACACTTCCCGACTTGTTCCCCAGATTCTCTGGACCCATGATGTGTGACCACATACCCACCCAGAACACACATGCACACACAGCATCAGCGCCAGTGCCCACCCGCCCTCAGCAGGGAGATGAGCTGCAAAATGGTACATCACCTCCAGACCCCAGTCTCCACGCCTACTCGGACCTCACAGTCAAGAAGAGCCCTTGGAGGCAGCAAGCAGCAGGTGTGTCCACTCACAGGTGTGACAACCAGAGAAGGACTTTCAAAAGGCAAGCATGAAGCCTGCTTCACTCTGCCGGCCCTCCTCGGCCCCTCATACTCCCTCCCCAGGCTTAAGGTCCTGTCCGCCCTGCCTGCCCTGGAAGATAAGCAACTGTGAAAAGGCAAAGAGCGGAGGGCGGTGGGAGGAGTCGAGACAAGGCCTGGCCGGCAGCTACATGAACCCTAACACTGTCAGGGGGCTCAAGGACCACTCAGCCTTGGGGAACCACTGGGGCAGCTGGGACCGGGCCTCAACGGTGGACTTCCGCCTTCCAGCATAGGGGTAGGGGCGGTCCGGCCACTACGGAGAGGCGGGGACGCGGCACAAGGTCCACGCGCAAAGAGCTGGGGACCCGCGCGGCAAGGTCAGGGAGGGCGCTGCTTCCGGGATACACGCACACCTCCTTCCCCCCTCAGAGCACCGCAACACGGCTCTCGGCCAGCGCAGACAACGGCGGGTGCTGGACCACTCGGCGGCCGGGGAGCCGCAGACACGCACCTCTCCCCAGGCCCGCGCCCCGCACGCGCTCCGGCGCCCGGAACCAAGCCCGGCCGCGCCGCCGCGGGGAGCGCACGGGGCCTTCCCAGGCCGAGTCCCGGGCATCGTCCTCCGTGTGCCGCCAGCCCGCGGAGGACGCCTTCGGAACGGGCGCCGTCGCGGCCTCCGCAGCCAGGCCGGCCCGCGCCCGCACTCACCGTCCACAGGGGCCCGGCCCAGGGCGGCCGCCGCCAGCCCCGCCAGCGGGCGCCGCAGCATCAGCGGTCCCGCGGCCTCCGCCCGCTAGGACACGTCAGGGTGCCGCGCCTGCCCCCGAGGGCGCGTCACACTTGTGCGCCGAGTCTCCGCCGGCTTCCCCGTATCCCCGCGCGTCGGTGGGCGGCGGCCGGAGCATGGCAGGTCGGGGGACGGGGGACCGGGGAGCGGGGCGGAGGTCGAGGCGGGGCTCCCGGCGTACTGAGGGGACCAGGGAGGTTGGAGGTTTTGACGAAAATTTACGTTGCCTGTGACCTTGTAGCGGAGAATGATGGGATGAGAGTTGTGTGATTTGTTAACTTTGCAGACATTGATGGCACCGTTTGGCAAGTTGAAGTTCTAGTTTATAGTAATTAGTTTACAGATTTTTTTTTTTTTTACCAATTTTGTGCTGTGGTTTATTTCTAATTTGTATTCAGTTTGTTTAAAAGGCAGAGTCAGAGACATATCTGCCACCCTCTGGATCACTCCCCAGGTGGCCGCAGTGACCGGAGCTGCACCAATCCAAAGCCAGGAGCTTCTTCCAGGTCTCCTATATGGGTGCAGGGCCCCAAGGCTTGGGCCGGCCTCAACTGCTGTCCCAGGCCACAAGCAGGGAACTGGATGGGAACTGGAGTGTCCAGGACAAGAACTGGCACCCGTATGGGATCCAGTACTTACAAGGCAAGGATTTTAGCTGCTGATCCATTGCGCCCTGCCCTGACCCCACTGTCCAGTCCACGCTTTCATGCCGGTGGGTGCTACTGCCTGTCCAGCCAGGCTTGCCCCCAGCCCCAGTTCTGATGCTCACTGTAGGAGCTCCAGCCCATCAGAGGGGCACCCATAGTTTCCCTACTAGGCCCACTCCCAGCCCTGGATCTTGTACTTTCCAAGTGGTATTGCAATCTATCCTGACAGGACTTTTCCCCCTGTCCCAGTACTTACCAGCTGATGCTAAGGCAAAGACCAAACAGAGCAGCCTGCATCTACTCGGGCCCGTGCACGTCCCAGTGGATATGGTCATTTAGCCTGCCTGATTCCCCCTAACCCAAATCACAATGCAGATCAACCGGTGTTGTAGTCCTCCTCAGCCTGGTCCACCCCAAGTTCTGGCTTTCATGTTCACCAGCAAAAACACAGAAACAGTGGCCCAGCGGGGGAGCCCCACAGCTTCCCTGCTGGACTCACCCCCTCCATCCAGATCTTATGTGTACTAGCAGGTGGTACAGTCTAGTCTGGCATGGCTCACCTCACCTTGACGTTCACCAGCAAGTGCTATAGCCTGGTTCTAACCTGGCCTGACTCCAGTTCCAGCTCATGCTGCTGGCAGGTGCTATCAGCTAGCCTAGTGAATTCAGCCCTCGTCCCAGCCCTCATGGAACTGGCTGTGTTGAGGCCTAACCCAGCCTGCCCCATACTCTTCTGGTTCTTTGTCAGTGAGAGCTGTGAACTTGCCCAGCCCAGCTTACCCCAGATCTGATCCACACATATGCAGATGGGTACTGTAGCCTGGTCTAGGCTGCTCCTAGCCTCAGTTCTTGCATTCATCAACAGAGACTGTTGTCTTGATAGAGGAGTTCCCCAAGCTCCTTTATCAGATCGCCTCCAAGTCATAGCTCACACCAGTGAGTACTTGGTCCAACCTGACTTCTCCCTCCTGTTCTGGCAGTCACTGACAGGCACAGTGGCCTTGAGTGATTGGCACACATGTATTCCAGCTCTTACTGGTGGGTGCTACATCCCAGCTCCACCTAGCTCACCCCCAGACCTGGTTTTCACATGGTTTAGCAAGTGCTGAAACCTAGGCCAGCCTGTCCTACACACATTCTGGCTCTTGGGAGCACCAGCGGTGCTGGAGCCTAGCCCTATCTGGCACACCCCAGACCCAGTCCACATCTATGCCAAGGGATGCTCAAGTCATGTCTTGCCCAGTTCACTGTCCCATTCTGTATTCACCAATGGAAACCATAGCCCCTCAGGGGCATCCCTTAGCTCCCCTGCCAGGCTCACTTCCAGCTATAGATCTTGCACATGCTAGTGATTGCTCTGATCCAGCCTAGTCTTGCTCAGCCTGCCCACATCGCTGGCTTCCATGAAAACTGGTAGCTATGATAGCCCAGCCTAGCATGGTCTTACCCCATCCTGGATCCTGTGCATGCCAGTGTGCTATGGTTTGGCCCGGCCCTGCCCAGTCTGCCCCCAAAGCCAGCCAACACACTTGCCAACAAGTGGAGCAGCCTTTCCTGACCTGACCAACACTCAGTCCTAATGCGCTTACCAGCGGGAGCTGCAGCCATCAATGCTCCCCCACAGGCCCACTCCCAGATCTAACACATGCTATCAGGTGCTAGGCCATTACCTGGCATAGTCCTTGCTGCATCTTGGCTTTTGTATATGCTAGTGGATGTTGCAGCTGGCCTGCCCCATACTCAATCCTTGGGTGTACCTACAGGTGGTACGGCCTAGATTATGCCAGCATGTGCCCAAACAATAAAATGCACCATTCAGGATAAATTACTAAACTAGCTTGCAGGTGGAGGAACAACCACCATACCATCCTGTAAGACAGCTTTCTACAGTGCAGTAAAATGGGCTTAGATGAAACAGCCACAAAGGGCTAAGCCACACAGAGTTGCTCAGCAGGAAATGGGTGGGGACACAGGCTAACCACAGATGCTCCTTCTATAACTTGGCCCTTCTTAAAAAAATAAAACTGGAGCAGAGGTAAAATACTTGGGAAAAGGAGAGTGGGTAATCTAAGTTTTCCAACAGCTCACATGTCACCGTCCACCTTGTGGTTGCTGACATGGTTTCTGGTAGGCTTATTTCCCAGGTATAATGACTCTAATTATTACAATTATTTATCAGGCCAAATTTATTTTGGCATTATTTTGAAGAGGTTTTAGTGATAGCAGGCTGTTTGTTTGCCTTAAGATTTATTTGTTTTTATTGGAAAGGTAGATCAGATTTATGAAGAGAAGGAGAGACAGATCCTCCATCTGTTGGTTCACCCCCCAAGTGGCTGTAGCAGCCAGAGCTGAGCCAATCCAAACCAGAAGCCAGGAATTTCTTCCAGGTCTTCCACATGAAGGGTGGTCCCATTCTCTACTGCTTTCCCAGGCCACACAGCAGGGAGTTGGATGGGAAGCGGAGTATATGGGACACGAACTGGCACCCATATGCGATCTTGGCACTTAGAAGGTGAGGATCTAGCCACTGAGGCATAGTGCCAGGCCCCAGATATTAGCTCTTTTAATGAGTTTACTAGCAATTTTTAAAAATCTGGTAAGTTTTCATCATGTATAATATTTTTCATTTAAGTATGTTTGGGTTTTAATGCTATTTTAGAGATGTTTGGGCCTAGACTGGTTTTTTAGGAAGATATGTTTAGTGGACTTATTTGTAATTTTGTTTTATTTATTCTTTTTTTAAAAAAAAAGATTTATTTTTATTGGAAAGGCGGATATACAGAGAGGAGAGACAGAGAGGAAGATCTCCCATCCGATGATTCACTCCCAAGTGAGCGCAATGGCCAATGCTATGCCAATCCGAAGCCAGGAGCCTCTTCCGGGTCTCCCGCATGGGTGCAGGGTCCCAAAGCTTTGGGCCCTCCTCCACTGCTTTCCCAGGCCACAGGCAGGGAGCTGGATGGGAAGCAGGGCCGCCGGGACTAGAACTGGCACCCATATGGGATCCCGGGCGTGCAAGGCGAGGACCTTAACCACTGCACCATCGCGCCGGGCCCTATTCTTTTTTTTTTTTTTTTTTTAAGATTTGTTTTTTATTGGA